CTCCAGCGTGGGTGCTTCGCAGGTCGCCCCAGATGCGGAAGGGGCGAGAGTCCTGGGCTATACGCTCGGCAAGCTGGTGGGCCGGGGTGGATTCTCGACTGTGCGCAAGGCGATACTCGTCAAGACCGGCGAAGTCTTTGCCTGCAAGATTGTGAAGCGAGATGACCTCTCTGACCGGAGCGGTTCTCTGGAAAAGTTTGAAGAGGAAATTCAGACATGGCAAAACCTCCCAAAACACCCCTGTCTCCTACCGCTGTTGGACATGCACCGCACACCCTCCGTCACATTCCTCTTTATACCCTACATGCCGGGCGGGTCGCTCTTGGATGTCCTCCAGAAAGAAGGCGGGTCAGACAAGACGGCGCGCAAGTGGTTCCCTGGCGTTGTCGCAGCCGTTTCGGCAATGCACGACGGATACGCCGGGTTCCCGGGAGGCCTCTTGCATGGTGATCTGAAGCTGGACAACTTTTTGGTGGATCTTTCTGGCAAAGTCATGGTCTGTGACTTTTACATGGCGCAGCAGGTGGGGATAGGCGAGCCGCGACGGGGGAGAGAGATGGCGACGATACCACCGCCGTTGAATGGGAATGCTGGTGGTGTGGGACGCCATTCGACGTTACCTAGCAACTTTCAACGGGGTTCTAGCAGACTGCCATCGCCTTATAGGCATTCCAACCCTCACTCTCATGGACCTCGCCGAGTTTCGAATGAGCACCACCTCCATACTCCTGAAGGCGCCGCTGTCGCCTCCCAGCCGTTCCCTTCCGCCTCTCTACCCTACGCCCCACCCGAACTTCTCCGTGCTCCGCCTTCCGGTCCTTCTCTCGCCCAGGACATCTGGGCTGTTGGCATCATCCTCCATGCCCTGTTGACTGGACGTCTGCCCTTTGTGGACGCGTTCGACCCACGTTTGCAAATGAAGATCCTGCGCGGGTCTTGGGAAGTACCACAGGGCTTGGGAAAGGAGTGGGAAGAGTGTCTCGTGGGGTGTTTGGACGTAGATAGGGAGACGAGGTGGACGATCAAGCGGATCAGGGAAAGTGATGCTGTAGTGGGATGGAGGGAAGTGCAGAGTCGAAGTAAAAGCAGGAGTCGATCAAGAGCTAGGGGAATCGGACTGGGTGACCGGTATTTGGAGCCCTTGGGCAGAAACAGCTCGCAGCCGGTACCGATCCTCTCTCCCAATCCTCGTCTGCGCGACATCTCTCGTTCGCGAGACCGCAGCGGCCAGATCGATTCACCGCTCTCTTCCTCCAACTACACTCCACGCGACCCATTCGCTCTCCTCCCCCAACCCAACATGTCGTCCGTTGGCCGTTCACGCAGCGTCAGTGCGTCTAGGAGCAGGAGCAGTGGGCATCGTCCGATGTTTGCTTTGGACGGGGTGGAGCTTGCGAGGGGTCTTGAGAGTGTCGAGCTGGATCGAGGAAGGTCGGCAAGACGGGATTATGATTACGCATCTTCCAGCGGCTCGCCTTATCCGCCTCAGCGTAATACCCCCTCGGCTCTGGCGTTTGCTAGGCAGCAGGGTACACCTTCCAACCAAATCCCAGTGCCTATACCTCCGAGTAACAATAGATCTCGTTCCCAGAGCGGCAATCGAGCCGGCCACGTTTGGCATCCCCAGTCTGCTCCTGCCCAGAGCGGAAAGTTTAGGGAAGCCATGGCTACAAACTTCTCCGCTCAAGGCCCTCGACCTGTACCCACTCCGCCGAACGATCAGTGGTCTCACCCGAATGCCAAATCTCGCTCGAGATCACGACACTCGCAGTCTTCCCAAACTTCCACCTCCCCGTCCGCTTCTCGCTCTCTCAGTCGTGGTGGACAAGCATGGACGGGAGAGAGGGATAGGCGTGGGAGTGTATGGGAGGCGGCGCCGGAGAGGTATGCGTATGGGCAAGAGCTCGGGGCTGTTCATGAGGAGGATAGGGGGCGTGATAGGGGCACGGGGATGGCGACCGGCCAGGCCGAGAGGGGTGTTAGTAGAGGGAGAAAGGGGAGGAGGGAGTGGTGATGGGCATAGCAGCGTCGTCGAGGGGAGAACGAACAAGTTGTTATCATCTGTAACATCTAGACCAACATGGGTTCTTTGGCTATTATATCATATCGCTCTACATTTCTGTGTATAATTAGGCCAAATCATTACTGTGGCTATACAAGCATGGAACCCAAAATGCATCAATACAACTGTCTATAAAGTATCCTCTTGCTAATCTGGAAAGACGCCTATCATGACCTGAGTAATAGGAACGAGTCTTTACACTTTGACAGCCTTGTTTGCCTGCTCCTCCGCCTTCTTTGCATGCCTCGCATCCCTCTTTTCCCTCCACCCTCTCCCCTTGTACACCGTGATGATGGGCAGAGGCGAGCCCAGTATGACTAGCCCAGTAAGAAGGACAAAAGTCCAGCCGGCGCCCATGGTCTTGTACATTGTTTGGATACTGGCAACTCCTATGGCCCCGAATAGACAGCGAACCAAATTAAGCTAGAGTAAACGTCAGATACGGTTACTTATGGGGATGCGGATGATACTTACAGCGGCTGAGACGGCACCGCCTTTTCCGGGTTTGATATCTTGCCCATAAACAGTCACTATATTATACGTCAGCTGTATCCCAAGCATGTCACAGTGCCGACAACTCACCACTCCCATTCGTCCCTGACCCCAGTCCCACGAAAAAGTTCATTACGAGCGTCGCCGCTAAATGCGCTTTCGCCTGCAGACACCACCCCTGCGCCACCGTCGCCAAACACGACATGATTGCGAATGGTGCAAGACACCTGATTCTCGTCTTTTCAATGTTGAACAAAAGAGGCTTGGTACGATAGTCTCCCCCGACGCGACGTTCTTCGCGGCGGAAATAGTAGTCGAGCTGACGTCCGTTCAACTGGGAGGAGATCAGGGTGCCGATGCCGGACGGTCTACATGGGGTTAGTACTTGGACTGGGAAGAGATGGGGGAGCTCACAAGTAGCATAGACCGATTTTGAGCTCTGACAAGTGGTACGAGTTCTTGAGCGCGGTTGAAAACAGCGTCAAGCTCGAGTAGAATTGGAGATAGAGCAGGGACGTGAACACGAAGCAGCAGATGATCTCTGGAGTCAAGAGGATCATGAATGTGGAGAACGGGCGATACTGCTCAATGTCAGCAAGCATACGGACGATCTTGATCACACTTACAGGCTTTGGCTCAGGCCTGACGACCGGTTCCATCTCCCCATCCTCCTCTGCCAGTCGCTTTGCCATCTGCTTGCGCTGATACAGCACGATTGGAGAAGTGTTGAGCGATGGCGGTGGTATCGACCCATCGCCAACCAATGAGCGAAGGGTCTCGGGGAGAAAGAGGATGAGCGGGATGAGTACCACGGCATCTGCAATGGCAAGGAACCAAAAGATGCTCCGCCAACCAAGACCTTGCGTCAATACACCACCGAGAAGTCTACATGATCATCAGACATGCCTTTACAGATTTGAAAGGTACTCACGGTCCGAACGCAGGCCCCGCCATGGCACCCGTCTGGAACCAAGCAGCATACCTTCCCCTCTCTCTCGGCTCTGCAAAGTCGCTGATGCAGCCAAATCCTATGCTCACGACGGCGCTCCCTCCAGTTGACTGCAAAGCCCGTAGAATAAGAAGTAGCCAATACGCCGAGGTTGGCATGACAGCGAGACCGATGTTGGCGCACAGATAGACGATGAGGGTGGCGATATACAGCGGTCGCCTCCCGAAAGAGTCTGACATCGAGCCAAAGATGGAGGGGGTGATGGCCTGAAAGATGAGGTAAACGGTGACGGCCTGAGAGATGTCGGACTCTGATCTGTTGAACGCTTGAGCGAGAGTAGGGATTGCCGGGACGAATATGTTGGAGGATATTGGGGAGAAAATAGCTGCTACACCTCCCAGTACGACGATCAGGCGCTTGGTAGATTTTGAAAAGGCAGAGTAGGGTCGTTGGGAGAGGGAGGTTTGGGTGGGCTGTAATGGCGTAAAAGGCGTTTTCGGCGGGTTGTGTTGCTGCTCGCCAGCTACTGCCTCTCGATCCCCTTCTCCTCCCTTTAAAGAGGTTTTGCCATCGGCGACATCATGTTCCACGGCTGCAGTGTCGTGCGACGGCCCCGGTGGATTTTCTGGTGGTGGTTGTCGGATCGCCGATTGTGGTGAAGACATCTGAAGCCTCTTTATAGATGGGCACTCGGTAGTCGATGCCCTTCGCCGTGCTATGATGACATTCCAGCAAGAAGTGCTGTTGGGGGCTGTATCGTTGTGCGTCGAAAATGTCGCGCCAGGTCGAGAGATGGATGGCTTTTTATAGAGCTCTCAGGGCAGAGCCGGCCAAAGCCGATGGCGGGTGTCGCCGCTATCTCTACCACCATAAGAACATGCGGGCGTCCTGGCCCTATGTTATGCTCAACAAACCCCTCCTCCACGTCACAGCGAGTGGCCTATGTATCCAATGCAAACCCCCATGAGACAGCAGTGGAGAGAATTGACGGTGCAGAAGACCGTGCGAGAGGAGTTGCAAGTTGACTGACGCCTTTCGCGGATAAGCCCTCTATTCTGCGGACAACGGATGCATGTAGAGGGAGTCCCATAGCCCTTGGAGAGTTATTGATATATATTCATATCAGAAAACAAGATCTATAGGCTACACACATCCCAAAATAAAGGTTATCAACGAGGCCGGGCAAAGATATCTATACAGGCTTGTTTTTTTCTTCTTACGAGTCTTCTAATTTCTTCGGTTGCGTTCTACCTCTAAAAGTCTACTAGCGAACGTGTCTGGGTCGTATCTGAGGTCGTATATCACAGAAGAATTGGGGGAATTTAAAGTCTAACCGATGGGGAAAAAGAGAGCGTCTATATCTAAGAAGGTCCGGGTCTGAATGTCTAGTTGGGTGAAAGAGTCCGTACTATAAACATTCGGCTTACACCAAAGCCTTTCTTTTCAAGGAGAAGAGTTGAAAGAGTCTGCACCAGGCAGTCACTCTTTACCCATTCCTTAGTTCCTCACCCCCGCCTGCTTCTCCTCCCGCATCTCCGCCTTCTTCGCCTTTTTCAGCTCCTTCTTTTCCTTCCTCTTGTCCCTCCACTGCTTGCCCTTGAAGACGGTGATGATGGGCAACGGAGAACCGGCAATGACGAGGCCTGTGAGGAGAACGAACGTCCACCCGGCGCCCATGGTGTTGTACATGGTTTGCACGCATGCGACCGCAATGGCAGCAAACATACAACGAACAAGGTTGAACTGGCAAAAGAGGTCAGCTGTGGAAGAAGGGAGGGCGAGGAAGAACATACTGCGGCAGAGACGGCACCGCCCTTTCCGGGCTTGACATCTTGAGCGTAGACGGTGACTTTTGGCTGATCAGCTTGGTATCAAACACGAGATGCAGAAGACTCACTAGATCCGACAGTGCCAGACCCCAAACCGACGAAAAAGTTGAAGATCAGTGTCGGCGCAAGGTGCACATGTTTCTCCAAGCACCATCCCTGCCCAATGGTCGCCAAACACGAACACACCGCGAATGGAATCAGACACCGGATCCTAGTCCATTCGGTGTTGAACTGGTGCGGTTTAGACGAATAGTCTCCACCGACACGGGACTCTTCTTTACGGTAGTAGTAGTCGAGCTGACGGCCATTGAGCTGGGAAGAGATAATGGTACCGAGGCCCAGGGGGAGGTAGGCGAGACCGATCTTGATCTCGTTGAGACCGTAGGAGTCTTTGAGGGCGGTGGAGAGGAGGGTGAGGGAGCAATAGTATTGGAGGTAGAGGAGGGAGACGAAGATGAAGCAACAGATGATCTCGGGCGTGGCGAGGATAGCAAAGGTAGAGAATGGCTGGTACTGCTTTGATGTCAGCCAGAGTCACATAAGGAAAGAGAAGGACTTACAGGCTTGCGAGGCGGGCGCTCAATCTCTTCGACGGGCTCGGGAGGCGCATTGGCAGCAGCAGCCTTGCGAGCGGCGTTGCGCTTCTGGATGAGCACGATGGGAGAAGTGTTGAGTGGTGGCGGGGGAATGGATCCGTCGCCAACGAGGGAGCGCAGAGTCTCGGGCATGAAGAGGACGAGAGGGATCAAGGCGACGCAGGTCGCAATGACGAGGAACCAAAAGACACTTCGCCATCCGAGGGTCTGGGTCAAGATACCACCAATCAACCTGAGTGATGTCAGCTTGAGAACACAGAGGGAGTGGGAGACTTACGGTCCGAGAGCAGGGCCGGTCGTAGAACCAGCCTGGATGACGGCAGCATACTTGCCCCTCTCTCGAGGCGCGGCGACGTCAGAGATACATCCATAGCCGATCGAGATGACTGCACTGCCACCCGTTGCTTGAAGCGCACGGAGGAAGAGGAGGAGCCAGTACTGAGAAGTAGGCATGAGGGCGAGACCTATATTGGCACAGAGGTAGATGACGAGGGTCATGATATACAATGGTCGTCGGCCGAAGCTGTCAGACATGGAGCCAAAGAAGGACGGGGTGATGGCCTGGAAGACAAGATAGATGGTGACAGCCTGGGAAATGTCAGATTCCGACCTGACGAACGCCTCGGCAAGGGTAGGAATGGCAGGCACAAAGATGTTGGATGATATAGGCGAAAAGACGGCGGCGAGGGCGCCAATGCCGACGATGAGCCGTTTTGTAGAGTTGGAGAAGGCCGAGTACGGGCGCTCAGTGGCAGGGGATGGGGGAGGGGGAGGGTCTTCCGGATTGACCGGCTTGATAGGCTCGAAGGAGTCAAACTTGTGCCCCAGGTCGCTGAAAGTGGCGTGCTTGTTGGCGCTGATATACTCGTTGACGGCGGTGGTAGAAGAGCTGGTACTGATAGGTTGACGCTGCTCGTGCTCTTCATGGGCCTCAAGAGCTTCTTCCCTGACGGCATCCTGATTGGCCACCTGCTGTACACCAAAGCCCTCGCCGTCAATGACGGTCGGGTCCTGGGAGAGGGTCGTAGAAGAACTGCTGGTAGAGAGGGGGGGCTGTTGCTGCGCGGGCGCTGCAAACATAGTGTGTGATTATGGGTGGGTTGTGAAAGAAAGTAAAGGAAATGCAGATGTGGGGGATGCATGTGGGGCACGGTGGCTGGTTATAAAGGCTGGGCGATAAGAAAAAAATGCTCGGCAAGAGGCGTGGCTGGTTGGCTGGGCGAGGCCTTTGCGGTACTGGTGTCTGGGATGGTGCACTGGATGGTGTCGTTAGTGGGTGAGTCATGGTGATCGCAGTTGGAGATGCATAGTGCGCTGCTACGAGCTAACGTCAACATAAGATCTGATGCTACTTAGCGACGTGCGCTGATCGACGTTAGGTCCCTTGGCCACTCGGCGACGGCCGCTTGAGCTTATCTAATCTTTTTTGCGGCATGTGCGCGGTCTTGGCATTCCCACGAAAAGATCACGGCCGACCGATGTGTGATGGCTCTGTGCTGCCCGCCCCGTGGCTCCCGCTGCTCGCCGCCCCCTGCCCCCTCCAGCTGCCCGCCTTCCTCGCTGCCCTCCGCGCCCAGCTCGCCCCAGAAGCCCCAGACCGCCAAGAATCCGCACCGCATCAGCTCGTAGTCCGCAACACCCAGCTCGACCTTGTGGAGCACGTCTCTTTGCGTTTCAGCCCACCCCACAGCACGACCGGGGCCACGCTGCATCACGCTATACACTTCTACAGCGCCCCCGACCACGACATAGCAGTGGTCGTCCTCACGCCACATGTCACCAAAGCCTCCGATTCGCCATCCTGTCCACGCATACAGAAGCTAGCCTATGTCTGGGAGCCTTGGCAAAATGCGCAACAGGGTGATGGCATCCCGACAACAACGTTTGACCATGCTGTACCCTGTGGTCGCGTCTCGATCCATTACGTCCCCTTTCTCACAAGTCCCCCTCGTTCTCATTCGCCTCCTCCCCCCTCGTTTCTCGCCCCTCGGGGGGCTCACCCGGCACTTGCAAGTATTGCCTCACGCTTGAGCAGCAAGCCAAAGAGAAGCTCGCCTCTGGCTAGCACATCTTCCATTTCTTCTATTTCTGTTAACGACCATGACGACCTTCGGCCGCCTCCACCGAGTATATCCGACGATAAAAGCGACAATCGCTTCGAGGGCAAAGATGATAGGCCATCCCTCTATCAGCACTGCGAGGAACATCTAGGCAGGCTTTTCCGCCAGGCCCAAGACGAAACACTATCAAGCGATGTACGTTACTCGAAAATTGCTTCTATTGCTTCTCGGGAGGTTACTCAACACGCTAATCAGCGTTCAGCCATGGTCGATCCTGTCGATCCTGTCGATCTCGCCCTCGTTATCATTCAAAGCTCCGGTTTCTACGCATAATTCATTATCACACGATGACGCCAAAGTTCTCGACTTTTCTGCGCTTTACCTCATCCTGAAAGAACGTCACAGACACCTTGTAAAGAAGAAGTCCTCCTTCCCTCTCGATCAACTACGCACCTCTTCTCGCTGCTTATCGCACCATCCGGATGATCCTGCTTTGCCAGACGACCTCGCAGAATGGGGCCAGCATGATATCGCAGTTGCTGCGTTCCTCATGATCATGTGGAGAGACCTGTACCCGCGGGGCGATAGCGATAAGGATGTTGGAGGTGGAGGTGGAGCGGGACGCCCAGGACGGGCCCGGGATACTTGGGGGCGGCCGAAAGCTGGTTTTATCGATCTTGGCTGTGTATGTCGTTATCTCTCAGTCATTTTACCTTTTAGCTGAGGCACGTTGTTAGGGTAATGGGCTGCTTGTGCATATCCTCGCTTCGGAAGTGCGTCCACACTATACCACTTGACAATCCCGCTCCGGCCCTCCGACTGACTATCGTTGCAGGGGTATCAAGGTGTAGGATATGATTTACGTCCACGCCAAGCCTGGTCCTCATACCCCTCAAGCACCCAAGCCAGGCTCCACTCTCTCGAGATTGATCCTCCCGCTTGGTTTCCTGCGACTTTGGACGAGTGGAAGTCGGGAGGGTGGAGTGGGAGTGTGGTAAGAGATGACAGTTTTCTGATAGGCAATCATGCGGACCAGTTGACTGTATGTGTCTTCTTCGTCTATGATAGGATACGGCTGATAAACACAGCCATGGATCCCTCTCTTCTCCCTCCTTCCCAAGACGCCCATCCCATTCCTTTCCTTCCCCTGCTGTCTCCACCTCTTCTCTCCATCTGCCATGTTTACTGACTACACTTACGACCCTCCTCTTCACCCCCATTCACCACAGGAATGGTTACCTCTCATCAATGGGGAGCAAGAGAAGCACAGCGTATATACGAGTTATGTCAAGTGGCTTGGGTGGGTGGGAATGAAGGCGGGCTGGGAGTGGGAGGTGGAGAGTGTTAGAGGGGAGGGGGTGAAGGGGTATGGCATTGTTGGTGAGTCCATCTTGAATCGAGAAGTTGATGGTAAAAGTCTGATGGGTGAACCAGGTAATCGTCGGTGGACCGAGAGTGCGGATCAAGATGATGCTTGTAGAGCTTGGGCTTTGGAGCAGGTTCAAAGTGTTCGAAAGGGTGCTACGAATGCAGACAAGTAGGTAGATTCCTACATGAACGTGGAGGGAGACACGAAGGATTGTGGTATACGACTCGCTATGACTTGTATCTTTTCAGATGAATCACGACCCTTTACGAAGTATCATGATTCGAGCTACTCGTTGGCTGCTGGCTTTGTCTGCTGTTGGAGAGCTTCAGGCGTGGTCTGTAATATGTGTCAAGTCTCCAAGTAGCAGCCACGTCGGCGGCCAGTACAGCTCTCTCGACAATCGCAGACCACCATGGCACTCGAACGTGCGAAGACGCGATATGAAATGTGCTCCAAGCTCGGAGCAATATCAATGCTCAGTGCCCAACGTGACCGAGTAGTACAACACACGTTGATTCTCAATCTTCCCTCCTTTATCAACGTAGAATGCCAAGACAGTGCTAAATTAACTCGAATCGTGGCACGGTGGTTATTCAACGTTTCATCAAACGTTACGCAGCACCCAAACGACACCAAAGCACGCGGGCCAAAATGTTGTGAAGGGCCCTTTCGATAAGACACGATAAGGGGGATCCTTTCGGGTAACGAGGCCTGTGGGGCCTGTGATAGGTCGAGGTGACACGGGACATCAACGCGCTGGACACGGGCACAGCCTTATCTCTACATCTCTCGGAGGGTGGACTTGCGGCTCGGAGATCGGAAGATTGAATGGGTGTCGTGTTGATATGCGTCTGCTGGAGACAGAAGAGCTCTGGTCATTGATGCACCGGAAAACGACGTCCAGCTCTCTCAAGTCCTATGCTCTGCAACGGTTGGAGACGCGCATAGTTTGTTCTACTATATCTGTATCTCCCTATATTGCTCTAACTGGCCCACATATTTGAAGCATTTCAGACCTTGTCAGTAGCTCGTGGCTGGATGTTTCATGCATCACCATTGGTACGTAGACTCGGGGTGTTTGGCGTGATGATATATGAAGTTATTGAGAATAGTAACGGCTTGGAGGTCTTCAGAGAGGATGCGAAGCCAGAGGGCTTGGCGGGCAGCATCTGTAGTAGCCAAGTACTCTGCCTCCATTGTTGATAGCGCCACAGTGGGTTGGCGTCTGCTTTGCCATGCCACTATCCCTTTATACACCTTGAAGACATACCCGGTTGTAGACCGTCGGGTATCCAATGTCCCCCCCTTCCCCCCCCCGTCGGCATCCGCATACCACAAGGCCAAGCGCCTACCCATGGCGAAGCAGACGCCAACCTACTGTGGCGCTATCCACAATGGAGGCAGAATATATGGCTACTACAGATGCTGCCCGCCAAGCCCTTTGGTTTCGCATCCTTCTCGAAGATCTCCAAGCCGGCACTCCTACTACCCCATTTCCACCTCTCAACGACAATACAAGCGTCATTGCGGCTGCCCACAACCCTAGCCAACTGCACGAGAAAACGAAAAGACAAAGGGATGAAGGTAAACTTTACGGGACCCTATCTCCACATGCAGCTCTCTCTTTGTGCAGAGCAGAATTGAAGGGGTCGGAAGCTGGGAAGAGAGGTGGCTGACAGCGGGTGTAAGGCGGTCAAGATATGATATGCAGAAACAAGACAGGAATACATGGCCGCTGCATCACCGTCATCACTTTCGCGTTCTCGTTTCTTCACGGACATGACCGCTTCGCACACCTCTCCGCCGCATCTTGCTGTTTATTCGGCTGACTTTTGTATCTTCGATATCTCGCCCACCTAGAGAGCCTCTGGAGCCCATCATGAGAGTGAGTCGCCAGATCCACCAAATATATCGCTAATATATGCAGATTGCCATCCAAGGTTGCTCCCACGGCAGTCTCGCCGAAATATACGACACAGTCGAGCAGTACACCACCACTACCGGCAATCAGATCGACCTCCTCCTTCTCTGTGGTGATTTCCAAGCTCTCCGCTCTGTCCACGACTTTCCATCTCTCGCTGTCCCGGACAAATTTAAGCAGCTCGGCACTTTCCAGCAGTATTACTCGGGTCAGCGAGTTGCGCCAGTCTTGACAATTGTCATCGGCGGTAATCATGAGGCGAGCAACTACATGTGGGAATTGTATCATGGAGGGTGGCTGGCGCCGAGCATATACTACATGGGAGCTGCTGGGAGTGTATACGTGAATGGGCTGCGGATTGTGGGAGCTAGTGGTATTTACAAGTCGTTTGACTATACGAAAGGCAAGTGTCTATCATGTTGTCAAGGTCGAGAGCTGACGAGGACTATAGGCCACCACGAGAGGGTCCCTTATGACTCTAAATCTCTGCGGACGGTATACCATATCCGAGAGTATGATGTCGAGAAGCTGATGCGGGTAAGCAGCCAAAGTACCGGCCTTGACCAAGACTCATCTTATTCCAGTTAACGCCGTCGCCAAATACTATTGTCATGTCTCACGACTGGCCAACCACAATAGCGCATCATGGAGACAAGCAAGCTCTCCTCAGGAGAAAACCTTTTTTTGCTGAAGAGGCGAGTACCTCTATCCTGTCCTACCCAGCAAGACTGACATTCCGAGGCAGGTCCAGAACAACAGCCTCGGCTCACCACCCCTGCTCAAACTCTTGAACCAATTTCAGCCCGCCTACTGGTTCGCCGCCCATCTCCACGTCAAATTCGCTGCCCTCTACCAGCACAACTTTCCCTCGCACTCTCAAGATTTGATCGCTCAAAATCAGTCGGTCCACAATCCTGATGAGATCTTGATTGAGGACGACGAACCGCTGGTGGAGGCTGGAAAGGCTGGCAACCCGGATGAGATCCAGATTGATGACGATGAAGAGATGGGAGATGGGGCAAAGGGGAACCCAGATGAGATCGTGATGGATGATGGAGAGTTTGAGGATCTCCCCGCGACCGGAGGAGGGGTCAAAGAGAGGGTGAACCCAGATGAGATCCTGGTGGACGACGACGAGTTTGATACTCCCACTGCCGCCCCGCGAGGAGTCTCTCAAAAACCTGCCGGCGAAAACCCGGACGAGATTGTGTTGGACGACGAGATCGACGACCCACCTGCCCCTCTTGCCCCCGCCAATGGCTCTATCCCTGCCCCTGCCCCTGCCGCACACACTGCCGTCCCCTTATCTGTTCTCGCTTCTGAACCCATCCGGCCCTCTACCACCCTCATGGAACCCATCGACGAATCCGCCGACCTCCTCGCTGCTGCCCGTGCCGAAGGTGACGGATCTACCGCTGCCGGCACCATCGCCCCCTCCCCCGACGACGCCATAGCCGAGCGCTTACGCAAAGAAGCAGAGGAAGAACAGCAACGGTGGTCTGAACTCGCAAAGAATGCACCTGGCGGGCAAGGAGTCCCGGGGTCCACCAAGTTTTTGGCGCTGGACAAGTGTGGGCCGAATAAGAGGCATATGCAGGTTTGTTTCCCTTACTTTGCTTCTATTGGAGGCTGTTGCTGACTGTTTCAACAGTTTATGGAGATCCCCGACCCTGACCCAAACCCTTCATACCCTCCACGCCTGACATACGACCCCGAATGGCTCGCCATCACCCGTGCCCTCCACCCCTACCTCCCCCTGGAATACCACGCCACCCGCCCGCCTCCCCCGCATATACTAGGACAGATAATTGAAGACGAACGGATAAGGATTAGAGAAGAAGGTCTGTTGGTACCGCCGATCCCGAAGGAGGGTGAAGAGGAGGAAGGAGAGTTGGTATGGGAGAAGGGGAAGATTGATGTGGGGAGGGTGCAGAGATTCTGGTGGACGGCACCTCCACAAGGAGAGCCTGGAGGGAGTGCTAGTAAGTTCCTTTGAGGTAGCTACTTGAAAATAAACTGACAAGTGATGTAGCGGCTTGGTATACCAACCCTCAAACACTATCGTTCTGCGGTATGTTGGGCCTGGAGAACAAGATCAATCCAGCTCCTCCGGTGCCTCCGGCGCCTGCGCAATAAGGCGGGAGGACTGGTGGCGGCGAGACATCCATGTATACGCTTGGCGTCTAGGTTTTACTTTTTACATTCTCTGCATTAGCATCTGCATGTGATTGCTCTGCATTTGGTTGCCCAACGTCCAGGGATGAAGGATGAAAACGACGCACGGCGCATAGCACGCTGTACCACTAAGGAACATATGCCGGGCCATTGAACACTCTTCCAATGACTGTCTCCTGTCCCTTTGTCAACATTCTGTTGACAACAACAACTGCAGCGCCCAACCTCAAGACCGATCAGCTGTGAGGCGAGTGGGCATGACAAGAGGACTGATTTGGATTCCACGGCATCAATCTTCCCGATGACTACGTACCGGTCGCCGAGAGCATGTCCGTAAGGACAGTCGGCTCGCAAATGCCCTTTCCGACGACATTGGAATCATACCCCTCGGCTCTTCAGATATCTGCGAGCTCAAGCGCCAGCAGAGCCTTTGGGAAGACAAACTTTGGGGTTCAGCCATAGCTGTCGGTGGTTGGCTTTTTTGTTCAATGGCAGCGGCTTTTTTGTTCAACGGAACTGGGGTCCGGCCCAGTGGGCAGAGCCGGAGTGGGGATCGTCGAGTGGACAGAATAGCGATCAGATCGAGCAAAGGAACGGGATCGTCTTTGTTCCAGCTATGCCTCCCAATATTTGAGTAAATCGGAGATAATAAGAGACTCGAGGTCGACGTTGGTGATAGAGCCCACTGTTTCCCTATACTCCTGACAAGACCCGGATGTGGGGTGGAGAGATGCTGGGAGACCATGGGCGGGATGAGCCATGAATCGTACAACTGTGCATATCCGATTAGGTTCATGTTTTGATCCGCAGGCCGCAGCACTTTTACCAGATCTCACAGACGCGTCGACGCGTCGCCCTAGAACACACTAGATGGCCGCTATACAACGCTATCACAGCATCGATCTGCAGGAACCTCTATCTTATCTCTTATCAGCAGATCCATGGTCAGCTGCCTTGCAACATGTGAAACGGCAGAATGGATAGAGGATTCATATCAATAAGGGGTAACCAGACCGAGATATCTAAGAAAATTGTCCATACGATGTAAACCGACGAATATAAAGCTACTGGCACTCAAAGAGCGCTGTATTTGTACTACCGACCACGACCACGAAAGAGGAAAAAGTCTAGCCGTCTTGACACCACGGCATTCTTCACAGGCTATATACAGGAAGAGTGGGCGTTTAGGCAATGACGCTCAAAGCACCAACGAAGGCAAGGGCGATGGAGCCGATGGCGACGGAGGAGGTAAGGGCAGAGCCAGAAGAAGCAGAGGAGGAGGCGGCGGCAGACTACGTTGAGTCAATATTGTTTGACTTTTGAGAAGAACAAAACTCACAGAGTTGGGGATGGAGCCAGAGGTAGAAGTGCTAGCGGCGGCAGAGCCGGCGCCACTGCTAGAAGCGGCAGCGGAGGTGCTGGCGACAGCGGCAGAGGTGGTGGAAGCCTTGCTGCTGGAAGCAGAGGAAGAGCTCGAAGAAGCGCTGGAAGAGCTTGAAGAAGAGCTAGACTCGGAAGAAGAGGATGAAGAAGAAGAGTCGGACTCGGTGATGTTGAACTGGTCAGACTGGGCGAGGATGGCAGACTTTGCAGAGAGGAGGTTAACCTGGAAAGCGGTACCAGTGGGCCAGTCACCGTCGGGGTAAGAGACGGTGACAGAGCCGTCGCTGGAAGTCTGGTTCTTGACGATGGTAACACCGTTCTGGCCACCCTGTGATGAAAAAAACTGGTCAGCGCGCGGTCCTCCTGGGTAAACTCCGAAGTATGTTGCGGACGCGGTCGCGGAGCCGAATTGCGGTGCCGTATAAAGAAGAAAGGGAAAGAGAGAAGGGATGTCGAGCGCGAGTCGACTCCCGATTCCCGCCACTTTGCGACGCGCGCAAGGCCACAAATCACGTCTTGGACGCCGCTCCGCTCGCCATGCCCGCACTCTCAAAAAAGTGATGGAAGAGTCCGACTTACAGATTCGACGAGCTCAATCACGAAGGTGTCGGGGTCGGTAGAGACAGAGTCCCAAGAGATGGTCTGGGAGCCACTGGAGGACCAGACGTCGTCCTCGGTAGGGCTGGTGACCTGGAGGGCGTTGGAGACGGCGAGGGTGGCAAGGAGGGTAGCGAGGACGGTGGTGGCGTGCATTGTGGGTGGTGGGTTGAAAGGTTGTGGTGGGTGAGGGGATTAGGATTGGGGGTTATAAAGAGCGAGCGGGGGATGAATGATGGAGAAAAGAGAAAAGAGATGTGATTCCCGTGCTCCCTTATATCCCTCGAGGAGAAAAACAACGCGTCCCCAGGCACAGCGCATCGTCCCTGTCCGATCTCAGGGAACCCCCACGGCGTCCGCCGAGATCCACCGAGCCAAGAACTCTGTGCACTGTTTGGGCCCTCGGGGCAGGGCAGCACGGCGTAGAGGGCGGTGCAAGAGGTACATGGCAAGGGCATGTCGACACGGACAGCCTCCAACGAAATCAGCATGGGGTATCGACCTGGTGCGGCAGTTGCCCGTTGTTCTTCTCTTAGGTCTCCCGCGCGCGGCACACCTTGCTTCTGGCAATTGCCTTTCGAGCTACTCAGATTCCAACATATCGCCTCATCCAGCTAACACCTCCACCATCCCCCAATCCCAACGCCTCCTGCCATTCCTTCCGCCGCTATCGTCCGATATCTCTAACCTTGGGCGCCTACCGCCATGTCCCCGTATGGTTGCCGTTCGGGCTGTGAAGGATTACGTGCGCTTGTAAAGATCCCTTAAAGTTATCTCTCGGCTGGGTGATGTTTAGCATCGCCTCGCGAGAACTGATCTTTTTTCTTTCAGCGATCTCGGCCTTCCGCTCAGGTCCACTGCCCACAGCTTTCTTCTCGCCCTTTACCCTGCTTTCTCCATTTCTTTCCTTGCACTGCTTCCCGGCTGCTACCTCTGCATGGCCTGGCAAGGGGGCGTTGTCGCGCCCGCGAATGACTTTTCCACTGTACGGTGGCCGAAGGCACTGTTAACACTGTCGAAGCCGAACATGCAGCAGCGATACCACATATCTCATCCAGGGAAGATAATTGATATATCCCAATCAATGGCATATCCATCTAAAAGCGTTCATAACTTTTTCAACCCGCGCAGACGTTCCTCTGTGACTTGAAAACAACCAGGCAGACCAGTCTCGGACCAGCTATGACCTTGGACGAGCTTTGCCAAAGCTGGCGCGCAGGTGAAGATGCGTGCCTGTGGAGCAGTTACTCAGTGAGATGTTCAGGCTTAGATAAGATATTGCGAGATGACTCACCATGCCGTGTCCGTTATGCCCGCAGGACATCCATTGACCCGGCTTGCCCGGGACAGCACCAACGAACGGGACGCTGTCGGCGCTCTGTTCCAATATGGTTAACACAGGTTTTAGGATCATATGCCCACAGGTGTTTTACGTACCATACCAAGAATCCCACTCCAAGAGCAGTCGTATTGCGTAGCAGCGCCATAGTCCGATGACTCCCTTATATACGATCAGGATACGGATGAATACTCGTAGATCGCATAGCTTACCAGCGAAACCCTTTCGACCCCAATTCGCGCACCGAGGTTGTGACTGGTTCGAAATTGACCAGGCTATCATCTGTCTGTCTCTGCTTGTCCTTTGCAACATACTCTTCCAGCTCGTGCAAACTTGGAGGGCTTCCACCGACGAGGATGACTCCATCAGAGATACTCCTCGGGTTCACAGAGTACATGCCGTTCGCGTAAATGACGCCGTAAGAGTTTTGCAGGGCGTTGGTACCAGAGAAGGAGCTAGATGGGTAGATGCGGTTGCACATATGAGGAGTGGGGTCGATCAGGGATGTCATCTCGGGGAGAAGTGCACACGCAAAGCCGTTTGTGGCGTGGATGACGGTGGGTGTATTGATGGACCCTTGGTCGCTGTTGACTGTCCACCGATGGCCGGATCCCGTGATGGACAGGACCGGCGTCCATGTTTGAAGATTGAGCCCAGCCTTGAGACATTGTTGAATGATGTAAGCGACTGTCCCATCGTGTCATTGGCTGGTGCTTGAACGGAAACAATAACACAAACTCACCTAGTTTCCATGGATGTAGCGTCGATGCGTCCCAGGCGTACACTGCTCGGGCATCCTCGAGACGGGAGACCTGTTACCATGTCAGTCATGCACTACGCAGTCTCATAGGCAAGCTTACCTTTCTAGCTTTGCTTCGCTCACTCGTCACCTCTATGGCTGAGACATCCCCGCCCGCCTCTTGGAAGGCTTGGAAAACACCTGCCGCTTTGGTAGTCGATTCCTCGTCCATGAAGACGTCCATCTGTTGGATCAGCCAAGGGCCATTGAAACAAAGATACAGGCTCACAGTCTTTCCGGTCCATAGATCACAGTCTACTTCATTGTCTTTGATAAAAGCGACCATCGCTTGCCAAGTACGTTTCTCGTTCGCGAGGATCTAAATTCGCATTAGCGGGTCGGTCTGCCAGAGAAGAAGGGAGCTTACTTTGATAGCTTCTTTGGCACCAAATCGTTCTTCATACTCGGAATATCCCCTGTAAGCATCAGGCTTACAGTGACCAGCATTTTTACCCGTAGCACCAGAACAGAGCTCGCGCGCCTCGAGCATAACGATTGATGCAGGTGGTGTATCGGATCGAAGAAGAGACAGTGCGGTGAGCGCGCCGGAGAGCTAATGTACGCTTTCAGTAATCATGGCTAGATACTTTTATACTTATGTGGTACATGCGTTGCTCACCCCGGATCCAATGACAACGATATCCGCTTCAGCAGGCAGTACTCGAGTAGTCCGCTCGTTCAGTAACGGATGCGAGCGTGTCGTTTGTTGCCAATGAGACAAAGACATGCCTTTGGCGAGGGGCAGACCAGCCTTGAGACTGGAAGATGTATCGTCCTCCTGGAGCACAAAGTTCTTGAGCTTGGCCATGGCGGTGTTTGATAAAGAAGTTCACTGGAGGAAGAAAAGAATGGGGCGATTGTCAACTTATCGATGCTGTTCCCGGGTGGCACTAGCCTTGGCGTTCTCTGGGAAACGCACATGGCCCGCTTGTGGCCGTCATCCACGGCACAAGATGCATGCATCGGCGCAATTTGCCCCTACACAGCGACTGCAGCACCGACAGAATGATAGCGCGTGCCTTATCTAACCGCATCTAACCACCCTCTAAGCGCACTTATCCACTCTGTCGCTTCTTCTTCCGCGTCTTCCCTGTACCGAATGTCGCTGCTGATAAGCGCATCTAGGCGCATCTATCCGCCTCCCATGCGTCCACCGATCCAATGATATGTTTACGCTTATCATCGTATCTCCACCCGTGTTTGAAGCTCTTCTTGCTAAAGACCAACAGCTGCTCGTATATGTACCCCCGGCATTTTGGCTCTCATTTCACAAATCAACACAAATCAGAAGAGTTGCACAAGATGACCGACTCGGATTCTATCAAGCTCGCACCTACAGACATTGCCGTCTTTGAAGTCGATGCGACAGCCGGTGGTGACGCTGTCACGGCGATATCCCATTCTCATCGGTGAGTATCAGTAATTGAGGCGTAGACATGCGCTCATTAAAGCTGTAGTGGACTTCGCCCGAGGCACTTGCAGCTCATAGCCATATCTGGCGCCATTGGATCTTCCGTTTTCATCTCCATTGGAGGTCCACTGACAGGCGGGCCTTTGGCTCTCTTGATAGGGGTTTCTTTATGGGCGACGGTCGTCTGGGTGAGTTCGCCTGTCCTTCAGTGGCCAAAGGACTGACTGACGGAATGGTCCCGTAGGCGATAAGCAACTTTTTGGTGGAGATGAGCACGTTGCTGCCTATAGACGGCGGCTTTGTTCACTACAGTAGTCGCTTTCTTGACCAGTCTATCGGCTTTGCGCTTGGCTGTAAGTGTCAGTTCCGCTGCTGCTCTCGTACATGTACTCAATAGATTCTCAGGGAATTACTTTGTCACTCAAGTGGCTCTCATAGCGACTGAGCTTACATGTAGGCCCTTTTGCACTTGTCTTGTGGCTGGACTGATGACCAGACTTAGCCTTCAACGTACTGGTTGCGTACTGGGCGCCCGATTTGCATCCAGCGATATGTATATCTGTGGGACTTGTCCTACTTCTTGTAGTGCAAGTGGTGAATGTTCGGGTATACGGCGAAACAGGTGATTTTTGTACCTGTCAACACTGAAGTAGCCTTGCTGATATAAACGTAGAATTCTGGATCAGTATCTTCAAAGTATTCTTGATAGTCGGAATGTTTATATTCACAATTGTCACCATGTTAGGAGGAAATCCGCTCCATGACAGATATGGGTTTCGGTAGGTCACTTTACTGCCACTGAACGTATATCTGAGACTGTTGCTAGATTCTGGAAAGATCCTGGTCCCTTTGCGGCTTCCACTCCCACTGGTAGAGCCTATGACATATGGCATGCCGTGCAATGGGGCGCTTATGGTATCGTGAGTGGCAGCCAGGTTTATAAGAATCCAAGCTCACCACACTCCAGGTGGGCCCCGATTATATCGCGCTCGTCGGCGGAGAGGTGAAAGATCCTCGTCGTGTCCTCCCAAAAGCTTTCAAATCTACCATCTACCGTATCATCGCTTTCTACGTTGGTGGCGCGCTCTTTGTGGGGATAAACGCTCCTTATAACGACGACAACCTCCTCAATGCCTCGTCCAAGACTGCTCGCTCACCCGTAAGTGCACTTCGTCTCCTCCAGCCTTCAGTGGAGCTGATATGTTGCTTGGCAGTATGTCATCAATATGAACCGCTTAGGGATTCCCGTCCTGCCCGACATTCTGACTGCAGGAATATTGCTCTCACTATTCTCGTCGGGATCCTCGATGGCGTTCGCGGCTAGCCGAACACTGTATGGTCTCGGTCTTCAAGGTCAGGCACCCAAATTCGTCACGAAAGTCAACAAGCACGGTCTACCCTATATCTGTGTTCTCATAACTCTAGCTCTGTCTTGCTTGTCGTATCTCGCCGTATCCAACGGTACCAACACTGGTGCGTTGCCGTTCACAAAGATGTGCTCCATGCTAACAGACCGTCGCAAAACAGTCCTCACGTGGCTGATCAACTTGACCACCGCTACACAGCTCATCACCTGGATGGTCGTGGCTGCGTGAGTCCGCTCACTGACATAAACGTACATTATTCTCACTTCCATTTTTTCAGCTCTTATCTTCGATTTCGAGCCGGTCTGGTGGCTCAGGGTATCGGCCTTGACTTCTTACCTGCTCGAGGATTTATCCCTCGGTTCTCAGCCTGGTATACATTGGTTTGGTCCGCTTTTGCTCTCATTTTCAGGTGAGTCTGCCTATGCTCTAGAGACCCACGTAACTGACTCTTTATCAGTGGCTATACCTTCTTTGGACCTGGTGAATTCGTTGTCACAGATTTCATCTTTACATACGGGGCAGTCTTCATTTTCATCTGCTGCTACGCCGGGTGGAAGTTGAAAGACTTTTTGCGCAATGGATCGATCACGTGGGGTGTCGAGGCCAAAGACATGGACTTTAAGAGTGATATAGAGGAGATTGACGCCATTACCCTTGCGGCTGAGGAGAAGAGAGCGACAAAGCCTTTGTCGAAATTTCAACACGTCACCCGTAGAGTGTTTAGAGCTCCTTCGTAGACGTTGACCTGTTGCTGTTTTCCGTGTTCGAGATGTTATTTGTGGTATTCATCAGTGAACTGGAGCAGTGTTTTGAAGTGCTGCTTTGAGCATATGCATAATATCATGATTACATCGAGAAAGAGCACGACAATAACGACACGGGACCAAATTCGACTTCGGCATTGCTTCGGCACAATATGGCGGCCGCCGCGTTATCTGGTCGGCTGCGCCACCTGACTACTCCTGCTCCAATGTCTACGTACCTGATCTCGGCGATAGAAAAACGTTTGTTGCTTTTTGATACCAGCGGTGTTTCTTACAACGCCCCACTTCCCGCAGTCAGCACCCTCAGAGAATGGCCTCTACTCCTGCTACTGTACTAGCTCCCAAGCCAGAGGGCATCAGCGACAACGATAGCAGCAATAATGTAGCAAAACGACCCAAGCTGACTCGTAGTCGGGCAGGTAGGGCAGTCTCCTCTTCTATGGTACATAGCCTGACGGGTCTGGTGCAGGCTGCCTGGAGTGTAAGAAAAGGAGGCGAAAGTATGTTGACCAGTGTCGGCTTCCATTCGCATTGCCACTCACCACCAGTAGATGTGACGAGCAAACACCAGGCTGTGGGCGATGTCTGGCTGCCGGTAGAGATGTGGGTGATAACAGTGAATGATATAAGCTCACAAGAGGTAGTGTGTATACCCCAGCAACTGGCGCAACACGAACGACCGGCCCACCGTCAATCTTGATCCTCCAGACTACCTAGCTCTGATTTTCTGGGACGCTGAAGAGCGAGAATTGGTGAGTCATAGCAGCCCTCAAAGGCGTATCCGTATCGGCGCTGGCTTATGCTATGCTCGGGCTCAGATGCAGCATTTCATGTGTTTCGGTAAGCATTTTCTATAATGTCTTGTCTGATCACTGACATATCTTACATATCACAGGCACCATCAACTTGTGCGCTATACCCCAAGCAGACAAGCCCATCCAATTCTTCGATATATCTTACAGTATTGCGCATCCCCGAGGCTCACATCTTCACTCGGATGCGCTCTTGATATCCCTTCTCTCCATCGCCGCTATTCATCGCTCTTCTCTGCTGCTGCAGCAGCAGAAAGGGTATCTCAAAGGTCTACCAAGAGGTACTTGGGCAAGACCATCACTCCCAAACGGCATCTCAAGCACCAACACAATCACACGGCTCAGAGCTATCGGAACGTGCCTAAGTCAATCATCGATGGACTTGTGCCTTTCTGCTCTATTACTCAAGTTGCCGACTATCGAGACGACGCCAGATAACACATTGGTGCTTCTCACCAGTCTGCTTTGCGCCATCATATCTCAAGTGATGATAGGGGGGATCAAGTGGAAGAATGCTCTAACCATCGCCTGTGACCTTGTGAGCGCGCAAGGCGGTCCAGCAGCGATGCTGGAAGCGGCGTGTGGTAAGCCCCACTTTGCAAGGACCAGAGCTGTCCTTGAGCAACTGGTGTTGGTTGATGTATGGCGCTGTCTCGCGACTGGGCAACAGCCACAGCTCCTTGCGGAGCCTTTCCAACCATGGTGGTGAGTCAACTTTCAGAGGCAGAAAATCATGGTGCTCATCATGACACCAGGTATGATTATGCAACAGCCCAAGGCGAGAGATCATCCGAGGACTTTCGAAACAAATGCGGAATGGACGCGGGAGTTCTAGAACTGGTAGGCTTGTCTGGCGCCGAGGAGAGAATACAAGCTTACGATCAGATAGGCAAACCGAGTCAACATACTGGTCCACGAGCAAAACGTGTTGCAATCAATATCTGATCAAACCTATATCGGCCAGAATACAACAAAAGCCAATGATTTGCTTCTGGAGCTGGACATATGGGTAGCAGGGGAGGAGATGGATGGCCAAACGCCACTGAAAATCATTCTGGGTAATCAAATCATGATTTATACTCTGAGAGTAAGTTGCCACCGTCCTATAGACGGCTCTGACCTTTCTTAGGTTGTACTCTTGGTCGATCTTTTACATCACGCTCACTCTCACGAGGCTGTCCAGACCGCGGCGTGCAAAGGGTTGCGACTCTTGGAGCAGTCCAGGTCATTTACGACAATCAATATGCTGATTGCTACCATCATCCTAGGTATGCATGAACAGCCTTGTGAGATGAGATTGCTTTTGCTGATGTTTGATAGGATCAATGATGCAGGAAGAGACTGGACGCCAGCGGGCACGAAGTGTCATCACCTCTATGAGATCCCACGAGAGCTTTTCATACGATGTGGAAGAAGCATTTGGGATGCTGAACAGGGTAAGTCTACAGACTTAGCGGGCATCATCGATCGTTGACAAGATGAGGCTGATGTGATCTAGTTGTACGCACTCCGAGACGACGGGCATTACGATCCATCTTGGAGAAGTGTAGTCGGGGAGCTGCTATTGCTATAGCTCCGCCTGTTTGTTCACGTGTCCCGACGTGATCACGTTGGCGGCGAGGACACTGGTTACACTGGCTACATCCATTCAACCCTCGCATACTCCCGCTCGTCATGACTTACCTAAGTGGCACCTGAAGTCATAGTATGGCGGCGCGGTCAGACAGATGGCGTCCCTTTCACAATGCACCTCGTCCGACCTGCTTGCCAACTGGTACCTCAAAGGACTGGCATGCAATCATCAATGAATGTAAGGAAATGTGTGGCCATGATGAATGGAAATATAAGTGCGCGGGACATGAATACCCAGCGACTCCGATCTGGCCCTCCAGTCAGCTGTCAGACAGCCAATCTCTCCTATAAAACCAGCCAGTAGCGCTGTCCTCCCCAGCAATAACAACACCCCTCAGCCCCTCTCAATCACTCCACCAACACGAGACTCACAATGTCCGTCAACACTGAAGACTTTGGCGTTACAAGCCACACCTGCTCTACCTGCACCGGCTCTCTCTCTCGCTTCCGGCACACAAACACCGCCGACGGCTCTCGCTGGTCAACCACAGTCTGTACCAATCAGTCATGCGCCGCTCATGCGCAAGATCAAACGCAGACCATCAGGTCTGCAAACCCTCTGCGCAACGTGTCTGTGCGCCAAGCGCAGGGAGATGGGTCGGTTTCTGCTGCGCGCACGACGAGTATGAGCACGAGAAGTGTGGGACACTCGACGGTTTGTCCAGTCTGTTCGCGGCGGGTGGCGCCTACGTCTGTTTCGGCTTACAAGGGAGAACACCGAGCTGGCGCAGAGTCGCTTGCGTCGCAATTGTACTGTGTTCACCAGGCTGCCAGTTGGCACACTGCAAATGGTCTTAATGACCTCGAGTGGACATCTCTACAGCCCAGTGCGAGTTACTATAACGATCCCATGGTAGCGTGGGACGGAGCAGCGGTCGATGATGGTGAAAAGCCTGATTGCAGTGTCAGAGACATGTGGAGAGTAAGCGCTGTACGAGACTGATGGGGCGAACAGGCGCTGATGCGATTCGTAGCGTCAATTGATCCACCACCCTGTTGAAGTGGCCAGGACTTACAAATAGTGCGGTGAACATGTCGAGCATTGATAGTAGACGGACTGCAACGTGACGTACATCTGATTCTCTGTGAATTCCACCTGCAGACCGTAGCGGGAGACAAAAGAGACGCGTATGCATTGCTCAGCCTCTTGACCTTCTTTATCTTTGACCATCTAGACTCCCATCTTAAGCCTTGACAAACTCGACACCCTTCTTGATGTTCTTGACAAGGCTACAATCACCATCAGCCGTCATCCTTGGCGTGACAATGAAAAGGGACGTACTCGGGCAAAGCGGCCTTCAACAACTCTTGCTCCTCAGCGCTCAACTGGCCAACAGGGTTGATCTTCTTGACACCCTCGGGGCCAAGCTCGACGTTGGAGGCAAAGTACTCGACACCCTCAGACTCGTAGAGGGGAGACTTGACGAAAGTGGGCTCGACGACACCAGACTCGCCGTTGAGGGCTCGGATAAGAGAGTCGGTGAATCGGGCACCGGCTGGAGAAAAGTCAGCTGGGCTATCAAATACGAAGGGAAAACGTACCGTAACCCATAGAGAGGGTAGCAGAACCAGTACCGGCCTTGGCCTTGACGACCTCGTCACCACCGAACTGGATCCTGTTCACCAAAGCCTTGTAGGCCTCGCCGTCGACACCCTTACCAGCGGGAGTCTGGGAGAGGAGGGGGACGATGGTGACACCAGAGTGACCACCGACGACGGTGACCTGGACGTCCTTGGGGTCCTTGTTGGTGATCTCACCGAGGAATCGGGAAGCTCGGACGACATCGAGGGTGGTGATACCGAAAAGCCTACCCAATGTTAGTCAGGCCAAAGTATGAAGAAAGCGGCGCACCTCTTCTCGTCAAAGACGCCCTTCTTCTTGAGGACCTCGGCAAAGATGGGGACGGTAGAGTTGACGGGGTTGGAGATGATACCGATGAAGGCCTTGGGGGCGTACTCGGCAACGGCCTCGGCAAGGTCACGGACGATGGAGGCGTTGGTGTTCTATGCGAGAGTCAGTCCTGCTACTTCCAGGGCCACCTCAAGACTCACGAAAAGGTCATCACGGCTGATCGGCAAATGACAATGTTAGCATACATACGCCTTCTTGCACAAGCGAGGTACGGCGTGAAACCACGTCGCCCTCGTTGGCTGTAGATTGAAGACAGGCACTCACGTCATTCCAGGCTTCCTGGGGACACCAGCGGGGATGATGATGATCTCGGCACCGGTAAGGGCCTCCTTGATGCTGTATTGCGGATGCCATGTCAGCCTCTTGTCCGCGTACTACACCCCTTCCCACGCTGCGCAAGACTCACTCGTCCTTCTCGAAACCCTTGACGACGGACTGGGTGTTGACGTGAGAGATATCAGCGGCAACACCGGGGGCGCCTCGGATGTCGTAGAGTCGGAGACCGGTGACGGCGGGGTTGGACTTGAGGAGGAGGGACATGGGCTGGCCGATACCGCCGGCGGCACCGAGGACGGCGACCTGCTTGTGGGCACGGGCGGAGGAGGCGAAGCCTCGGGCGATGGCGGAGGAGTTCTTGGTGAGCTGGCGGGCGAACATGGGGAAGTGTTTTGGTGTTGGAAGAGAAAGAGAAAGAGAGAGAGATGCCCCATCTCCCCCCCAGGAACAGCATTCGGCATTCTGTCGGAATAGCGGACCACGACCCGGCTACTATTAACGCCGCAAAGTGGCACTTCTGCCCATGCATACACATCCCCAGGCCATGCATAGGTGTGCCCCGGATGGCTATACCAACATGCAGCCCCTGGATGGGCCTCTCTACGTGCACTAGGCCCTTGGAAGAGCCAGCAGAGGCATCCTAGCCGCGATTTCATGGGGTCGTATCTGCTGATGCATAATACCAAAAAATACAAACAGACTGGCCGCAGCCGTCGTATAAATCCACTACAGCCGACTCATGCACTACCGGTCCCTGCCTTTTCCATGCTAAGCCTCACAGTCCAGCTCTTACTCGTTGGTGGCCATCTCGAGCTTCATCTTGGCGATCGCAGCAGCGGGGTTGAGACCCTTGGGACATGTTCGCGAGCACTGACCCAAAATCAGTTCCATCTTCTAGACGAGGCCTAGTGCATGGCAGATCGACTCACGTTGAAGATAGTGTGGCATCGGTAAAGCGACATTGTGTTCTGCATCTTCTCCTTACGTTCGGCACCGTACGCGTCCTGATTGGTTCGGTTATGGTTAGCCCGATGTCTAGACGATCATCTCGCGTCGCCCCTCGCGATTAAACGGCTGGGCTCCACGGGGAGCATGGTGAACTTACTCGAGAGTCGGCCATCCATCTGTACGCCTGCATCAAGACCGCCGGACCGAGATATTGATCTTGGTTCCACCAGTACTGCGTTTTGGGTCAGCGTTGTGGATGTATCGAAATGGAGAGGACTTACAGAAGGACAAGATGTTGAGCAGCACGCACACAGGATACACTCGTACATTCCGTCCAGCTTCTTCCTGTCCTCCTGGGTCTGCAAAAACTCTCCCTTCGCCGGGGGGTTGTCGTTCTTGAGGTACGGCTCGATCGACTTGTATTGTTTACTGCAGGAATGTCAGTGATGTCCTGGCTGGTCACGGGAGTACTTACTAGAAGTGAGTCAAATCGGGGACGAGGTCCTTGACCACATACATATGGGGGAGGGGGTAGATCTTGCTCTCCGTCTTGGTGTCCTTGGGAATCCGGCACAAGCACGCAAGAGTGTTGACGCCGTCAATGTTCATGGCACAAGACCCGCAGATACCTTCTCTGCACGATCGTCGGAAAGTGAGGGTAGGGTCAAGCTCGTTCTTGATCTTGATCTATGGAAAATGTCAGACGGTACTGCCGATGGTGATGGCAAGCACTTACCAGAGCATCGAGCATCATAGGACCACATTGAGAGAGGTCGACCTTGTAGCTCTGGAGCTTGGGCTTTTCGTTCGGCACATCCGGGTTCTAAACGACGTTGTCTGTCAGTGACCGTCCAACGAATCCACCAGAGCCGCCATTGCCCTGTCCACCCCACGCCTGCTTGCCCACACCACGGCGATGACTTTTGCCCACTCACCCATCGGTAGATCTTGAACTCCTTGATCTTGGAGGGCTTGGCCTCGACAGGGGTCGCGAGCTGGGCACTGGAGGTCGCGTGGAAAGAGCGGGTGGCCGCGAATAGTGGGCGGGAGGCGGTGGCGGTGGCGGAGGAGGAGGCGGCGATGCCCTGGGTGGCGCGGAGGAGGGAGCTGGGGCGGAACATGGCGGTGGAGGCTGAGAGGTGCGTGGAGAGAGAACAAGAAGGAGGTGAGATTGCCGCACGCCGATTGGAAGTTGTCTCGACGGGGCATGTCGGACATCGCCACCACTAACCTCGGGAAGTTTCGCACTTTGCACCGTCCAATCAAGCCGCGAACGATGTTCAGCGTTACGTAACCATAGTCAGCGCGTCTTGTGAGCGCTGAACGTTGAGTGATGCAGCGATATATCTCGTAACCTGGAAGTTGAGGCAGGAGGAGAATCCACTTGAGACTCATGGGCTACTCTGTTGGGCATTAGAGACCTGGCAGCTCTCGCGTGTTCCATGGAAAGAGCAGCAGCTTTAATATCGACCTGCACGCGTCAGCAGAATGTAGTCAAACAGCAAGAGGTAGTGAACCCCCACAACATGCTGCAACATGATGGACGACCCCAAGATATGGCTAGATCGTTCCAGTGACTCTGCCAAGTTGCGATACATAGACACCTCAACTGGCAGTGTCGAGAGTAATTGATCTCGATGGAAGAGATGATGAGCGCACTTTCGGGAATTTACTTCGGTTCGCCGGCGGCCGAAGGGAAACTTTTGGTAAACTTCCCTTGATCACATCTTTGTTTTTCTCCCGTATCGATGCCTTGTCGCTATGCACTCGATGCATGCACATGTAGATATGGTCTCTATGGTACAGCTCGTCTTGTAGCTCAAGGCTGATACCAATTGGACAGTGTACCTTGCAGTATGCAGTTCGGAGCGCTCCATCGCGACTTTCATGCCAGATCGTTAATTGTGATCTGGACCTCAGATCAAGAAATTTCAATCCGAGTTGCAATAATGTTGTTCACCTTTCTGTTTCTTCTACCACCTGTATAATATTTCATGAGCCAATAATCGACCCTCCCCCACTACCTGTACAACAAATACACACCGCCAGGATGTCGACGACGCCTATGGGGAAGGATTTCGACTCGAAGCCCAGCAGCAACTACTCGGCAGATCCGAAGGAGACGCCAGGACAGGAGGGACAACCGATCATCGACTACAATACCCGAAATGCCAGCGATGACAGGGAGGCGTATGCAGATGGAGGTTTGTGGCTGATGGCTTTTTGCGACTGCTTTTGCTAACAACTACCCCTGCATTTAGATGTTCTGGTCCGTGCCCCATTGCAGCGTCGCCTCAAAGGACGACATGTGACCTTTATAGGATTTGGAGGAGGTATCGGTGTTGGTACGTCTTTGGGCTTGATTCTGGACTTTTTCCTGACGAGTGCAAACAGGTGTATATGTTGCGAGTGGTGCGGCACTTGCGACCGCAGGTCCGGCTGGTCTCCTGTTGGCCTACGCTCTGATGGGCACGGTATCGTGGGCGTTGGTATGTCCTGGGATTGGATCTATCTTGGGACACTTGCTGACTTGTTATAGATGCAATCTGTGGGCGAAATAACCACGCTTGTATGTGTTGGTCATGCGTTTTGAGGCTCGGAGCTGACAAAAGTACAGTTGCCTTCTGCGGGTAATTTCCCTCACTTTGCGACACTATTCGTCGATAGGTCACTAGGTTTTGGAATGGGCTGGAACTGTGAGACCTCTCCCGTGCAATATGACCGCAATAATGCTGACAATGTGTAGACTTTCTCGGGTCAGCTTGAATCATCGATTGGCGTCTCATTCTCGCTGACACAATTCCAGTTCCGGTCTTTCAGTCGCTTCAGAGCTGTCCGCAGCTGCTGTCCTCATCGGGTATTGGTCGTCATTGAATTCGGCCATCTGGATTACCGTTTGCCTAGTGCCCATGATCGCTGTCAACTTTGCGGCCGTGAAATGGTATGGCGAGACTGAAGTCGTGAGTACATCACTATCATTGTAGGAGCTGCCTAACATTCCAGGTTACCGCGAGTATCAAAATCATCACTTTCGTTGTGTGAGTTTTCACAACTTCTCAGAGGGACGAGGAGCTCATGAAACATAGTTTGATCATCCTTGGTATCATCCTCGACCTGGGAGGTGGGCCCAAGCACGACAGGATCGGGTTTAGGTATTGGAATGACCCTGGCGCGTTCAACACGTATCCGGGCGTCACTGGATCTCTTGGTCGCTTTTTGGCATTCTTCAAGTGAGCACCTCTTTCATTGCCGTGTGGCCGAAAGCTGACTAGCTTGTAGCACCTTTATCAATGCGGCCTACTCGTATACCGGGGGTGAAGTGGTCATTCTTGCCGCCGCCGAATGTACCGATCCTCACAAGCAAATCCCGAGAGCTGTTCGCAGGATCGTCTACCGAATCGTCTTCTTCTGTCAGTAGCCAGAGCCCTTCAACGCTCCTTTTTCTAACACATTCATAGATGTCATTGGCGTTATCATCATCGGCATGCTGTGAGTTGTGACCTTCAGCTCCCCATAGGACTGTATCTGATACCATTGATAGGGTCCCCTACACCGATTCCCGTCTTACTTCCGGTACGGACAACGCCGCCTCTTCTCCCTTCGTTGTCGCCATAGAGAACGCCGGAATCTCCGTCCTTCCCTCCATCTTCAACGCCGCCGTCCTCATCAGCGCCTGGTCTGCCGGAAACACCTACATCTACGCTGGATCCCGATCCCTCGTCGCCTTGTCCCTAAGTGGACACGCGCCAAGGTTCTTGTCAAAGGCGAGCAGAAATGGTATCCCGTATTGGTCGGTGGCTTGCACCTCGGCATTTGGATTCTTGGCCTACCTGAGTGAGTGCTCTGCTCTTGGAAGAAGCACAGGAAGCTGACATTGCAAAGGTGCTGGTAGTGGTGGCGCTCCCCAAGCATTCGATTGGCTACAAGACATCACCGCTCTCACCTATCTCCTTACCTGGGGTGCTCTCTGCTTCACATACATCAGATTCTACGCTGCGCTCAAAAGCCAGGGCATTAGTCGGGATTCGCTTCCTTGGAAGAGCATGTTCCAGCCCTACCTGGCGTGGTACGGGCTGCTCATGTGCACCATCATCGTCTTGTTCAGTGGATTTCCAGTGTTCATGAAGGGAAACTGGAACGCGTCCGACTTTGTGGCAGACTATATCAGTGAGTTCAGACGCTTTGTACAAAGGCAATCCAATGTAGGACGGATCTGACATTGGCACAGGTATCCCATTGTTCTTTATTCCCATCGCTGGCTGGAAGATCTATAAGAGAACCAAGGTGAGTCTTCGAGTCTGCTGCGGGTGCTTGACTGACAGAGGTATTGTAGATGGTCAAAGCTTCGGAAGCTGACCTTTACACTGGAAGACTTGAGGCGGATTATGAGGTTCCAGACAAACCGCCTACCACTTGGTGGGGCAAGTTCCTCGATTGGTTACTGTAAGGCTTCTTCGTTTGGTTGTCAGGTTGTCCTAGAGCGAGGAGCATTGCATGAGATATCTTGAGCTGGCTCGTGGTGGTATGCCTCTCCCGTATGGATAAGCTATAAAATAGGCACAGTCAAGAGAGAAGTTCTTCCTCAATCCGCCCAAAAAGATGTCAAGAAGTAGCCTCTGCCAGCTTGCCAGCTGAAAAGTGCATAGCTCTGACAATAGGACAGGCTACTGTGCCGGCGCTGGATTGGCAATACAGCAAAACACAACCATGTCACATAAAGAATCACAATCAACCTTCGTGTCATTTCGGTCATCTGCGATTATCTGGCACCCTCGGTGTCCAAGCTACTGCTAAAGTCCGCGCGTCTCCTTGTCTCTCGGCCTTCTAACAAGGTGTTTATCGCCGGAAGGGCGTGCCACGAATGACAAAGTGTGGTTTGCTTTCGACTCCCATGCATGTGGCATGTGGCAAGCAGACGCTCCCCCCTCCCTTTTGGTCTTTCCATTAATCCAGGTAGGACGTCCAGCTATCAGCACATGTAGCACCCCGAGAGCATGCACGGGATCTCGGGATGCTCATTCGAGATAAGAAATCTCGGATGCTGTCGGCACTTGAGCGGTCGTCCTATCTCAGCCCTTCCTCCCTGGCCTCCCAAGAGCGCCTCATCCAATTAAGCGCCATCTAGTTTGCCCTTCGGCAATCCGGAGATTGGTAATCCTCTTCATTATAGACCCCTCCTTATCTACAGTACTGTACGCTCGATCAGTATGTTTATCGCATGTGACCTCCAAATCGAGTATATAATAGCTGGCCATGCACTATATTTCGCCCCATGATCGTATTTCTGTCACATACACTGATAACCATGAACGACGAAAAGAATAACGACGTCCAAAATGGTAGCAACTACTCGGCAGAGACGCCGGCGGGAGAGAAAGGGGAGCAAGACATCGAGTGTACGGTTGTGACCGCTGTCGATGACAGAGAGGCATATGGGGATGGCAGTATGTCATCGTCCGTCCTGGTTGTCAGCTGATGCTGACTTGCTTTCAAAGATTTGGTCCCTCGTGACCCTCTCCAACGACACTTGAAGGGGCGACATGTCAGTTTCATTGGGTTCGGTGGTGGTATCGGTGTCGGTACGCAGTGTCTTTCTCCTCTTCTGGGGCTGTGGCTCATGAAACGGGTATAGGTCTGTTCGTTGCCAGTGGTGCTGCTCTTGCCAAAGCAGGTCCTGCAGGTGTGCTTTTAGCTTACTCTCTTACTGGTACGATATCGTGGTCTTTGGTACGTTGAACGAGTAGCGAGGAGCGAGGATTGCTGACTTTTGACGTAGATGCAATCTATCGGGGAAATGACCACCCTGGTTGGTGACTTCAGTCACGATACAACCTGTTGTTGCTAATTGCGGAATGTAGCTGCCATCTGCCGGTAATTTTCCAAACCTGGCAGGACGTTTTGTCGACCCCGCATTCGCTTTCGGCCTGGGATGGAATTGTGAGAGTTCTTCTTCTCTTGATGGACACTGCTAATAACCTAAAGACACTCTCAAGTAGGTTGCGTACAAACAAATGACATCGTGACCGTCTGACGTACAGTACTTGTTACTAGTTTCGGCCTCGCTATCGCTTCAGAGCTCTCCGCCGTCGCAGTGCTCATCGGCTACTGGTCCTCTCTCAACGCTGCTATCTGGATCGCGGTGGCTCTCGTTCCCATGATCTGTATCAACTTCATATCCGTGAAATGGTATGGTGAGGCTGAAGTCATCACCGCAAGTATCAAGGTCATTACTTTTGTTATGTAAGTCACCTTATTCAACGCAAGTACCATTGGCTGATCCAAGTAGACTGATTATTCTGGGCATTATACTCGACCTCGGTGGTGGGCCTACGCACGACAGGATCGGGTTCAGGTATTGGAAAGACCCTGGAGCGTTCAACACATACTCGGGGATAACAGGATCACTTGGTCGCTTTCTGGCATTCTTCTCGTAAGCATCATTGCCTCCAGTCCCAGCAGTGTAATAACCAGCGTGTAGTACCTTTGTCACCGCTGCGTTCTCCTACAACGGTGGAGAGGTGGTCGTGCTTGCGGCAGCAGAGTGCACCAATCCCCACAAGCAGATCCCGAGAGCAGTCAGGAGGGTCGTTTATCGTATTATCTTCTTTTGTACGTCGCGCCGCACGCAGTAGACACTTTGCTGATGTCTGAATGTTCCACAGATGTGATCGGTATCCTCCTTATCGGTATGCTGTGAGTCAAGCTTGTTCCGTCGATCGTGGTCGTTCTGACCAGTTCAACAGCGTCCCTTACAACGACGCTCGTCTGACTGGTGGCACCGGCAACGCCGCGTCTTCTCCCTTCGTGGTCGCCATTGAGAATGCTGGTATCTCTGTCCTCCCATCCATATTCAATGCTGCCGTGATCACCAGTGCTTGGTCAGCCGGAAACACATACATCTACGCTGGCTCACGATCGCTCGTCGCTCTGTCTTTGGGCGGGAAAGCGCCCAAATTCTTTGCAAAGACAAACAAGAGAGGAATCCCATACTACTCGGTGGCTTGTATCTCTTCTTTCGGGCTGTTGGCTTTCCTCAGTAGGCGCAACCTTAAAGACCAAAGCCTTTCGCTAACTTGTCATGATAGGTGCTGGATCGGGTGGCGCCACTCAGGCTTTTGAATGGCTCCAAAGTATCACCTCTCTTACTGGCCTTCTTACCTGGGGCTCCCTTTGCTTTACCTACACTCGATTCCACGCCGCACTCAAAGTCCAAGGCATCGAGCGAAACACTTTGCCCTGGAAGAGTCTGTGTCAACCGTATTTGGCATACTATGGGACATTCATGTGTTCAGTTATCGTGTTGTTCAGTGGGTTCTCGGTGTTTTTGAAGGGAAACTGGAATGTCTCCGACTTTGTGGCAAACTATATCAGTGAGTATCGGTCTCTTCCGTCCATTGGAAGACAACTCTGACCATCACTCAGGTCTTCCGTTGTATTTCATTCCCATGGGTTGCTGGAAGATATTCAAGAAGACCAAGGCAGGTCGCATTTTTGCTTGTGCATCTACCGACTGACGTTATCGTGTAGGCTATCAAAGCGTCGGAAGCCGACCTCTATACCGGAAGGCTCGAGGAAGAGTACCAGATTCCGGACAAGATTCCTACCACTTGGTGGGGCAGGTTCGTCGATTGGCTGCTGTAGGTGAGATATCCTCGAATCATCGACCCGAGGTTGTGTATCTCTCGTCAAGGGGCGGCGAATATTGTGGTTGAGAGATAATTGAGTAGGGTTGTACTGCGCATGTGTCTTAGAACAGAATGAAATTCGTACTCCTGGTGACCGGTCCACGACAACCCAGTCTGTGACCGTGGTAAGGAAGATACCCGAAGGGCCTCTGACATGCGCCTTCCCATTGAATTTGACTACTGAACACATAAAGGGGGCTTGCTATTCACCAGTTGACCAATTTGAAGAGCCCGCGGTCCAGAGAATTGTGTGCATGCAGATCGCTGTTCCTCTTTACAATACAGTTATGATGACGTGTTACAGGGTATACCCACTCCCAAGACCCACACGCTCAGTCCCTATACATCCACCATCTCCTCTCGGAACCAGCGCTGACAGTCACAGTCTGCACTTGTGTAATCGTCAACGGCACACAAGACCCGTCGCTGCTGCTACTTGCGCTAGTGTTCGGGGCCGTTGTGGTGACAGCCTTTTGGGTGGACGAGGGTAGTGTACTCGTAGTCGACGCAGAGGTGGGGACTGTTTCGGTAGATGATGAGGAGCTGCTGCTCAAGACACTGGACGAGCTAGAAGCGATGCTCGAAGCTTCCACCCCCACGATATCACTGGATGTAGTGGAGGCAGCATCAAAGCTCGAGCTGGTCTGACTGGTGTTGACCGTGGTTTCGTTTTGCTCCGCGGTGGAGCTGGAGTAGGACGAGGTGGAAACTGCAGAGGACGAGGCGGTCGACTGCTGGGCCGATGACGAGGTTCCACTTTTACCGCTACCGTCATCCGTAGCCGACGAGTCTGCCGAAGACGCCGTGCTGCTCGAAGTGACGGTCGTCCCTGAGATTTGGGCACTCGTACTCGAAGAACTCGTACTCTCGTTCGAGGCTGAGAACTCTGAGGAGCTTTCTGACGCAGAGATAGAGCTGTTGGAAGAAGTGTCGAGGATGATAGCAGTGCTCCACGCATCGTCATCTGCGCTGACCGTGTACGGGTTGGGAAGCTGGGCGTTGGAGGGCAGGAGGGTGGCGACAGCATCGCTACTACAGACTCATCAGCGACACACTGAATAATCGTTGAATAAGACTCACCAAGTCAACGCCCCGCCAGTGGTGCCATTCATAACATACCCATCCTCCCCGTTATCCCAGAGCTGATCTTGCGAGTTCCAGCTCAGATCTCGACCTAGCAGGTACTGCACCTGGTCGATACTGAGCTCCATCACACAACCCGCTTCCACAAGATCGCCATCGCCTTGATCGATGTTCCCATAGATGGCTAAAGAACTCGCCGCGCCCGAACCTTCTTCGGTGAGAGGCCAAGTGACGTTTCTCTTTCCTGAGCCGTCATCAGCCGGAGGGGACGAGTTGGAACAGATGGGGATAGACGCTTGGAGTGTGACGGGCGAGTCGGCAGAGGGGATGGTGAGTTGAGAGAGGATGATGCAGGAAGAGGAGGAAGTGGAGAGTTTGAGGGAAAAGTTGCCGGGTTGTTGGGCGAAGGATATGGGGAGGAGAAGGGGGAGGAGAGCGAGAAGGTAGGTATTGGACATGGTGTGATGAATCGTTAGGAAGAGATGATGCCGAGGTGAGGGGATATGGGAGGCTCAGACGTTCCGAGCTGGCCGATGCGGGGCCATTCGGATCCTTGCAGGCCAATTTATAGGTCTCGGGGCCACATGACGGCATTCGAATTCTGTTCACAAAGCAAGCTGACCAGCTTTCGAATGAGGTCTAATTCCTTCAGTCTAACCCAATAATTGTACCCCTACCTTCGATTCAGGGGGTATCAAAGGAAGGCCGAAGGGTTTCACTAGTGGAATGCAAGGGGCGAGGAAAGGATATGTAGACAGAGTCGTCCTGGTTAGGGCAGAGTTCCCCGGTTTGCGGGGACGCCACACCGAGATGCTCGTACGATACAGCCTCACAGATTCAAGGCCGCGAATCACCCCTGAAGGAGTTCCTTCCCAAACGCCCCAACCAGGCCTGCAGCGACCCAACCCGCGAGAACGATCCCCGTGGTCTCCCACGGTTTCGTTGGAAGAAGCACCCTCAGCCCAAACCCCGCACTCATACCACCCAAAAGTCTCGTACCAGCCCAGATCTTGTCTGTCTGCGCCCACTGCAAGCTCAGATGTTTGTCAAAGGCGGTGATGGCGGGCGAGGGTGCCCACGATCCCAGGATGGGAAGAGTTGACAGGAGGGATGTTGGTGGCACATGAGTCGTGACAGGGTTGGTCCAGGGATAGAGGAATAGCTGGAAGAGAAGCGGAAGGAGCGCGGTGTAGAGGAGAGTGATCGGAATCAGTATAGGCCTGTCGTCACTGAGCATATATCCTCTCTGTAAAGAGAATGGCTCACGAGAAGTATCGCTGTCTACCATCTTGTATTTCCAGAGGTTGTGCCCTCAGCTGCTTCAAGGGCACAGAGTCCCAGCTTCGCACTTTGAGCGCCGCCAGTGCAAGGCCTAGCGTAGCAAGGTGCTGAGCGACGCCTTCTCGTAGCACCAAGCCGACTGTCTCTCCAACTTTCTCGGCATCCAGATCTTCAAGCCCGAGAAGCCTCACGAGTACTTCTGCGGTGATGCTGAGTAATAATAGCAACGAAAGATCGTCAACAAGCCAGCCACGTCGTATAGCCTCGCGTTCCTCCTCCGGTGGGTTGGGAGCGGCAGACAGAAACGGCACTGAACCTCTATTGAACAGGAGATGGAGGAATACGCGGGGTTTGAGGAGGACAAGATCGAGGAAGAGTAGGAGGGAGGGATGCTCTATAAGGGGATCTGCAAACTGGTTGCATCTGGGCTGTGGTGTGTGAGCTGGTGGGGGCGGTTGTTGGGGGACGTACGCAGACTGCGAGGCGGATGTTCTGTTGTGAGTTGTACACGGTGTAGAGGGTGTCTACGGGGCATGCACAGTGGGTGCAGAGGGGCATGGCGGTGGAGAGAAGAGAGTAGGACAGTGAGCGATCTTTGGTTCCGCTGCGATGCCTCCGTCGGCCCTCCGCTGGCCGCATCCGGTGTTCTGTCCTTTGCAGTCCTCAGGTTCAGCTACAAAATGTCCATCTTCCGCCACAGCATCAGCTCACTCACAGACAACAACGACAGCGCAATCGCACTCGACTCCGCCTCACAAACCCCGTCCTCTCCCCCAGCATCCGCCACCCTTCCCAGCTCCAACTCCCACGTCTCCGTCCAGCTTCCAGACCACCCTCCCTCCCATACCCGCTCCCCCTCCTATCCCAACAGCTCACACCTTCCAAGCGCTATGCACCATACCACAGGCATACCTCGAACGCGAACCAACTCGACTAGTCAGGGAGACGGCAAGTACCGCCGCAAGGTCGGTTTCGAGGCGTTCGAAGCTGGCCCCGCTGCCCTGTTTGCTTTCACGTGCCAAGCCAAGAGTGAGGGGTACAAACGGTCTAGGAACACGCGAGTCTTTGCCGTTGCGTGTTCACCGGATGAAAGTGGAGAGTCGGCGCTCGAATGGTTGATGAGCGAGCTGGTGGAGGATGGCGACGAGGTGGTTGCGCTGCGGGTCATCGAGGTCGATGATGGAGGTGGGTCATGATTCATTGTATGGTAATTGCGCTGACATGATATAGAACGTCAAAGTGACAAGACGCAAGACGAGTTCAGAGAAGAAGCCCAGTCTCTCCTGAAACTGGTGCTTCAAAAGAATGACGAGGCCGATGACACGCGCAAGATCTCAGTCATTGTCGAATTCGTCGCCGGCAAGGTGCCCGAGATCCTTCTAAAGATGATTGCTCTTTACCGTCCAGACTGCAAGTTCCTCTCCTATACCTGCTAAATGTACCATCTGACCTCGTTTAGCCCTCGTGGTTGGCACCAAAGGTCAACGCTCCAAGCTCCAATCCTGGGGTATGGCCCTCGGCGCACCAGGCATGGGCTCTGTCTCTCGATTCTCCGTCTCCCACTCTCCTGTCCCCGTCATCGTCGTCCGCCCTGAACGTAAGGTCCGCAAACATCTGCAAAAGAGACAAAATGACCCAAAGAGGGGGCAGTACGCTGCCATCCTCGGACCCAATGGGCTGGCGTTGAGCAGGAGCAGGAGTAGGGAGAGGAGCACGGGGGGTAGCACTGGTGGAGTTAGTACGGGCGGTATAAGCGACTATGAGCCATAGAGGTAGAGTGGATGTCTGATATCTTGCCACGGACGCAAACTTGTACATATACCAAAGTTGTCTTCATATGAAATCTGCTGCTCTATTCCAATGTCTGCAGCTGTATGTCCAAGTATGATACGCCGTACAAGCCCTCTCTGCTCAGCAAGCATCGACGCAAACAACAATCAACCTACACACGTGGATCAAGGCGAGACCCTCTCTCTCTTCACTCCTGCGTCCTCTCTCACGACCCCTTCCCTCTCCTCAACAACATCATCGGGGGTCCTAAGCTCTCCAGACATTGGTCTCCTTTCGGCGTACATAGCGCCCGGTAACATGCCATGCGTCCGGGAATTTACGGCCAGCTCGCGGTATTCAGCTTCCGCTCGTTGGGCTGCTGATTGTTGATCGACTTTCACCGCTCTACGACGGTTCTGAAACTGAATGGTAGAGCTGTTAGTTGTGAGGATGAATGATAGAGGGAACAGCACGTACCCAGATTTGGACACTCCTCGACGTCATTCCTAGTTGTCGAGCGAGCTTGTCTCTTTCCTCCGTCGTTGGGTAAGCCGTACGCTGGAAGACGTCACTGAGGATCGAAAGCTGCACATCGTCCGCTATGTCGCTGTCAGTCTTGATAAGATCTTGAGGAAGCAATAATGAACTTACCTCGCTTCCTCAGCGATTTGAAGTTTGCACCGCCAGCACCCCTAGGGACGATAGCACTTGCCGGACTTCTCCTCTCCCTCACCCCCGCACTCGGACCCGCAGCCAGATTCCTATGCCCCTCCGAGGGCACCGGTCCAGCAGAATGATACCTCATCCCATCTTTCGCATATCCTCGTCCCGGCGGAGGCGCGTAAGGATGGCCGTGAAGCCTTGATCTCCGTGCAGACGATGGCACACGGTACCCAGGCTCCCTGCGAGGCGGGTAGACATACGAATGCGGGGGGTAGGGAAGGTAGTATGCTTCGTAGGCGTGAGGATAAGTGCGGGGGTGTGGATGGCCTGGGGGAGGTATAGGGGGATAGAATCTGTCGGTACTGATCGGTGTGGGGTAGTATTCTGCTTGTTGGGTATGGATGGGAGGCAAAGAGGAGTGGTGGCGGTGGGGATAGCCGGGTGGTGCAGGCGAATACGGGCCATATGCGTGAGGCGCATGGTGAGGCGGATGGGGGTATAAAGGAGGTCGGTGGTCGTACTCTCTGGCATGGGGAGAGGAGTAAAAAGGCGCTATATGATGATATGACGGTCGTGTTGGGTGACCAGGTGCGAGTGGACTTCGCGGAGAGCTCGAGTATCGTGGAGAACCAGCTCCACCGCGGACCTGATCATGCGAAGATGAAGACTTTCGTCGGTGGTGTTGTGGGACGGTGGTGTCCGTGACAAGCGGTCTTAGTGCTAGTGGCGAGGAGCGGAAGCGGAGCGGGAGGTGATGAGGGGACTTGGGAGATCTGGAAGGCGCTTCTCTATCCTTTGCTGAAGACAACGTCAACTTTACTTGATCTTACTTCTCAAGAGACAGACGTACTAGAAGAAGACCCTTTGGGTCCCACCGCCGGTTCAGCAACCGCCTTGGGGCCGGGACTCGGTGACAGCATGACGATCTCGGGCTCACGAGAGACTCGGCTCATACCTTCCTCACTTTCTAGTGACCTGACGCTTGGAGAGCGTCTATCCTGATCATCGTTGACTCTGTCATTACGTAGATGCCTTTTCGACATGTCTGGGTTTGACCTTGGGAGTATGCTTGGGAATTCTGTTGAAAGAGGTTGTCGAGGAATGCAGACTTCTGACGGAAATCAATTGACGAGGTTTAGTTTTGACAAAGCAGACAGGGAACGCAAGTATTGTCACGCAATTGATCAATACACTTGACCTCTCGTTCTCGTGAAGGGTGTAAAGGAAGGCTTTGGCCCAAGGATGTGCAGATCGATTTAGGTATGACCTGAAAGGAATACCACCCGTTGTTGTTCTGATGAGTTATTGACAAGCTGGACCGCGGTCAAGCCAGCGAATAAAGTGAAGGGAGCGTATCTGCCCAACGGACGCGAGCTGAACGGTATCGCGATCTCGGAAGCGACCCATGTAACGTGGGCAATAACCCTTTCAGTGAGGTGAAAGCGAGGTGTTCAGGCGATTGTCTCGAGGTGGATGAGGTGAGCCCAATGGATTTTGTTCGAGTCTAATCACTCAGTCGAGTTGGCAGGTTCGGCAACAACAATTTGTCGATAAGATGAGGACGACTGATTTGGGCAAGATGAGTACGACTGATTTGGGCGGCGGCGTGAGTTTTGCCGTTTCGGCGCGAAGCTACGGCGGTGAAGCATGTTAGACCAAGTAATACCGCAAGCGCAAAGCCAATAACCATAACCAGACTCACGTATGTGGGCTTGAACGTTCAAACTTGATAACGTTACTTCCCTGGTTGACGGAACTCTGTGCAATGTGTGGGGCAAAGGGGCAGGAGTGTACCGTGTCTTTAAGTAACGTACTCGTGAGAAGAAAAGCCAGCTCATAACCCCTCCCTATGACTTACACATATAGAATCAATGGAATCAAAGGAAAACAGCCCTGAAAATACACACATCACTGGTCTTCCGGCCACAAGCTGCATCATTCTCACAAGTCAAGAGTGAAACGAGCAGTTAGATGAAAGGAATAAGGGACAAGGAGCTATTCAGCGATTTCCATGGCCGAGGGCAGCAAGCGATGATGGATATAGTGATTTTGATGTCCCTTGTTGATGTATTTGTCGGAGAAGCGTGACTTTTTGAGCCCCCTGCGTTTAGATAAGAAGTGTGAAGTTATGTCCGGTTTGATTCAGCAAGTTTAAAACAGTGTCAAAAGGACTGATATTTACAATTGGATGCGAGTGGGTAAAGGACTTGGGGAGGGACGAGCTTACTCGATAGAGTCATGAGATATGGGCTTCTCGCAGACCGACTTAGTATGTAAGCGTTGCCATTAGCAAAGGGCCGTTAAACCGAAAGAGTACGGTACCAGGTTCAACAGATGTGCATACGCTGGGGTTGACCAAACAAAAAGTTGCAATCGCAGTGCAGGGATCGAATAAACGAGAAAAGTAATAGACACATGGGAACGAAGTAGATAAGAGTAAACAACATATTATGATATGGACAAGAAGGCGAACAAGTACCCCAAGCATTCAAACAACATTACTAGGTACATATACAGCAAAATCAACAGTCTTGGTAGAAGGATATACAAATGAAGAGAGATAAGAGAGGAAGAAAGTGAAGTTGAGGTACGTCGTGTTGGGGGACCAGGGAAGACGCACGAACTTGTAGCTCACACCCGCGCAGCGATGATGTCGCGGACAGGAATCTCTTCGATACGGGGCACAAGACCGATATCTCGTCGCTCAGGTTTCTCGGAGAATAAGGCCTTTTCGAGGATGAATTTGCCTTCTTTGTACTTTTGGCTGTACTCAAAAGCATAGTCCTAGAACAGGGTGGTGTTAGTGAATGCAGAGAGCAGATATAACTTTGGTGTACTCACGTATTTCCAACCAAGGGTAGTGTGGCACACCCGGCAGAATACATCTCGAACGGTGTGTCGACCAGTGCTCATCTCCCGGTCTTCGGCGTCCCCCGTGTATGTGTTCACCCTGCATAACGATATCAGCACTGCACAGACGACTCTTCGAGGTGCTTACACCTGTTGCACAAGCCATGCGGTACCGTGCTGGCCTCGAAAGTGCTATCCAAAACGAGTAAGTATCGATTGAGCCCGGGCCATCCAGCGGACCGAGCGGTTTTGCCACCCAGGACCGGATGAGGGGACATGCTGATAGCGACCCACCTCAGAGATGACACCTTCGCTGACAGCGAGGTGATTCCCACATTGCTTGCAAGCCAGTACTTTCTCCCCAGCCAGGTAGACCCTGAAGGTGCGGCCCATGGTGATATCAGGGTTTGGAAGACGTTCGTCGGCAGTGTTCCGTTCGGGAGGTGGGTGGCGGGGGCAAGGGACAGTGATGGAAGTGGGTTAGATGGCTCGGGGTTGCTGTAGGAAGGTGGATAACGAGAGGAACACTATGGGAAAGTAACGGCAGGAGGGAATAGCATGGCATTGGCTTCGTGCTCCCTGATACGTATAGCATCTCGCCTCCACTCTTAAATCCGTCACCCATAAGCACGCGCTCGGCCGGCCGAGTATGCGGCGGGCACCCCCGACTGCGACTCTCTTGTTGCTCTTTCTCTTTCTTGTCCTTGCCCAGTCAACATCGAGGGATGCACCATGACCATATCACAGGGTAGTTTATGAGTAAAACCAGGCTCACCCTTCCTTTCTACACCGCCCTGTCCACAATCAATTCCAGCTATCCCTTTCAAGGAGCCTTTCCATCGACACCCTCTCACCACCATGTCATCCACAGGCAGGAACCTCGGCATCTCCTTCGTCAAAGTAAGATCGGACAGAGCCATCTTGGATGTCATCTCCAGGCCTTCGGCCCCGGCAGGGGTCATTGGCTGTGCACACCGCACACGAAGGGGGTGATTGGGTCCTTTTTGTAAATCCAGTAAGCCCTACTTATACTGGGGGATCCCTCTCAAACGAACCCGTTTGACCATCTATCTCTAGTCCACTTTCTAATTTATTCTCTTTCCAAGCGCCCAACAGTGGCCTCCCGCAATCCCTCCGGCGGTCCCACACTCTTTTGACACCCCAAAATGTTCCGACTGTTGTTCCAGCCATTCTCCGCCTTCTTCATTCTCCTCGCCACTCCACTAGCCCTCGCCCAGTCGTCTGGCACGATCACAGTCTCTTCTCCTTCAACCTGCATCATCCTTGCCCAAGTCGCCTCCCTCGAGACCCCCAATGTCATCACCGCCATGGTTCCCGTCTGTGCCGACTCGGGCAGTGTCTCGGTCGACTGGCCCATATCTTCTTCCGGAGAAGGCGCGTCGTCGAGTATGGGCATATACGCCCAGACAGCGTCGGCGAGCGGCGGCGTAACGGCAGGCTGCGTTGTTGCGCTTTCTCAGATGCAAGCCATGTACCTTCTGGGAAGGGACCTCAAGTGGGATGAAGGTGCTGGGACAATGTATGACAATACCGCCGGAGGCAACATAGTGGATCCTACAACCTACCAACCCATCACATGGTGAGCGATCTGCCTGAGGAGAAGAGCAACCCATCTGACCTCTATCGTAGCGGGGCATCGGACAGCCTCCTTCCGTCTGATCTCGTCCTTCCCGATCCTTCGACGAACGACGCAAGCGCTTCTGTCTGGAGTCAGGCAATCACGCTCACTACTGGAGCATCTGCTAGTGGGGCCACCTCATCTGCTGATGCCGCCACCAGAGTTTCCCCGACAAGCAGCGTTGAGCCGACTAGCAGCGCTGAGCCAACTAGCAGCGTTGAACCTACCTCCAGTGTTGAGCCTACCACCAGCAGCGTTGAATCGACTAGCAGCGTTGACCCCACTAGCAGCGTTGCCCCAACAAGCAGCGTTGGACCGACTGGCAGCGTTGAACCTACCTCCAGTATCGAGCCTACCACCAACAGCGTTGAATTCACTAACAGCGTTGAATCGACTAGTAGCGTTGAAGCGACTAGCAGCGTTGATTCCACCTCCGCCATCGAGCCTATCACCAGCGTTGATCCCACCAACAACGATGAATCTACCATCAGCGCGACACCCATCACTAGCGTAGAGCCAACCACCAGCTCTGTCGAGCCCGCCGAGAGTTCGAGCACTTCGGAAAACATTCCATCGGACACATCTGATGCTGAAATCAGTCTCGACGCTGCCACTTCTCAAGCCGAGACCTCACAGGTGGTTTCAGCTGAGACTTCTAGTAGTATTGCGGCGGTCAGCACGACCCCAATCTCCACTCCTAGTATGGCCGAAGCGTCCAGCACGATTGATCAGTCGACCATGGCTGATCAGTCAATTGCCATCGAGACCCCTGGCACTACCGAGCAGCTCACCACCACCTCGGAGCTGGCGCCCACCTCTGAAGAGACCAGTCAAGAGCCTAGCACTTCCCAGACCCCATCTACCACCCAGCAATCAGCTACATCCGATTCCTCATCTTCTTCCCTTGCGTCTAGCACTCAAGCGGTAGCTGTTGCTACCCCTGCCCAGTCATCTGCTGTGGAAGAGAGTTCAACGTCGCAGATGGAGCAGCAGACTACGACGGAAGAGCAGAGTACAACGGAGCAGCTGCAACCGACGACTACGTCTGAAGAGGTGGCCGAGACGACTCAAAAAGGTATGTTTGCTTTTGATCCTCTCGAGGTCTTGAGCTAATTCTCTTTTCGCAGCTAGTGACACGGAACTTGTCGCAAGCACTACAGAACAAATCACCACTTCCTCGTCGACTCTCGAGTCCACTATTTACACCCCTACTTCTACTTCTATGTCCACCAGCTCTACGGAAAGTTCGACTGTCCAAGCTCCCCCGACGTCAACAGTGGCCGACGCCGAGCAAATTACATCTTCGTCTGCTGCCCAGGAGCAGCCCAGTAGCTCCGCTTCGTACAGCTCGCAAGCTGCCGACGCGAGCGATGTCTCTAGCTCATACAGCTCGGAGGTCTCTACGAGTACGAGCGAAGCGGCGCTAGTGTCAACAAGCGCTCAGGAAGAGCAGCCCTCTTCCACCTTTGAAGAAACAAGTACCACCTCTCAGAGCAGTACATCTGCCGAAAGCACTACCGAGGCGCAAATCACCACTCTCGAGCCGCCCGCAGAGGTGTCCAGTAAATCTGTTGAGGCGAAAACAGGTTTCTCTGAGGCTTCATATTCAGAGTACATGGAGCCTTCGACTACCGAGCAGTCTTCTGCAATGAAATATACATCGAAAACTTCTACACTTTCCACATCCGCGGAAGAAATTACAACCACCGCGGCTCAGCCTACGACTGTTGTGTCCCAGGACCAGCAGCCTACCCCTGAAGTCACCGAGGAAAGCACATCTTCAACAGCTGCTTCTGCCACCTCCGACTACAAAACAAGCGCCACATCCGAAGCTAGCGCCGAAAGCACAGCCCAGACGGCCACTTCCTCCCAGATGGTTGTGCAACAGATGTCAGCCACCCAACAGCAGGCGTCTACAGACAAAGCCTACAGCCAGGCTGGTAGCATTGGAGCAGCTTCATCGACGTCGGACTCCTTCTCATTGGCAAATGTGGCGTCTAGCGTCGACAGCTGGAAGGCCACGAGCACTAGCGAGGCTTGGTCCCCCGAGGCGTCGCGCACGGGTGACGTTTGGTCCTCAGGGGCTTCGGAAGAATCGTCATCGTCTAGCAGTGATCCATGGTCTGAGGCTTCTTCTGCCTCTTATGGGTCCGACGAAACAAGCTACGGCGCCTTCTCCATGTCAACTACCTCACCCACTCCCACATCCTCCGCCGACTCTGCCCCACTGGACGGAGATTCACCTGTCGTTTTCACGGCGGATGGAACGACTATTGGACAATTTACGGGTGCTGGGGGTGTGGCGGCTGTGCAGACTGATGTCGCTGCTTCTGGGAGTATGAGTGCGAGTGAAGTGCTTGGTGACGGTATGGGCGGAGAGGCGGATGGTGATGGGCTGGGAGCTACGTTGACGTTTTCTGGGGCTGAGAATGAGCCGACCCAGAGTCAGAGGACCAGCGATGTCACCACGGCTATCGGTACGTCTACGGAGAGTTCGAGTGAGGCGTCTTCCGTTTTGGGGCAGACCATGCCCAGCGAGAGTACTACCGGGAACGGTCTTATAGTCCCCACTGAGGCGGCCTCGGTAGCCCAACCCACTGGCGATTCATCGCCAGATGGGAGCATAATCGCCCAAACGACTATGCCGACTACTACGCGCGAAGGCAACGCGGTATCTGCGACCGCCAGTGGTGATGCTTCTGAACCAGTTAACGAAGGGGGAAGTGAAAAGGAACGACCGGAAGAAAGCGCCGCCAACAACACAGGCGCTGAGGGGTTATCTGCCAGCAGCGGGACTTTGTCAACTACGAGCCTGTCATCAGACGATACCGCGCATATGACCAGCTCTCCCTCCTATTCGCTTCCAAGCTCGGTAAAAACTCAGCTGTCGGCCTCTCTCCATATTGGGACTTCAAGTCAGTCAGAGAAGGTGTCTGAAAGCTCCGTTACCAGCGATTCCGAGAGTGAAAGCGTCGACCTCGGCCCTACATCTAGCTCAGGCATTCTAGCTGCAGCGACCAAATTGGTCGCGCAAGGGTTCAGCTCAGCAGAGGCGGCGTCTGCACCTGCAGGAACCTCGACTCAGTCCGCGGAGACATCTAAGGATGACAGCTCCGAAGTGTCTTCCACCATCACCAGCACTGGCAGGGCCCCCATCTCCTCCGGACTCCTCGCTGTCGCTTCCAACACTGTCAATTTCAGCTCTCTGTCCAACATGGTCTCTTCATGGGCTGCCCAGGGGTCATCCGCGGAACGCGAAGCGTCCGTGACAGAGCCCGCCTCGCCTTCAGTTAGCTCTTCATGGGCACAACCACTGTCCAATCACACTACTTCCCGCTCCTATCCTTACAGCCCGGCGTTGTCCGCTTCCGCCGTAACGGTCAGCGCTAGCGCAGAGAGTACAAATTCGATAGACGGGGGCAAGTCGTCTGCACAGGATAGGAATGGACAAGGGAGAGGGAGTAAGAGCAGTGGTAGTGGGAAGACATGCTCTAGAAGGAGGAAAGAGAAGAAGCGAGCGGAGAGGGCGAGGGCTAAGGATGTTGGTGTGTTCTGATGTATTCGAGAGCGGCTGGATAGGGATGGCGGGCGGCTTTAGTCAGCTGGCGCTGAAGATGAGTCCAGGGTTGATTGGCACTATACGTTATTTGCTATTGTTCATTTTACTTTATCTGGATAATCATGTGTTTGGCGATGTATAGTGTCACTATGGACCGCCTGCTTCTGTTAGGAAGCAAATCGTTACAATACCAGTGGGCATAGACATGCATCCATGGCGTCAATCATATGACAGAAGCAAGCCCAGCTTTGAGGTCTTTCAACTGACGATGGAGATTAGTCATCACGTTCAGAGCGCGCAACAGCGAGCCCAGCACACCTGCTAGGATTAGCAGCAGAACGTCTGCGACAGTCGGGGTAGCCGCACGGAAAGTGGAACATGGCGAAGGGAGGTTGAGATCAAAAGGAAAATTGAAGGAGAAGACGTTATACTGTGTAGACTCTTGGTGGACTTTGCAAAAGCTCAAGAGCCGAGAGTGGGAGCCCCATCTCCTGTGGGTGGTCGGTGGGTGATCTGTTTGTCCGTCTTTATCAGCGCGATCTCCTCATGGTCCGTTCCGCGCCACATGGCCCGAGTGTCGTCTGTCGTCGCCTTTTCCGCCGAGAAGCGTGCTATTGTATAGACGCGGTCACCCAGTCATGATCTCTTGAGACTAATATCGAATCTGCATGCAAGGGGCGTTAAAAGATCGTAATGAGGGAATGAGAAAAGACATTCGGAACAGAGCTGAAGGAACCGGTGGCTCAATACACCGCGATCTACAGTTGCTGAACTATGGCTTCTGTTAGCGGTAGAATTGTTGCGACAGGGGAGAGGGCCTACTTTGATGGATGAGGAACTGTTTTTCGTCCTACACAAGTACACGATATCAGCATTGTCATTCTCAACGCAGGGATCAGTATATTCACGTTGAATTGTTCATCTGACATGACCCGTTAGCGTCTGCAAGCTCGGAAAAGTATATAACGTACCATCTTTATCGTTGTGGAATTCTTTGAGGAATACCAGAAGTTTGTCCTTGTTCCTCCGCAGAATACTAGCAATTTGAGGTGGTTTGTTCGGGTTGGCAACAAACACCTATAGTTTCTTTCAGCCATGTCATTCAACGACCGAAGCCATGACTCACCTTGAACACATGGAACGCCTCAAACTGGATATTCTTGCTCTTGTCCCTCAAAAAGTTCATCATCATCTTCAAGTTTGCCTCTGATCCAATATAGCGCGTCATGATGTTGTAGTTGGCGCGGTCGAGCAAGATCTCGCCGAGGAGTTTGAGGGATTGACGCTTGGTCACGTAGTTGGATGAGAGGATCAGGGTGTTGTACATGGCGAAGAACTGAAGAGTGATGAGCGTCTGACGAAGGGGAAATGGATGAAACCCACCCGGTCATAATTGGCTTCGAGGTATTGGGCAACCATGGGTTTATGTCGTGTAAGTGTTTCCTGTGAGACTGATGAGCAAGATCTTGATGCCGAGTGGGCTGCCATACCTTCATGTTGGCCAGGGCATCACAGGAAATGCCGAACGATGTGTTCTCGATGTAATTAGGGAACGTATAGAACCTTACCAGTGGTTAGCGCGAGTCTTCGGGAGGGCAAGGATGTACTCACTGGTCCGAGTAGAGCACTATTCTCGCAAGGGGCTCATATCTCAGCATCTCTTTCAAGATCATACCGGTATTGAGCGCGATATCGGGGTTGGCATAGCTTATGTGGTCATCAGCATTGGTGCCCGAATTCAGGCCCGTCCCTGAGGACGAATGGCCCGTGCGTCTGTGTACGGGCCGCCCTAAACACCCTGACGGTTGCGAACGAACGGGAAGAGAGATAGTGCTCACCCTTTGAGAGTGTCAAAGATGATGTCGGGCCGGGTGGCGATGGTGTCGACGGTGGGGGAACGAGTGCCAAGCTGGCGGCGGAGGAGGATGTTGTAGATATTGCAGACGTCTTTCCTGGCCTACACACACGCGTCAGCGAGTATGCTCTCGGAGGACAAGTCGCTCAAGTCTGAGAAGAAACAGCCCATATCTCTCAAAGACACGTCCATCTGTCTTGTAGACATGATAACAAACAACAACTCACCTCAAAGTCGAATCGTCCAAGATGTAACACCATGAGACTCAAGAGATCTTGCGCGTACACCTCGTTTGCCACCTGCGCCACAATGTCGGGAGAAGGCTCGCCATCCGACTCTCCAGAGAGGGCAGCTTTGACAGCGGCGATCTGGCGGGAGATCTCTTCATTGATCTGTGGGTAGAAAGACGGCGTCAGCTGGCGATCTGATATGTCTCAGCGTGGGAATTGCTGGGTGGCTAGGATGGCAGAGCAAGTACACCCAGGAAGGCCCAAACAGCGTCCGAAACTCGCACCAGCTCGACTCACCTTCTTGCTCCCCTCACCGGTCGCGTTCTCCAAGCGCAGGATGTTGTCCCTCAGGCTCTTGACGTTGTCTGCCGGGGACTTTGTCTTTTGGCGACTGAAGAAGTTCATGGCGGGTGTGGTGTGTAGTGTTGCAGGTCTCGATGGGGTCTGGGGTACTGGGGATGTTTGCGGGTGGGTGTGAGCGAGAAGATGAACCTGACAACGCGAAAACAACAACGACGCCGAACTGACGCCGAAAGAAAGAACAGCCGCCGGCCAGATACGAGCTTACGTAAGTGTTGCCACCCGCTTGCTCGGCGGGCCAACAAGCAACAACGAACGAAGACGACATGGATGCATCTCTTTCTGCATCCACATCTCAACATGGACAACTCCCCCACGTACGTAGCATCACAGAGGAACATGTAAATGCACGCTGACCTCTCGTAGCGCCTTGTTTGAGAACTATGATGAGGACCTCAAGCAGCTGCTCGGCGGTCTCAAGGCCAAGCTCGATGGAGAAGTCAAGGGGCTGACTGGGGAGCAGAGGAAGGCGGCACTCAAGAAGGTGTCTGAGGAAATAGATGAAGCAGAGGAGATTGTACGTCCGGAACTTGTGATTCGTGAGATGATGCTCAAGCTATGAGAACAGGTCGGGCAGATGGAAGTGGAGCTTCCTTCGATGCCAGTGTCGATCCGCTCAACGTACCAAGGGCGTTTAGCTACCTCGAAGCAAGGACTTGACAAGGTCAAGAAGACCCTAGTACGTCCACGCTACCCTGTCATACCGCTATCGATTAACAACGACAGCGCGACCTCCGCTTCGAATCCCAGCGTTCCGAACTCCTCTCCGGTCCCGGCGGAGCAGGTCAAAGCGGCCGCTACCCGCACGCCGACGACCCATACTCTGATGACCCCGAACCATACTCGACTCGTTCACGCCTGCTGCAAGGAACTCAGACTCTGGAGGACAGCTCAGGGCGACTGGACAATGCGCATAGGATCGCGCTGGAGACGGAAGGAGTGGGCTCGGAGATCCTCAGAAACCTCAGGGGGCAGAGAGAGCAGCTGGAGAACACCAGAGATACTGTGAGCGCTATCCCAGTTGAGGGAAGGTCCGCGGCGGACTAACATCGTTACAGCTCACTCAGGCGGACTCTTCCATTGACAGAGCAGCCGGCACTCTCAAGAAGATGATCTTCAAGTAAGCCGCCTCGCATATCGACTGGATTCCCGCTCACAGACTTGCTGATTTCCCTGGTAGGATGTACCAACAAAAGTTCCTCTCGATCGGTATCATCATCGTCCTCGTCCTCCTTATCCTCTTGGTCCTTTACTCCAAATTCCATTAGGCGCCGACGCTTCGCCTCGACCATCCACTCGTCATTCCTAGAAGAGGTTCAGCTAGTCTGAAGGGAGGTTGTGTGGGGTGAAGTGATCAGAATCCCGATGGACAAGCCACAAAAGGAAAGTTGTAAACAATAGAATGAGCTGTGTTATTCTGGGCCTCGCCAGCTGTAATGTCAAGGACTATTCTTGTCACAATCTCTCCATTCGCAACATCTCACACCTTTGCCGGCAGATCGTTGTCCTTCAGCTTACGTAGCTACCCCAAAGCGTCCAAAGGCATACTGATCTGAATACAGTGCACTTCTGAACAAAAGAAGGTGCGATGCTGAACTTTCCGTCTCCTTTATCCAATGCTGTACTCTTTGTCAAGAGATAACTCAAGTGTCGATGAAGAAGAAGTATAAAAGCTCCTGCATCTATCGAACAGTATCCCTCCAAACTCATCTTTGAAAACCCAATCACGAGACACTATCACCAAGATGTCCAAATACAGCAACAACCTGCCCAAGATGGAGGACGTCATGAAGACGCAGCCCCAGCCCCAAGTCTTGAGAGTGAGTGATCTTGTATCTTTCACGTGATCAGGGCTGACTTCAAAGTAGGATCTTCTCTCTGCCCGCCGTGTTCAAGCCGCTTCCATCATCCACAACGACTTTCCTTCCAAGATCCTCCACATCCAAAAGCTTCTCGAAGGCGAGAACGACCCAAACTCGCCATTCTGGAAGGATATCGTCTTTGAAAAGGCGTACGCGGAGCCTACTATCGGTCAACCAGAGTTGCCCAAGGGACTTGGTGGGCTGGACATCAATGGCAGCAACGAAAATGGTGCTAAGAGCGACGGCGAGGAGGGAACGGTAGGCAAGGAAAAGTTCCAAGTCGTTCTACCCAAGGACATTGTCACTTGCTCGACCAACCTCACTGAGGAGCAGGAGGGAGGTATCCGGTTGGGAATGCACTGGTTTGAGGTATTCAAGGTCAACGAGACGCATAACGAGTGTATCAAAATCATCACCAAGTAAGTCACATTCAATGTCCTAACAAAGACACGCTGATGTATCTGTAGGGAGCTCGAAGACCTTCACTTTTTGGCTCAAGATTTGAAACTCTGGCTTGATCTAGAAATCCCTCTTGTCGAAGATGGAAACTCTTTCGGTGCCGAGGTCCAGCAGCTCGTCATCCGCGAGCTCTTGGACACGTACAAAAAGTGCAACAGCATGCAAAACGGCGTGCGGGCTCATTACACCGACAGGGTGAAGCTGGGCATGGACTGGGCGAAATATCCAAATATGGCTGATTGGAAGGCCGCTATCGTTGCTGTGAGTTGCGCATCCTCGCAACAAGACTGATGACTGATGGCTTTTGCAGAGCGACCGATTCGACCACTTCCTCCTCCGGTCATATCTCCGAAACATTTTGATGTCGTACAGCAGTGTCCTCACCAAGATGGAGCGTAACTGGCCCAAGGTCATCAACCCGAAGGGCAGCAGCGATGTTGGGGGGATGTATTGATCGTCAGCGCATTCAGCAAGGAGCAGACGTTATGTATGACTGGAGTGCTTGTACCATCCGATGTATCTACGATAAATGACTTGTTTGTTGTTGCATGGATGGATAATATGGGACGGAATCGCGAAACTAGACTAGATTCGATTGGTTGCTTGATAGAGACTCATCAGGAAAGAAAATTGTCCGCATGATACCCAGAAAGAAACGGTCTCTATGACAAACGATAGCGACTAGCACTACAAAGATAAGGAAACAAAAAGTAGCGAAATACTTTTGGGAAGAGAACGCAAGTTGATTGAAAGAAATCAATTCGGATTATATAAAGTAAAGTAGCCTGGGACCTTGCCCGGAAGAACTGATTCGAGATGACGACCTAGGAGAACGTCAGTCAGATAGACAGATGACAAACTGTTATACGTACACTGCCGCCTCCACACACCCACAACTGCGCATTCTATAAGGCATGCGGTGATCCTTCGTAGGAGAATTGAGGACTTCTCATCTTGTCTGTCACCCTGCAAGACCAGTCAGCAACTTGACGTAGCAAAGGTAGCAGTTTAACTCACTCAACCATCACCCTACCGACTTCCCTCTCCTGTGGCGGCTCATAGCCAAAGCTCGACGGATCGGCCCTTCTCGGATCTCTTGGCAGTTTCTCCAATATTCTAACGACCCATTGCTCCCCGACCACCCTCTGCGGAGGGACACCCCAAAGTTCCAACTCTCTAGCATCAAAGTGCAGCCACCCCGGCAGACTGCCCCCACCCTCTAGTTCAGCACGATAGGTGGATGGAGGGTTGGACGACCAAGTAGCAGCAGACAGCTGAACGGTTGGAGGTGGATGGATGGCGGGGTGGATTGAAAAGGTCTCGTTGGACGTGGCGTACACGCGGCCGTCGTTGGCCCCTGAGGCTGAAGCCCCAGAGACGACGCGGGACGAGCTTTGTGAGCCAAAGCCAGAGCCGGCAGTGTTGGTACGACGGTGTCGGATGAACGATCCCGACTGAGGAAGAGAAGGCGAGATGGGGTTGCTATCTCTGAAAGGGACAGCCCTGATGGTACTCGCCCTTGCGGTGGACTCGCTGGGAGCGCCGCTCGCTCGCTGAGAGGTGTAAGCCTCGTCGCCGGCTTCGCCAACGCCGGGTTGGGGGGAACCAAAGTAGATGACAGAGTTGGGGTATCCAAGGCCAGCGTTGGAGCTGGGGTCGTACATGGTGGACGGACGAGACTCGGCATCATCAAACATGCCGCTAGTCGTGTGCGCGTCTCGGGCAGCTCGGTCAGTCTGGATCACCCTGGGGCTGTCGCCCCGGGTATCAACGCTAGTGCGTCGAGCAGTAGCGAGTACGGCAGCCTCTTCACCCTCCCCATCCGTCCCATCCGTGTCACTCGTCTTGAAATCCGAGCTCTCCCCAATCTGACTCAACCCGCTCCTTCTAAAACCCATAGAATCCACACCAGAAGAGTCCATCTGCTGAGATCGGCTCTGGAAGACGGAACCGGTGCCCATCATAGAGTTGGTGTTGGCGTCTGACATTGTCTCGTCAAAGTTGGAGCCAGTGTCGAATGCCGAGCGACTTTGATAAGAGTCGTGAGCACCTTCGTAGGAAGAGTGGAATTCGCTGAAAGAGTCGTGCGAGCTGAGAGAGTCTTCTCCCGTCAATCGAGCAAGGACAGCGGGAGACTGGTGTCGAGGGTATCGAGGAGTGAAATCGGGTCGGGGTCGGGGAATACTTTCCGCCGTCGACATCCTATTCATGCCCAGCCCCACGATGCCCCCCGCCGCCGCCGCCCTCTCCAAATCCTGACCCTCCGAGCTGAAAGGCCTGGCGCCTTCTCCAGAACCGTCACCAGAAGACCAATTGAAACTCGACTTGCTCTGCCAGCTCGCTCTGGAGCTCGCCGACGTGAAAGACCGCGTGTAATCACTCCTATTGGCATCGACGGGGTCTTGTGTGGCAATGACATCTGGGTATCCGACAAAGTCTCTTGAAAAGTCGGGGTTGTGCTTGAGGTGTTCTTCCCCAGTTTCGTCCCAGGTGATGATACCCTTCATGCCGTCAAGCCTGTGAGGCTTTTCGACAGCGGTAGCATTGCTGCTCATGGAAGCAGGAGAGCGAGCAGTGTAGGCAGTGGTGTCAGAGTAGCCGAGGGTAGTATCATTGATACTCCTGACAGGTTCGAGGCCTACGCTACGACGGAAGGGATCACCAAGGTCGGGACCGGCAGATGCTCGAGGACGCTTTTCATCCGACTCGTCATCATCCTTCTTGTCCTTTCTGCGGCGGCAGCAGAGGAACCAGAGGAGGACAAGCAAGAGGATGAGACCAAGTAGACCAAACACTACGCCAAGAGCGATTTTCGCGCCTGTAGACAGACCGTGGTGGGTGGCCGCTGCACTCGAACTGGTATTGCTCGGCACAGAGGCTGTACCGGTACTCCCGGACGTGTCGGAGACTCCAGTGATCCCAATATCCAGCGTCGTCGTCGCCGTAAGGCCGCCGACTACCGCCTCAAAGACCACCGCTACCTGATTGTATTTTGGGCTCTCCGGTGCAGTCCCAATCAGAGTCTTGTTCTCCGTGTAATACGTCAACCAACTCGCCGCGTCGTTCGGGGAGACAGTCGCGTTGACTTGAGCAGTAGAGTTTGTGAGGTACTGCGAGAGGTCGAGAGAGTACTGGGAGGAAGGGGAGACGGTGGCGTTGGGAAGGGAGTAGGTGGAGAAAAAGTAGGGGGTGATATCGAGAGCAAGCCAAGTGGAGAGGGTCAAGGTGTTGGAGGTGTTGGCCGATGCGATGGTCAAGGGGATGGAGAGGGAAGAGGAGGTACCGTTCTGGTAAGAATCGGGGACTGTACCAGAGAGGACGTTCTTGGAACTGAAAACCTATTAGACGCGTCGGGGGGTAAGAGAAAGGGCTCACCTGTCATAGGACAGCCATGAAAAGTCTTCACTCGCCAAAGTCACATTCAAGTCACTCTCTTCCGCCGCACTGCCTCCGACCAGCACCCCGCTCAAATCCATATCGTAGTCCACCTTGCCCTTGGCAATAGTAGAGATGCTGGAAAAGTTGAAATCCCTCGCCATCTCAATGCCCTGGCCTTCTCCAATTTCAATCACAAAGCTCGTCTGCGCGCCGGTGTAGCCCCAGAAATCGGTGCCAGTCGCGACGATGGTGTAGCTGCCTTCGCCCGGGGCGACGCCCGTAAAGGTGAAGGTATTGTTGTCAAAGTTGAGCCACGAGGGGAGACCGACATAACCTCGGGCATGCGCGGCGTTGTACAGTTTGCCATTATTGTTCTCCTTGGACAGCCTGAACGTGTCCCATTGAAAGCCCAGGGAGAATGACCACCAGGGCGGGATGGACACACCGGTGCCATTGGGCAAGATGCTGGCAGAAGCAATGTCGTGGAGGCTGGGCGCAGCAGTCTGGGTGAAGAACGACTCGTGCACAGCAGGGGACGTATAATTGGTGACGATCAGCGTGAAATTTGTACGCGTCGAGCCCGTGTCATCGGTGGCGGTGATTTGCACCGGCGTCTCTCCCTCGTCACTCAGAGCGGGTGTGCCGTAGAACGAGAGGGTGGGGGCGTCCCATGAGAGCCATGTGGGGAGGGTGGACGTGTTGTAGGTGATGGTGGACGAGGAGTTGAAGGTGTTGGGTAGGAGGTCGAAAGCGAATGTGGACCCGACGCGTGCTACGGGGGGGAGCTGTTCAGCTGGGGGGTAGTTGAGCGAGGGCGCAGCCCCTGCTTGTGTGGAGAGGAGGGCGAGGGCGAGGGACAAGTACGCGTTGAGCATGGCTGTGGACTGAACAGGGAGCTGTGTGAGGGGTGTGAAAGAGGGTTGTGGGTGGGCGGTGCTCTGTCAAAGAGGCACTTGGAATGTCGCCGGGCCGTCTAGACCGTGGGTATCGGGGTATAGATGGAGGAGAAGAAAGAGAGAAAGAGATGGACGCGTCCCTGTCACGCTGCTTCAACAACCGACCCAAAAGATACCAGACGCGTCCCGCCCTGACCCTGGTTCCTGCATCTTACATAAGCACATCTGCTCCCGTTACATCGACAACGAAGCTGCTTTCGACAGTCACCATATCATACTCCTCTGACACCCGCACACCATAATGGCCCTCCACCAACCACTGCTCCAACCGTTGCAGGACCTTGCAGCGTCTTATCCACCGGATCGCCAGGATTCCGGACCGATATTGACACCAGAACTCACCGACAAGCTCTCTTCGATATGGGACTCTTACTCAAATAGCCCCGAGCTGCCGGACGGGCTTGCAAAGAACCCGGATATAGTGAGGAGTGTTCTAGAGCTGATAGGGAGGGAATCTGTGGTGCTTGCAGTCATCAATGGACAAGTATGTGCCGCTCTGTAGGATTATATCAGAACTGACAGAGTGCAGCTGCCCGAGCCCAGTGAGGATGCCAGTGAAGAAGACAAGGACGTCTTTCAAGTAGCCTTGCAAGATCGTCTGGATATGATTCTCACGTTGTATGAAGTCGCATTCATTGCCAACCAAGGTGAATATCCGCCATCGCTCCCAAGCTCGCTCTGACAGCCGCAGAATCACCATCTCTCGAACCCGGAGCCCTCTTCATCCCACTCCTCGAAGAACTTGTCGAACTGTTGTCAATCACTACATGGCGTCGCCTATGGTCATACATTGAAACTCGTTCAAAGAGATATACCAAAGGCATGCTCCCGTCTCGAGGCAAATCTCTACCGCTACTTCGAACTATCAACGCTTTCTTGAGGTTTCTGCCGAGAACACCGAGTGACCTGGTGTTTCGAGGAAGAATACACCAGTTTGCGAGCTCGGTGTTCAGTGTGGCGGACAAGAGTGCAATCAATATGAGGGGCGACTATGGGGAGGTCAAGACGGTATGGGAAGAAGAAGAGGCTCCGAGCGAGGATATCAAAGTGGATGAAGAGGTCAAGGAGGAGACGGAAGAGAAGGGCGATGTGGATATGGAGGATGCGGAGGAGAAGCAACCCCTGACACCGGCCGCCCCGCCAGAAGCAGACTTTTACTCCACCCTCTGGTCTCTCCAACAATACTTTGCCCACCCCCCATCCCTCGACGGCCCTCCTGTTGGTTCGCCACCACAAACGCCCTTCCAAACCTTCCGCCAAAAATCCGGTCTCGTTCTCCCAAGACTCTTTGAGGAGACACAGAAGGAAAAGGAATTGTCTGGCAAAGACGAGACTGTCGGCAAAAAGAGAAAGCGAGAGGACGGAGGGTTCTTTCACCCCCGCTATCTCACCGGCAAGCGTCTCTTCTCCTACGAACTCCTCGACCCGTCCTTCCGCCGCCAGATCCTCGTCCAGTACCTTATCCTCTTTCAATTCCTGCTCAACCTCACGCCCGCCCATGCGGGCAAACAGGCGTTTACGGGCGGGATGCCGAGGTCGTTTGTGCTGGAAAAGGCAGATGAGGAGTGGGTGACGGCCAAGATTAAAGAGATCAGGGGGGAGATGAAGAAGATGTCGGGTGGAGCTGGGTTTGAGGATACTATTTTCAGTATCATTCGACAGGAGGCTCATTATGTGGGTACTGATGACGTTTTGTGGGATCGACTGACATTGTGCATAGGCGTCTTGGAAGAATGATGGCTGTCCTGAAAGCGCTTTCGAGATACCGCCCCTCGACGCTTCGTCCAGCGCCAAATCCGCCTCCGAAGATTGGTCCAGGGGCCTCAACGCGCCCTACCCATACTCTTTCAAGGTCGGCTCTAGGTCATTATCAATGCTGTGGAACAATGGCTTCAAGAGCATCGATCAGTTGAAGGGCAAAGCGCCGTAAGTCACTTCTACGTTAGTTACATGGAACGAGGCTCATACGTAACAGTGCGACGACGGTGGAGGGTTTGGATGAGCTGATAAGGAAAATGGAGGAGGACGAAGAAGATGACAAGGCGATGGGGCAGGTGGACCCTGAACAGCTCGCTGCCAACAAGGAGGTACGCTTGTTTCATTCTGCTTTTCATGGGACGGTCATGACTCTTTGTTCAGCGCAAAACAACAGCCAACTGGCGTGCCCTGCGTCTTGCTTCTCAAACTTCGCTCAAACACTTTCCTGCTCTTAAACATCAGCGATCGATCCATCTTTTACTGGAGACTATCAAACAGTCCCAGGAGCCGAAAGCCCAGGCGCCGAAAGATGGAGAGGGTGAAGTGAAAGTGGGCGAGAGTGAGGAGAAGGAAGGCGAAGAGGAGCAGAAGGAGATTGAGGGTCAAGAAACAGTAGGAGATGAGAAAGAAGGAGAGGCCGAGGGCGAGGAGGCCAAGGACGAGGAGGTCAAGGACGAGGAGGGACCGAAGGACGAGGACAAAGCGGACGAGGGACAGGCTCCTGCTGAGCCGCCAGTCGAGAAAGAGGAGGTAGGAGAAGATAAGCCTGAGGAGATGCGGGAGACGACAGTCGACTCCGCCGTCACCACGGCCGGAGGAGAGGAACAGACAACGGCTCAAATCGAAGAGCCCGAGGCGCAGGGCGAAGAACAAGGATATCTTGATGTGAGTACACTGCATCGATAGAAGTATGCGGAAAGCTGACATTCGTCAGGCCAAGGAGGAGAGTCTGCAAACCGGGGATGTTGTCATGGATCAGGCTTAGAGGTGGTACAAGTGTGTGACTAATGCAGCATAATGTCTATAATCCAACCTCATCGTCCACATCCTACGGACCATCAAAGAGCTAGAGGCATTGGTCTGGCAGCGCGTCTAACGGCGTATAATCAATCGGTCGCCTCGCATTTCAACAGTGCAAAAGCCGCTGATACCTCAATATGGAAGCTGATCACAATCAATAGTGTATACGATGAGAAATCAGAGAGATCGCACAGTATACATTCGGACCAATGTGAATACTCCTGGGCTCGTACGTTTCAATCGCTATATTCAGTCGCTTACTGTAACGCCATCTTCCTCCATCAAACCGAGCCTTTTGTACTCTTCTTCAATCACAGCGTCCATGATTCCTTCAAATTTCGCATCCACCCCCCTCCTGGCATTATCATACTCTTCCCACGCACTTCTGACCTCATCCAGCTCGCCATTGTCCTCGCGTTTCTTCTCCAGACTTCCGATCCAGGCTTTCATCTCTTCATTGCTTTCAAAGGGACCGGGGACTTCTTGCCCTCGAGCTCTGAAAGCGTCGAGGAGTCCATTGACGTTGCCTCGACGATTGATATAGCCTAAGAGATCCTGGTCGACACGCAGGGCCTCTTCGAGACGGGCGTACAGTCGGCCGTTGCGAATACACTCTCCGAGGTCGGATCGACCGAGTTTGCCAAAGCACCCAATCATCAGGAGCTCGCCAGAGTTGAGGGCGTTGTCGCCTTCGTCCCAGGCTTCTTTGAGATGGAGGTGAAGCAGTGATGAGAAAGCTTCAGCTTTAGTAGTGGCGTAGGCCCTGTGTCACTCCAGTCAGTTGGAGTCCGGTGTAGAGAGGAGTCTGTGCGCTTGCCACTCCCAGTCCAGGCAACCCGTCAGATGGCCTTCACTATCCCTCATAGACTGTCGAAACCAGTCATCGGCGTGGCGGATGTAAATCTCTTCCTCTTCGCGGGCGAGGACCTCACATTCTGCAATCATGTCTAGCAGCTCCAGCAGCCACAAATAGACCTGGATCGGATAAAGCATAAAGAAGGATGTACTCCTGATGTGGAACAGTGCTTGATCTATATGGGCAACATAACGCTCTTTCAGCGTTTTGAACGGGCCCAAGAAGTAAGGAGGCTCGGGCCGCATGAAAGTGCCCATGCTCGTGATAGGGCCCAAGGTGTAGCCACAGGAGTTATCAAACGGGTAGAGCGATCCGATACCTTTGACTTCGAGTTTAATGTCGGCAACGGCAATGTAATGTTGCGCGAACTCGAGAAGAGTGGCGGTGTACCGATCTTGGTCTTTCTCCATCGATGAAGGGTACACCTTTCACAAGCTCTTCGAAAACGTACCTTCCTATAATACGTCAGCAGATGGACGTGCAGGGTCCCAAGCGCCAGTATACTCACCATTTACGGCCTCATCAGGATTCCCCGGCATCCACGCGTTGGGAACTTTGGCACCATTCTCATGCAAAAGCCGAAGGGTCGCAACCTGGCTGGAAGCTATCAAGCTATGCAGCGCAGCCGGTATATCTCCTCAGCGTCTCATGGGGATACGTACCATCCACTTCACCCCGTCGTCGAACACCAGGGGAAGATGCAGATTCACCCAGCCGATCTTGTATTCTTCTGCCACACGATCGTTGTCTTTGGCTTGGATGGAAGGTATAATGAGGGAACAAGTGTGTCCTGGACGAATGAGCAATGCTTGACTAGTGATTCTGTTTGTGTCGAGGGTTCCAATAATGCGCTGATACTGAGAGACAATATTGCTATCAGTGGGCCCCGCTATCCCATAATACATTCACTGCATGCTGGTCGCTTCCGCGGTCCGGTCCCATCATCGTCTCCTCTATCTTGCGAGCTTTCTCATTACCGCGACCGCCTGCCTTGATGTTCGCCTTTGGCCATAGTGTCAGGAGGCGCTATATAGGTGAAGGTGGGAGAGGACTATGCGTACCAGAACCAGTATTGGGCAGACATGCGGTGGATAGGCGTTATGATGCTCTAAACACCAAGGTTTACCGCAAGTCCCTCAATGAAGGAGGGTACCTATCGAATGCTTGGGACAGTCTGCGTAGCTGCAAGGCCTCTTAAGGATGTAGGCCATGTCCTGTGAGGCTTGACCTGCAGTGAGTGTTGTGCGAAAGAGTATCTGTAGAAGATTGTCCCAGAGGTGATGTAAAGTAGTAGAGAGTGAACGGCAGCACGGGGCAGGTGATATACATCCGCTGTAGCCCATTTCGCGCACATGTAGCATGAAGCACGCGGCTTGGAGACAGTGATCAGCCTCGTGGCAGGCGGCCGGAGCATGGTCGTCCATCGGAACAGCGCAACGACTCTGCTGGGCTCTGCTGGGCCTCGCATATGTGGGACGCATGATAAGGAAGTAGAGGTACTGCATAATATTCATCCAGGCTAATGTACAGTGCTCAGGCCATGTACGTACGGTACGATCACAGTACTCTACTCGTACGTCCCAATCGCTGCTGCGTACTCGTACTCGTACTCCAGTAATCGATTGGTACAGTCCAGATTGTTTACTTTTCGGCACTAATAACTTCCCCCAAGCCAAGCTTTTTGTACTGCTCTGCAACCACATCCTTCCAGGTCTCCTCTTCTCTCCTGTCGGCCTTCTGCCTCACATCAATATACGCCTTCCAGGTAGCTCTTACCTCATCCAACTCTCCATTTTCTCGACGTTTCTTTTCCAAGCTTTCGAGCCAGACGTTCAGCTCCTCGTCGCTCCCGAAGGGACCGGGAACCTGCTGTCCTTGATCTCTGAAGGCTGCAAAAACTCCATTGAAGTTCCCGCGTCGGTTCATATAGAACAGCTCCCTATCGATACGCAAGGCTTCTTCGAGACGAAGGTAAAGTCTTCCCTGACGAATACAATCTCCGAGGTCCGGTCGACCGAGCTTGATGAAACAATCGACCATCAAGAGCTCGTCAGGATTGAGCGCATTGTCGCCTTCAGCCCAAGGATGGGCGATATGGAGATTAAGAGGGGAAGAGAAAGCTTCGGCTTTGGTTGTAGTATAAGCCCTGTAGCAATCCAATCAGCTGGTGCTTGAAGTATCTGAAAGCATGCCGCTTACCATTCCCAGTCCAAGCATCCTGTGAGATGATCCTCGCTATCCCTCATTGTTTGTCGATGCCAGTCATCCGCGTGGCGAATATAGAAGTCATCCTCCTCACGACCGAGGACCTCACACTCTTTGATTATGTCTTGCAGCTCCAATAACCACACATAGGTCTGTATTGGGTAAATGATGAAAAAGGACAAATTTCTGATGTGGAACAGAGCTTGTTCAATATGCGCGATATAGCGGTCCTTCAGCGTTTTGAAAGGGCCCAAAAAGTAGGGAGGCTCGGGCCGCATGAAAGTGCCCATGCTCGTAATAGGGCCCAAGGTGTAGCCACAGGAGTTGTCAGACGGGTAAAGCGATCCGATACCTTTGACTTCGAGTTTGATGTTTGCAACGGCAATGTAGTGCTGCGCAAACTCGAGAAGACTGACGGCGAACCGATCCCGGTCTGGATGAAGCGTGTTCATGTAATCGCCGTCAATGTAGGGTACGCCTTCGACGAACTCCTCAAAGAAGTATCTTCCTAGTACTATGTGTCAGATCTAGGAGAAGGCTACAAGGCATTGAACTCACCGTTTGCAGCCTCGTCAGGATTTCCTTCCACCGGCATCCAAGCATTGGGGACCTTGGCACGATTCTGATGCAAAACCCGAAGAGTCGCAGCTTCACTGGAAGCTACTAAGTTGTGCAGGCTGGCTGGAGCGTCCCCGTTATGCCTTCGAGGAATGCGGACGATCCACTTGACTCCGTCATCGAATATGAGAGTAAGGTGAATGTTCACCCAGCCGATTTTGTACTCTGCTGAAGCCGTAGGACAGTCGCCATCTGGCATAGATGGAATGACGAGAGAGCAAGTGTGCCCCGGACGAATGAGAGATGCTTGCTGAGTGATCTTGTGAGAGTCGATGGCTTCAACAGTGCGCTGGTACTATCAGAGAGTACTATGTTCAGCACCTCAATCTCGCTCGTTCTCATCCCGGTAATCATCATCACTCACTGCATGCTTGTCATTTGACGTTTTTACACCAATCTTCTCACATATCTGATCAGCCTTTTCCCCGCCCGCTTTGAAGCTTGCCTGTGACTGTTTGTTAGCAAGGAACTTGGGCCGCCAAGTGGCTTCAGTACATACCAAAATAAGTGTTCGGCAAACATGCGGTGGATAGGCATGAAAATGCTCTAGACACCACACTTTTGAGCAGGTTCCGCAGTGGAAAAGGGTGCCTATAGCATGTTTGGGACAGCCTACATGACTGCAGGGCTTCTTGAGAAGGTAGGACATGGCGTGGGAGGTTCTCGGTTGGCCGCAAAAAAGCTGCTGAATCACAACTTCCGTGTGATGTGCAAAGGGAAAAGCAAAATTGCAATGAAACATCTCGCCCAGCTCCATGGGCGTCAAGTCACGCGCCAAGCACCGATCTTCAAAGGACCCCCTGCCTCGTGCGTGCCCATATGGAGGTGTCTCAGCAGAGAAATCACCGTGACACGGCCGGAACATGCCGCCGCCCAGGCCTACGTGCGTCACATTCCGTTTCCCACCCCTGGAGGGGCCTGGAAGGCATGGATTCCGCATGAGTACATAGGGGACATCTCTTGCTGTGTATTGTGAGCGTAGTGCGATGGTATTTGTACCGACTCTTTCCCCCGACAAGCCACATAAATCTACAACGTAACAAGAAGCTGTGTTCTCCGAACGTGCTTCAACACGACAGCCATAACAGCGAAACTACTGTAGGAAGAGAAGTACACCGAGTGTGTAGCAGACCGCAGCAGGCGGCTTCTGATATCGATTGCACTGTATGTACCCGCGTCTCGAGTATGTATGCAGTAGTGGCGCATACCCTGGAACTGTATTATTTGCCATCAAGAACGATACAGAATCTGGGTATGCTTCTATCCACTGCGCCACAACACTTCACGCAATGTCACGCTTCATGCTAGAACCATACTGCTTTTATGTTTGCGCTGCGCCTCCCATGCCGCCCACGTCGTGCAGTACTAGATTTCCTTGATTGGCTGCGAAGGATCTTTCTGCAGCATGATATAGTTTGCAGACTGCAGCGTGTCCGATTGCGTCTGGAATCACCCTCAGTCAGATGACTGCTCCACTCGTTGTCGCAACGGGATACAAAAAGGGCCAATATACCATCCTCCCTAGTCGCATATCTTTTACAGCACGCTACTTCATGTATATACGTGATCTACACCCATCAACCTTACTTCGGTGAGTGAACGAAGCCATTCCCAAGAAAAAGAGGGCAGCATTCGTTCGCGAAGGTGAAAAGCTGACAACGAGCTCATAACAGAAGAGAGAAACGTCATACATGAGCCACTACCAGCAGCAAAACCAAGGAGGAGCTGGTCAAGGAGGAACCGTGGGGCAGGCTTCTGGCCCCGACCCCAACTACCGCTGTTCGGACCCGGACTGTGGTATTTACGTCTGCCAGCAGCAAGGTCTAAGCTTGCAGGCGGCCATTGGGGCCACGAAGACATGGTCCGGGCGCTCCGGGGGTGTGATTTGCAAGAAGTGTAAGCCAGTCACTCTCGGAGACTACCGTACGATATCCTGACCTTCCATTGTCTTGCCTTTAATAGGCGCGCGGCATGTGCAATCATACGTCAAGTAGTAGTAGCAGTTATAAGCGATGCTAATTATTGCCTTGACTCATCGGCCCTACTATGCAAGCTGCTTCTTTGTTGCTGTCGAGGTGCACCAGGTGTCGCAGTCAGTCAGGATATGTACTTTGAAAGCTTCTCTAGCGCTTGTGATTACGATGGTCTGCATGCAGCTTTTGTCGATCAGTGATGTGCACTCACGAGACAAGCCGTCGCCTCGATTCTGCAGATCACGTCATCTCATTCTTGACTCCATATTGATATCAACATTAAATTGGAAGATATACGGCTGGAATGGTTACACAGACTGAGTGTGATACTGAAACTCACACGCTGGGCCTCGACTATGTCGCCTCGGAGTACAGAATATACCGACTTGTTTCATACTCGAGTACGGCGACGGACAGACGACAGATCTCGGCCGCCGAACCATACAGTCACGTGATATCCAAAAGTTGTTGACTTTTTGGTCGCATCTGATCAACGGACTGCACTCGCTATACAACCGCAAGTACAGATCCAATGCCTGCCCCCAGTAACCGAAAGGGAAAGTCTCGCGCGACAGAGGAAGAGACAGTGCAAGCAGCCCTCCCCCTCGGTAAACAGCTCGCCCACACCGGTATGTCTTGAATTGTCTGGCTCTTCGCAGCTGCTGACCCGGTGACAGACAAGAAGGTCAGAGACAGGGCTATCGCAGGATTGGTTGCATTTGTGTCGCAAGGAAGTGGAGAGGAAGAAGGAAGCAAGTATGTGCCGCTGGAAGATAAAGAGATGGCCAAACTCTGGAAGGGATTGTTCTACTGTGCGTCGCCTGTACGAACGAGCTCAATCGAGGACTGACAGAGACCAGGCTTCTGGATGTCCGACAAGCCCCTTGTCCAACAAGCTCTCGCTACTTCCCTCTCCGATCTTCTTCTGCTCATCGCCCCATCCAACCCCTCCGACACTTTCCCCGCCGCGCTTGCCTTCCTCGCTGGGTTCTGGCAAGCCATCGTCCGAGAATGGACAGGTATCGACAGGCTGAGGATGGACAAGTACTATATGCTCATGCGTAAGTATGTCAATGTGACGTTTAGGCTGTTGGCGAGGGAGCAATGGAAGGAGGAGAAGGTGGCTGCGGTCAATGATGTTTTGATGAAGAAGGGTGGACCTGTCGGGTACGTCTGTCATGTTTCGCGATTGGACAGAGCTGATGGAATGCCGTAGATGGGAAGATCGAAGTGTTCCCGAGTCGCTCGCCAACCACTTGTCCGACATCTACCTCGAAGAGCTCGACAAGGTTCTCGCTTTGCCCGAAGTCACCTCCCAAGTAAGCCCATCATCTCTCGCGTCCCTATCTCGTTGACCCGTAAATAGCCCCCCTGCCCTCTCGCCGCTCTCCTTACCCCTCACACCATTCTCCTCGCCCGAACCCCCACAAAGACAGTCCACACGCGCCTCATGTCCTCGCTTTTCACCCCCATCCTCACTTCCCTCTCCCTCGCTTCCTCCACTCCCGTGGCCGACTCTGAGAGACCCGCAAAGAGGACAAAGAAGGAGGAGCCGATGTATGCGCATATCGTTATGCACTCTACCGCAAAAGTAGGAGGGAAAGAGAGGAGCACGCCGGAAGAGCTGAAGGGGTCGGTTCTGAGGGGAATGTTCAACGCTGCCGCGCATGGTGGTGCGACGGAGCCCAATAGGAGAAAGATCTACAAGGTCTGGAGAGAAGAGGGTGGAGACGATGACGACGACGACGACGAAGAGTAGATTCTGTTGTGCGCTAGTGATGCATAGACTTGTGTTTTACATGATATGTCGTCTTCCTGCCACTCTTCGGGACTGTATCACCTTGTTTCCTGCTGCTCCACTCGGACATTAGAGACCGGGAAGACCTCCCCTCTCCTTCGATATCCTCTGGACATACGATCGAGACACCTGGTCAAAGGCGGCCATGTAGAGACCCATACATTGGGAGAGACAGGTCTGTTGTACACTGTCAGCTATCTTTCTTGGTAATTGTTCCCAGAACCACCATCTGGGTAGACACGGGGTGAGAAGGAGGGACATACTTCTTGAGAACCGGTCAATTCGGTAGAAGGCTTGGTGACGCACTTGGCGAAACACTGCGACGAGCGTCAGTACATAGCATGAACGCAGACGGAAAGAGACGTACGTTTTCGTTGATCTTGTTAATGAGCTGCTGGGCGTTGGCGACAGCGAGCTGTAGTATGAACATCAGCTCTGAACCATGCTCTTCTATCCTACATCCTCGATCCTTCATCGTTCGTTCTCCATCTCTCACTCTCTCCAAAAAAACCCTCGCCGCGCCCAAACATGTCCTTGTTCACCCTGACCGTTCGATCAATTGCGACGGGGATGACGCCTACCTCTTGTTGGATAGACTGCTTCATCTGCTCCTTGCGGTTGGCCATGTCGGCTGCACAAGTTATCAGTCTTTCTCCAGCATTCTCTAGGGTAAAGAACATACCAGTACCAGCGGCGCCAGATCCAAAGAAAGAAGACATTTTGTTTCGATTGGTTTGAGGGGCAGGGAGGAGTGGAAGCGAGTGGTCGAGTTTTGTAGGTGTAAAAAGGTGCGAAAACGAAAGAGCGCAAGTCGAGAAGCATCATCGGGCACATGCCGACGGGATCAAAATTTCGAGAGTGGAGGCGACCTCGACAAAATCCTTCACTGCACGTACTCATCAACAACACCCTCAGCTTTTTGCCCTTCAAGCCCCCCATCTCCCCTTCCCACCGAGCGCGTCCACCGCCTCTACCCCCCTGAAATCGAAAACAAGACCGAAAAACATAAACCGCTATGCCTCCCAAAGGCTCGACCTTCCGCGGTCCCAACGCACAACATTTCCAGCTTGTGCACCGTTCGCAGCAAGATCCGCTTATTAATGATCCCGATGCTGGACAGAGAGTCTTGAAGGCGGTCTCCAGGGGAAACGACAAGAAGGTGTGTTCGTGCTGAGAGCTAGAGAGGTAAAACGGCAAAGACGGAATGCTGATCACCCCATGACAGACCGAGCTCTCTCTTGCCGAACTTGAAGCTTCCCTCGACAAGTCCAAGATCCGATCCAATGAAGGCGAAGCGGCTCTCTACGGAATCACCTACGACGACTCTGCCTACGACTACATGCAGCATCTCAAGCCCGTCGGTGGTCTTGCCGCGGGCGGTGACTCGTGGCTTATCGCTGCCCCCAAGGGTGGATCTGGTGTCGCCCCAGGAATGAAGGGTGGAAAGCAAAAGGCCAAGGGAGGAGCGGTGGATGATGACATGTTCAAACTGCCAGAGACTGTGTTGCCGAGCAAGGCCATGATGAGCGTGCAGGAGGCAAGGGCTAGGAGTGAGGCTATCCCCACAGAGCTGCAGGGTTTGCAGCCGGACATGGACCCGCACCTCCGTCAAGTGCTTGAAGCGCTGGACGATGACGAGTTTGTGGATGAGGAAGGGGACGATGAAGATTGGTTTGGAAGCCTCGTGAAGGGAGGAGAGAGGAGCGCGCATGAGGAGGTCCCTTGGGAGTTTGCTGAGTGGGGTGTAGACGAGCAGGGCAAGCCTATGGACAAGAAACCTGTGCAAGAAGGCGAAGAGAGGGAAGAGACTTGGGAAGACAGGTTCAAGGCCTTTAAAGCTCAGCAACACAAGCTTCCGGAAGTCGTGTCTGAAGCCGGAGACGATATGTGGGGAGAGGAGGAGAGGAGTGAAATGGCCGATACCATCGGAAGCTTGGCGAGTAACATGAGCGACATGATGGTTCGAGGTGGAAAGAAGAGAAGAGGAAAGAGGGGACCCAGTGATGCGTCTGGCATGAGTATGAGTAGTTCAAGCATGTTCCGAACGCAGGGTCTGAGAGATCTGGATGATCGGTTCGACAAGGTATGTACCTTCTTTACGCGGAAATTGATGGCTGACATTTGTACAGGTCGAGATGGACTATTTGTATGATGACGAAGAGGAAGAAGAGGAAGACTGGGACGACTCGGACGATGGGACTGCATCCATCGCCGCCTCCAACTTTTCAACCGCCTCGCGCTTCTCTCTCGCTTCTCATGCCTCGCGCGCTTCAAACGCCACCGCTGTACCCCCCGAACTCTCGCGAGACGACTTTGAGTCCATCATGGACGATTTCCTGGACAACTATGAAATCGTGGGCAGGAGGTTGAGACCGGCTCTGGGTGGAACGACAATGACGGGTCCGGAAAAGCTGAAGGTGATGAGGGCGGCTATCGAAGGGCAGGATGAGGAGAAGGAGGAAAACAGGAAGAGAATTATGGAAATTGAGAGAGAAGAGATGTCCAGGGGAGGCAAGGGTCCGAAAAGACCCGCGCAAACGGAGAGAGTGAGGCAGGAGGATGGCCCCAAGTGGGATGTTGAGAGTATTCTGAGTATGTCGCTCCTATCGGAAGGTGCTAGGCTGACAGAAGCAGGTACGCGGACAAATACGGAAAACCACCCTGGTACGATTCGCAACCCCAAGCGGAAGCCCAGAGAACCCCAGCCTGCCCCGCCCGTTCGAGAGGAAGAGTCTGAATCAGACTCTGGCTCCGAGACCGAGCGCGAGGGCGGGCCCAGGGTGACAGTAGCGCGTCAGAAGGGCGAGACGGCGGACGACAAGAAGGCCAGGAAGGCTGCCGTCAAGGCCGAGCGAGCCGTGAGTGTCTCGTCATGCTGCATAGATCGCGCTGACTCGTGTAACAGGCCCGAAGAGCAGAGAAAAAGTCTCACACCGAGACGTTTGCTACTGAGCGCAAGAAGCAGCTCAAGTCTGCTGGAAAGTTGGTTGCGGATGGCAAAGCAGCGGATGTGCCGTCCGGACGGGAGGGTGTTGTGCGGCTGCGTTGATGTACATGTTGATTTGTATGCATTTGGTTCCATTGGACGCATAGCTTCGCTCCTGTCGGCGATAACGGAACGGCGTAATTAACACCAAAATGTAATTAAGACCTGCCATAGTCGGACGCGCCACTGGGGATTCCCCGGCGGGATTAGGGGAGGCTTTTGCAGGATTGCGGGTTGGGTGTGGCAGCAGACACCTTCTCTCCCTCTCCCCTTTAATCTCTCGCAAGCATCGCCGGCCAAGCCTCGACATCCTTGCGGTAACCATACGAACCCCCTACTCGCCAACACAAAAACCACAAAAAACCAACAGATCTAGCAAAAATGGTAAGTAGAGCGAGCTCGTGTGGCCGGTGGCGTGCTAGGGTAGATCGGACGGGGGGCCATGGAGGGATATAGGGCGTGGGGGGTATGAGGGATATGTGAAGGAACTGGGGAAAGGCATGATCAGGGGGAAGAGGGGTGGTTATGCTCGAACGAAAAATCGACGGCGGATCGGTATCTGTTCGGGGCGGACTGTCTTGTGCCGCTTCTCAAGCGTCCTACGGCGGCGCCCTGCTTTCCCCCTGGCAGCTGCCTCCCCTGGTGTCCCTCGCTCCCCCGATCTATCTGCCCAAGCACGACTCACCAGCCAGCAGATATTCTGAAATGGCGTGATGCTCACTCGTTGCAGGTTCTCGCCGTCGACCTCATCAACCGACCCGCCTCTGTCCAGGCCCGTACCCACAAGCTCAAGAAGATCGTCCCTGAGCCCAACTCTTTCTTCATGGACGTCAAGTGCCCCGGATGCTTCGCCATCACGTGAGTTGCATGTCTCGATGTCGTGGGGTCTCGCTGATCAAGCCCGTCCTTCTTTTCCATCCCTCCTCGCTCACCCCATCAATCGAACATTCCAACAACAGCACCGTCTTCTCCCACGCTTCCACCGTCGTCCAGTGCCAAGGTTGCGCTACCGCCCTTTGCCAGCCGACCGGTGGTAAGGCCAAGTTGACCGAGGGTGCGTCCACTTGCCATTACATGAAGCGACTGACTGACAATCTGCTCAGGTTGCTCTTTCCGAAGGAAGAACTAAATTCACCAAAGACACGAAGTAGTAGAGGAGAGCGTTCTTTGGATGGATTTGGTTTTTTTCTGCTTGTTGGCACTAGCATCGTTTGTCGCTTGACACATCCTATTTCACCTCAACACATTCTTTTCGACAATATCGCAACTGCATGAGGGCTTGGCGAACGTGGGATTTGGGCTGACCTCTGACACCTGGCGGCGGCGACCAAGACTAGTGAGGGATAGTGGATAGAGTGTGCAGTCTGGGATGTGCTGGAAAGCGACCTTGAAATGGGTAGAAGGAGAATCGGGGAAACCAGGAAGTTTTGCGCGGGAGACCACTCAAATTCTCTACTGACCAAGAAATGGGTTTCTCTGGTTCCCGCGCTTTCTCTGGATTTTCAACCTTGACCGACGTTGTCCGCCCTCGCCTCTACCCTGGGTAGCAACCTGATACTTTCTCAGTACGGCGCAGCAAACAAAAGCGAATTTAATGATCATCCGCCCATACGTTTTCAAAATGGGATTGATCGACAACTTTTTCGTAGTGTCACGCAATCGTCACTCGGCGAGATCTAGTCGCGTCACAGGAGGGATGTCTGACCTGTACAGTCTACTTGGATCGCCCGACCTAGGCCAACACGAAATGGACTGACCGCATCAATTCTGCGCATCGGGAAAACCTGAAGAAAAAGTGTACGACGCCCACTTTTGGGTTGCCTGATCGCCTTACATGCATCGACAAGCATTAGCTCATATAGGAAGCGTCGGAGGTTCTGGTGGATGCAAGCAGCGTGCAAGCAGCGTGCAGAAGCGCTTGACTGACCTCACGTACCCCATCAATCTCTGGACATGTCACAGACACCGCCACGATCTCTGCACCCCTCTTCTTCAGCCTTTCGTCTTACTCCTCTTTTGAGCGCGTTATACTATGACTACCCCCGTCCTCTAAAGGCAATGAATGGCGACCAAATATATGCGTACATTGCGTCGTGGTATAAGTACAAAAAAAAACCTCCTGATAGAATCAGTCATGTATAAATCTGTCCAAATAGCTCTCGGTCATGAGCAATTTCACCACGAATGGTTCCAAATCGAATCATCTCCTCCCCCTGTGCTGCTGCTCCCCAATCTCCATCAAACCGAATCGCTCCACATCGAAACCCAACACGGACGCCTTCCTATCCCTATCTCTCTCCTCGTGCGACTCGTGCTCGTGATCATGGTGCTCGTGCAGAGCATGGTGATGCGCGTGAGCCGAAATGTCTTCCTTCTCTTCGACCGTACTGAGCTCGTCTTGCTCTTCTTCGTATCCCACCGACGAGTCTTCATAATCGTCCTCGTCCTCGTCTTCTTCTTCTTCTTCGCGACCTTCTGCGAGCTCGTCTGCGGTGGGAAGCTTGTCGGCCAACCTCGGCGGCGGGCTGGGTCTCCGCCTCGGGGTAGCCTCGCCTCCCTCGCCATCGCCGTCGTCCAAGCCTTCGGCTGCCAGCGCCTCTTTTGTGAGCTTGACACCCGGCGACCTCGGGCGTTTGGCAAGCGGCGCATGGAGAGGTTGCGCGCCCGAATCGTCTCTGACAAGGTCCGCTGCCGGACCTGGCGGAGGCGAATGGTGCTCATCATCCTCTTCCACAGTATGTAAACTGCTCATCGTCTCTCCCGCTCCACCCGGCTTGGTTGATAAACCTCCCTGCTGGGATACGCCGGACGGCGTGCCCGAGCCGGCGGATTGCGCGTTGGAGAGGTTGGTGGACGCCGAGTCGGTGGATGCTTGGGAGGCCTGGGAGGTTTGGGAGGAGGAGCGCCGACGTTTGACGGAGCGCCAGAGGGCTTTGGCACCGGATTTGGCAAGTTGACCTACGTCGACGACGCCGTCGTTGCTATAGCCAGAATGTCAGCTGAGCTCGGTCTACGCGTCCCGCGCCAAGGGGCGTTCCCCGGTAGATGTTCCCCGTAACGCCTCAGACAGCCCCAAGTAGTATACCGGACAGCCTCCGAGGCCAGTGAAAGCACCCCATGCCATGCATCCGCCGCCCGGACAATATTGCCACAGGCATCAACGCCCTGCCTGAGGTCCACCATACAAACACTAAAGGACAGAATGACTCACCCCTTCCGTTCATGGTACTGCCTCTGGTACTCTTCCCACTCTTCATCGTTCATAATCACACTATGCACCCCGCTGTGCTTTTGCACGCCTGGCGGCAGGCCATTCTGCGCCCCGATCAGGTTTCGGCGCGAAGCCACACCGAGCGAGATGGAATTTCGCCTGCGAAACTCGGGCGGCACGGTGGGGAGGGGGGCAAAAGAGATCTTGGGTGTGCTGGTGCGCCGGTTGACAGTGCCGAGCGACGGGGAGCCAGGAGCAGTCATGGACGCGGGGTAGTAGCCGCCCGAGCCCTGCTGCGAGGAGAAGGACGAGGTGTGGGAAGGGGCCGGGGACGGATGGCGGGCCGACGAGGGGAGCGGGGGCGACGAGTGGGGTATGCTCGTCTGGGACGAGTCTGAGCTGAAAAAGGGATTGCCGTTGCTGGTGCCGGTGCTTGTGCTCTGGAGGGACGAGCCCGAGATGCTGGGGGAGTCTAGGGGAGCGGCATTGTGGGGTGTGATGCTGGGGGAGGCGGGAGGGCGGCCTGGGGCGTTGAGGAGGATGGATGCTTGAGGCTTGACGGGGTCCGCCGCGGGGTTGGGGGGGCTCAGGAGGGAGGGGGCGTCCATGGCGGCGTGGTGAGGCAACAGACCATCCACAGCGAGCCCATTACTTTTTGCCCCCGCCGGCAAACCGCATCCGGCACAGGAACGCCTCCGCTTATCCACCCATCGCAGCGTCAGCAACGTAGCAAGCCGCATCTGGTTCAGTGCAGCGTATGCGCAACGGATCACATCGCTGCTGGGTATATATGCCGCATGCAAGTGCTTGCCCAATGCAGAGACTCACCCCGAGCCGGCAGGATCTAGATCGATCCACTCGCGGAGATCTGCTGAGGAGACTGCCGAACTGCCCACCGTTCGACGACGACGAGAGACATGTACCATGCAGGATCTCGCAGCATTTTCTGCAAAAGGATGCAAAGCCGTGGTCAGCGTCCATCCCCTTGGCAAATTCGACCAATGCACCATCTGGCGCCGTATCTGTCCAATCTGGTACAGTTAGCATCTCGTCAGCCGGAAATACTCTTCATTCGCCGACTGACGATACCTCTCAACATGCCTCTACACCCATACCTTCTCTTTGGTCCACTACACTTTCGAGAAAGCAATCCATCACACGACAGGCTCGGCTACACACACCCCTAATACCTGGCAAAATTGGAAAATATCATGCAACTCTGAACAGGTAGATACAATCGCGCATACATGTATTGACGGACTAGTCGTATATACCGTCAACGCCGATGTCTTTGATCATGAGACTATAAGAATCGTCCGTAATAAGTGCTACTTTACAATATCGTCATTGGTCGTTTGCCTTCGTCAAGGGACGGATCCTTCTTCCACGATCGTCTCTGGGACGTGCTACAAAATAACATGTTCAGCAACAGCCAAGACGTTGCTGAAGAACTCACCGCTACAGACTGAGACAGCCTACGCGCCTTCTTTGTCGAGGCCCCTCCTTTTTCTGCCTTACTCTCCACTTTCACCTCGACTTTGACATCTTCCGGCGCAACGTTCAGCTGTAGCCCAACGGTTGACTGGTCGCTCGGCCCCGACTCGGACGCGAATATACCGGACAGTTCGGGATAGTGACCTGGGAATTGGATCGAGAGGGCGGGAGTGGAGATGACAGTAGGAGTCGGGGAGAGAGAAGAGGTCGTCATAGCCGGTGTGAGCTCTTGATGCGAATTGATGGAATCGTCCAAGTACAGCATGTCCATCGCGGGTACTTCCATAGAGTGGTCCGGCATGCCAGTGTGAAAAGTCTTGTAGCTCGAGGTGGACGACGCATCGTCATCGTCAGGGGCGTCTCCATCCGCCAGATAAGCCGAACGTCCGTCACTCGCATACTTGTATCCCTTCTTTCGCTCATCAGGAGCGACAATCTTCACTGGACGAAACTCGGGAGAAGGTAAGGCAACGATAGGCGTATCGTACCAGTGGGCTTGCTCGGATGTGATTTGAGGTGTAGTGAAGAGGGGCGGGAGCTTGAACAGGGAAGACTTTCGACGCTCGTGGACTTGCTTGGGCTGGAGGATGTTGCTTCGGGACGTGCGCAAAGCGGGCTTGGACGGGCGCTTTTTAGAAGTGATGTGATGTTGATGGCCGGTCTTGAGAGTTTTGTTGAGCATCTGATACTCTGTAGAGCTGCGGTTGTGGACGATTGGGAGAGTTCGCTTAATTGCTTTTTCCAGCAAAAGACGCTGGTCGTGAGGAATGGTGTCGATGGCGACGATCTTGGCAATAAAGGGAAGGCCATTCTGGGGGTCGCTCAGAAGCTCCTTTAGGACGTTGTCGTTCCTTGTGCAAAAGATGCCGCTGATAAGCAAGCTAGAGGCCGCGTTGTCGCACGTTTGCGCGATGACTATGGTTGTCAGCATCTATACGAGGACTTGATCAATATCACTCACTTCGAAGGATGGCGGCTGAAGCAATACCATGAATACAGAGATGGGTGAGGTGGGGCAAGAACCTTTTGGCCAGAAGCTCGCATCGACGGGGTATGTCGATAGACTCGAGTAACCAAGTGACGAGTAGCGCACCATTGGAGCTGGTGACCAGGGGTATGGAATTGAGGATGATTGCTGTCGCCACCTTTTTCTGGATAGAAAGTCAGTACTGTGAGCCAGAGAGACACACTCCAGCTTACCTTCTGATACCAAGTTGTATGGGTGCTGTCCAGGCACCTAATCAAACATCGCGCTCCAGACCTATCCTGAGCCACTTCAAGCATCCTATCCACAGCAGCATCAAATACGACACTGTTGTGCTCGGGACCATAAGCTACCAGAGCCGAGCAAATGTAGTTGCCGATCTTGTCGCTCATCAAAGCAGGAATCCAGTCTCGAAAGGCGTCGACAATCGCACGACGCTCATCACGAGTTTTGCTGTTGTCAATCAGCGCTTGTGTAACCCAAGTGCCGCGCATGTGACAGCCGATAGACGCGAGTTGAGGGGCGAGGTTACGAATGATGGTAAGACGGATGAAGGGAGATGCACTCTTGAAGAGGCTCTGGACAATCCCATTCCCGACGCCGTGAAGAGCCAGCTAGGCAAGATAAGCTTGCGCCTCCAGATCCCAGCTCGAGCGACTCACCTGAGTAAGACTGGATAGGCAGTTCAAGGCGAATTCGTCAATCTCTTCAGTCACAGTGGTGTCATCCTTCAGCTCGGACTCGATCTGCTTCAAGTCTACACTAGTGAAGATTTCCAGGGGCAAGGATTGAAGCTGAGGAATATCGGTCTTGTACGCCAACCTGACAGGTCGGTCGGCTACAGAACGTCAGCGAGAATGAAAAAGATAGCAAAGAGACTCACTATCCACAGCTCTGACATCCTCATCCTCAGACTCCTCACTCAGCATTTGCATGATCAATTGTTTCTCAGACACATGTCCGTCCAGAGTCAACCCCTTCTTCAAAATCTTTTCGTGCACACCCTCCTTCAGGATGTCCAACAGGAATGGACTGCGATAATTTTCCACGTCACCGTCTTCGTCACACATCTGCCGCTCCATGGGAACCGAGTCGGCGCCTTTGACAGTGCCAAGAGCCTCGGCGAGACTGTCGCCGGCCAGAAAAGTGACCTTGAGCTGACTAGGGGCGCGGGTGGGAACTCGGGCAAAGTCGATGCGGACAGGACCAAAGTCGGGACCGAAAAGGGGCTTGCCGTTGAGCGATTCGTAGGCGGCGACGGCAGAGTCCAAAAGTTCAAAGTTGACGAAACCATGGCGCTACCCGGAGGTCAGCGGAGATGTATGAACGTGTCGGGGACGACACTTACTTTGCCGGGGAGAATTCTGGTATTCTCAACAGAGCCGAAAGGAGAGAATATCTGTGACAGGGTGGTGGAAGAAACATTCTGGGGTACCCGTTCAATCCGGATGGCTCTGGTCGGTGCCATGCCATGCGGGCAGCCATCATTCCCGGTGGTCGTTTCGGCAGAGGTCGAGAACGCGGCAGAGAGGGTGGAAGCGGTCCGTCTGTGAGCATTGTCTTTCCCAAAGCCGAGGAGTACAGGAGCAGTCTTGTTGAGTGACAGCACCACGCCGCCCTGCCTCTTCAAGATGTCTTCATGAGCAGTGACAGCCGATGTTGAATTGACAAAGTTGACAAAGGCGCAGGTCTACTCCATCATTAGTAATGTACACGTTGAATCACGGCTTACCTTCTCCGGCAGAACCCTGATGTTCTCGATGGGCCCATAACGCTCAAACTCTTCATAGATCATACCCTTGGTAACCTGCACATCGAGATTTCCCAGCCACAATGTCTTGGACGGACCATACGCCTCTCTACCCTCGGTGACAAACGTGTCCGAAGCCCTGCTGGACGCCCGCGATCGAGCACGAGAAGCACGGCTGCCGGTGCGGCTATGCGCAAAGCGAGGAGGGTCAAAGACATTGGATATGCTTGATGACTGCCGGTTATGACCAAGGTTGAGAGTAGAAACAGCCTGGGTGTTGTTGGCGTAAGAGTTGCCTACGCCAAACTGCTCCATAGCCTGGAGGAGAGCATAGTCGTCGGCTTGCATGTGCAAAGGGACTTCCCCAGGTAAAGTAGCCAAGGAAGGGAACTGGAAGGTTGGTTGATCAAAGGGAGTGGCGTTGATGCGCGTGCTCGTGATAGAATTCTGAATGAGCTGCTGGGTTCGTTGACGAAGCTCGGACACAGAGGCAGGAGGCAGACCCAGGGCTTCGACGTCGGGGAGTGAAGAGATGGAGCCGTAGGGGTGGAGCTGGGGGCTCGGGCCGGTGGGAAGCCCTCCGGAGAGGGAGCCCAGCCCGGCGGATTTGGCAGGTGGGGGCCCGGCGAGAGACTTGGATCGTGCGGCTCGAGTCTTGGACTGGGGCTGGCCGTTGAAGGCGGTGGAAGTGGAGTGCGCTCGGGTGTGGTGGGAGCGGGGTGGGTCGGACGTCAGGGCAGGCATGGTGGCGAGAATATGCTGGGGTCAGTCTATGAGAGGTTGACGTTAGCGGTGGGCGGCAAGGGTTGTTCAGAGCCTTACTGCAAAGCGACAGGCGACAACTCGGGGGAGGCGTTGAGAGGAGAGACGGGAGACGGAGAGTAGGATGAGAGATGAAGATGGGAAGGGGAAGGGGAAGGGGAAGGGGAAGGGGTGCATTGTGAGACTATATACCTTTGGTGAGACTTGCATTCACCTCGCACCGATCATCATCCCCATAGTGCACCCCCTAATTAACGATATTACGCGTTCTACGCGTCTTCACATCAGGCGGGCATGTCCGCTGCTCTGTAATTTTTGAGACCGGCGATCCGAGCATTGCCTTCAAAAACATTCTCACATCGTTTTCCACCCCATCCCACCCTCTGCTGGCACCGCCCACCCCTAATAACCTGTCCCACACACAAAGTCACATATCGGCATGTCCCAACCCACAGAAACTTCCCCTACCATCCTTCTCTTCGCCCGAGGCACTCTTGCCCTGCTCGACCTCTGGCCTGCCCTTACTATTGCCGTCGCCGAGGAATGGGGAGGCTCCGAGTCTGCAGACAAGAAGACTTGGATCGCATCCACCCTCATTGACGAGTTTGAATCTCGTGCCACCTACCTCCCTGCCGACCCTGCCACACCAGCGGCCGCTCCTACGGTTGACCCGAACGATGCCAACGACCCTCCTCTCGACCAAGACGACCTCATCGACCTCCTCACTCAAATCATGGAGGATGAGTTTGAGGCTAGGCTGGAGGATGGGTCTATCGAGTCGGTGGCTTCTGACCTTACGAGGTTGTGGAAGCATGTCTTGACAGAAGCCAACCCCGAGGCTATCGTGTCGACGTTGGAGAACAAGGCGAGGGAGGTCAGGAAGTCGGGTGTGCAGGCGTCCAAGGGGGCCGCTGCTGAAGAGGACGATTCGTCGAGTGGAGAGGACGAGGATGATATGGAGGTGGATGGAGATCAGGCGCCCCAGCTGGTGGCTAGCGAGCCTAGGAGAGAGAGACAGGAGCCCGTTGTGGATGAAGATGGATTTGAGATGGTGCAGAAGGGGCGTAGACGGTAGAGAATATAGTCAGAGTATGAGGGATCAGGTGTGCGTATGCATAGCGCAGCTATCCTGATATTGTGTTTGCAGTATATGACCGCTTGTCTCTTGTCTCTCTACCAGCACCCCGTCGACTTCCAATGGCTTGTGGTTGATTACGGTTCTCATACACACGATGGATCCAAGACGGGCTTCACGCTAAGCGAAACACCCGCTGCTGGCAACATCAAGGTATGCCTATCCCGCAAGGCCCACCAATGTACGTAGCACGTGAGTCACGATATAACCTGCCAATTCAAGGGTGTACCTTGCCCTAGCAGAAGACGTCGTGCTCGAAATACGTACTCAGCGTGCGTACCAAGCTTTTTCTAAAGTAACATCCCGCTCCTCTTCTCGATCTCCTTGTCTGTTCTTTCTCAGTAAGACAGACCTTCTTTCAAATCCCAGTCTTATCAAAGATGGCAGAAAGCCCCACGGCCCCATCTAAGCAAACGCCACCTACAGTCCACGAAGACTACCAAAAAGGGGATGTTCACCTCTTGTCCTCTGATAACTAACGTGTTGTTCTGCGTCGACGGGTATCGTCTCGGGAACGCCAGGTGGGTCTCTTCTCATCCCTCCGAATGCACTCGATCGGTATCAGCAACATGCTCATATATGTGTTAGTAAAGTCTTCAGCGATATGCTCAGTGTTCCCCACCTATTACCAGCTCTACATCTGACGCCGGCGCCAAGGTTGATACTGGCATCGAGAACTCGAGCACTCGAGCGCCTTTCACTGGTGCGCCCATCGAGATGGAAGAGACCTCTGCCACCCTGCAATGCTTTCTAGAACTCGCCGCCCTCAGTGGGAACAGGACTTTCCCGCTATCGGTAAACGAGACTGGCGACTTGTTCTTGTTCAATCACAAGTAGGATCTCAACGAAAAGCTTTCTCGAAGAATACTTGAAGAGTTCTACCGTGTTGCTATATACCATGATCCCTGGGGCTAGTTCCACCTCGCGTCCCAGTGGAGTGATGTAGAGTTCGCAGCGCGGGCGCTTCATGCCATGAAAGATGGAAAAAAGTTTCTTGAAGGGCGGAAAGATGTGGGCTTTTGGCGCTCTCTTCGAGAATTGGGAGGATCGTGGGATATCATCATTTTGAAAGAGGCGTTTGGTAATCCAGGGAGCTATGAGATTATCGATTATAGGTGGGTCAGCCGAAAGAAGTACCACTACGAGCAGAGAAGTAGATTGGCTGGGCTGCCATTGAATGCGCCGTGGGAGGAGGTATGCGAGGTGCTGAAGGAGCGATTCAAAGCGGCCGGGGGTACAGAAGAGGGGTCAGTGGCCTCATTGGAGGAGGAGGAGGCGGGACAAGTACATATGTAGACGTTTATACTGCAATTACGCGCTGCGTATGGAATTCCTTCTTCATTCCGATCATCCAACTTTTGTTTGTTGCAATGCAAAGAACTGCGTTTTCGGTCTAGCGATGACTGCTACCTTACGATCGCACCCGTCGATTTCTGGAGCCGCGGGGGCCGTTTCTTTAGCGCAGGGCGATAGGAGAAAGCCCGTCACCCGTTACCCTGCAGCAGATTGTCACGCTTTTGATCCTCTGACGGATGAGCTCTCTTGATGATGATATCTGTCTGACACGGCCTCATTGGTAGGGGAGAACAAGCAGCTATGCTCTGAGAGGCCTGGTCTCTGTGAATTGTCGGGTTTGCCTCGGCGAACGGTATACATGCAGCTCGAAAATCTGCAGAAAGAGGCGGGCGGGCCAGGCATGGGGTAATTTAAACTTTAAGCCAGGTTGTTCCCATTCTTATTGTTTGACGTCAGCGTTTGGCGGGGCCTGGGCGGGGCGCGTGGGGATGTGATTGGGGGAGGCGGAGAAGCCCCGGCCATGCTTACGTTGCCAGTCATACGCTTTTCTTCACCCCGCACTTGTTGCAACGCACCTCCTCCCTCGACATTCCGCCCATCTCTCTCCTTCTCCCACATCTGTCATCCACCCAGGCCCACCCTGTCCCCCTCCAAAAGTCACGCAGCCCACCTCCAGCGACTCTTCCAGAAGCAGCAGGTGAATCATCCTCGCGTGACACTCCCGCCCACGCCGGCCTGGCTTTTCGGCATATCTATTCCGTATAATTTTCCTCTCCGTTAGCGGCCCTTTTGGGGATATCTCTTGTTTGTCTCATTGTCCCCCCATTGCGGACATATCTACTCGTGAGTCGCCCAATTCCAGGCTGTACAAAGCGTCGTCGGTCTCTGCTCTGGATCGTAAACAACACGCCCCATTGTCCCGCGCATCCTTTGGTGTGTATCTCGCCTGTCCAAAACTTTTCTCCTTTTCGCCAACTCCATCATCTCCCCTGTGCTCATCCGATGGCTGTAGAAAATCTTCCTCCTCGCGCGACCCTCCCCCCTACCCGGCGTACTTCTCGTCTCCGCCTCAGAGAATCCCACTCGCTCCTCGCATCCCTCTGTCGCTCAAGAGTCCTCGAAACAGACACGCCGTCCCCCCTCATGGATGCCTTCCAACTCTTTGCGAGTTCCGCCGGGCCCTCAATGACGAACGACGGGCAAGATATGGGCGAGATGAGGTTGCATGGCTTGAGGCTGAATGTCGGGGATCACAAGTACGTCTTCATGATCGCGGCAACAAGTGGAGCTGATTGTCTTCAGGTCTGACGACGCCGGATCAATTTTTGTCTCCCCTCCCACCCCTGACAGGGTTGAGTCTCCTTCTGATGAGGTCACCCTCACCCCGCCGCCATCAAACCACGCCGTCGTGCGCTCATCGAGTCCTCTCTCCATGGCATCTTCCATCCCCGCATTTGTCGCCCGGTCGTCCCCTTCACACAGTCCGCTGTCCTCTGCCCCATCCTCCCCGGGCTCCGTTACCATCCCGCTCCACGTCTTGCCGGAAGTGCGCTCACCGCCCAAGAAGACCCTCGCCATGGCCGCCGACTCGCTCACGATAGCTGCCAAAAGGGGCAGACGGTCGAAGCTGTTTGGTTTCACAGAGATTCCAGGGAGCAACCTCAGCTCTGCTAGCAGCTCAGCCGCCAGTTCGCCCGACAACACCCCTCTTGTCAAGCCTCGAGCCGTCCACCGCGCGACTGCATCCGTCCCAACCATCTCCACACCTCTTCCCCCGCCAGCGACCTCTGCCTCGGCAGCCACATCCCCTCAGATGGTCCCCCGCCGTCACCCCAGCACCGTCGCCCACACGCCTCCCATCCATCTTCCACCACGCCGACGGCCCGAGAACGGCCTCAAACTCAACCTCGACGCCATCCCGCCCATCTCCGATACCCCTGCTATCCATACCGCAATTCCGTCGACCCGCTTTGGGAGAGCCCTCATTCGGAAAAAGTCGGGCGAGGTGCTCAAGTCTGCGCTCAAGCAGAATGGCGGGTCCGGGTCCAGTGGAGCTGCGACGCCCATGGACGAAGGTCGGGCCATGTACGAGTCCAAATCGTGCCCTTCTACGCCCTCGGGTCTCAAATTCGTGCACTTTGACTCGCATCTCGAGCGCATCAAGCTCTTCGTGCATGACCAGAAACCGCTGGTGGTCAGCCGAGACGGGTCGCCGTTGATGGAGGATGAGGGGGACGATTATCCGTTTGGCGATATGGAGGAAGAACGCAAGGTCCTGCAGATCTCGCTTCCCAACTTTCCGACGTACCATGACCCCCAATCTGATCTCTACCTCGAGTCCATCTTTCTCAATGATGATCGCCAGTCCCTCCGAGGCGTCATCATCTGCAAAAACCTGTCTTTCCAAAAGTGGGTCGCTGTGCGATTTACCTTTGACTGGTGGCAGACGACGTCTGAAGTCACTGGTGTATTCAAGGAATCTGTCAAGGGCGGGCAGTACGATAGGTTCACTTTTACGATCAAGCTGGGCGATTTGATCCCCAAGATTGAGCAAAAGACGCTGTTCATCGCCGCGAGGTACAACGTGAATGGGAGGGAGATTTGGGATTCGAATGGTGGGCAAAACTACCAGGTATTGTTCACCAAGGACCGCCCTGCTCGACAGCCTACCAAGGGCGCGCGGGACGCTGCTCCCGTTCAGCCTGGCATGGGCAAGGCGGTTGGGGGCAAAAGCTCCCAGTGGAGTGTCGCGGGTGGAGATGACAGGATGGCCGACTTGCGCGCCAAGCTCGATAGACTCAAAGATGACGACGACCGTCCGCCCTTGTCGCCCAACTCGTCCCGAAACTTTTCCTTCAACAACAAAAAGGCCTCTCCCCGAGCGTCGCTGGCGCCGCTCGAAGTCAAGGCGGCGGATTCGAACGGTCGGGGCGGGTCGCTGGCGGCGAGATATGATTTTGGCGCGTCGCTGAACTTGGCGAGGCGCAACTCCAACTCGCCGCTGAGGTCGCCTGTGCCCTTGCCAGAGATGAAGACGGGTCTGCTAAGCTTTGATGCGCCCAGGAGCCCTAGTAGCCCGGCTGCTACGACATTCTACTCGCCCAAATTCGACCAGGACAAATTGGTTGGCGACAACAATGTCTTTACCTCGCCGAGGTCGAACGCCAAGGCAGTGCCAGTGCCGGGGCTCAAGGTTGAAGGGCCTTCTCCGGAAGGGCCGTCGCCTGAACCCATCGCTCCGTCTCCCACGCCCAAGACTCGGACTCCTTCATCTGTATCTGCTGTCAAGGTGGTCCCTACCCAGCCGCCACTTGTCCGGACGATCTCTGCCCCTCCTAAATTTACCATCGGTGAACCGGAGCATATCGAGGACAAATCTATGGGCTCGCCTCCTTCGCTCGATTCGTCGAGCACGGCGACGGCGACGCCGCCCGAGTCTCCTCGTTCACCGTATGACAATGGGGGTAGCTGGAGCCCGAGGACGAGCGAGGCCAGCGAGAGTTCGACGAGTTTGAATAGTATGAGCAGCATGGCGAGTTATTCGAGCTTGATCGAGCAGTGAGTTGATCCTATTTAGTAAAGCCGTGTTACTGACAAGAGCTTTAGTTTCTGTTGGGCAGGTGATCCTTCACTCGACGTCACGCGCCGTAACCACTCCACTTCCGAGCTCGACGATTACTTTAGCCACCCCAGCTCAGGCTTCTCCACACCACGCGCTGGTACCCCGGCCGGTGGTGCGTCAGCTGCCACCACCCCGTCCTCCACTTCCACCTACTACACCTCGTACTCGAGCAACACGCCCACGAGGGAGGATCTTGATGCTGTAGAGAATAGCCTGGAGGAAGGCTTTGGCAGGAGGGTGGGCCAAAGACCGATGGTGTTTTAGAAAATCTCTTTTTGTCATCTTCCATACTTGTACTTTCCCTACATCACTGCTTGTCTCGTTCTAATATATACATCTTTCTTGTCGCATGGGTGTCTCTTACGAGTGTACGAAAATAAATCATTTATACGGCTATAGATCGGCATATTCTTTGTTTGCACCTGTTCAATCACTGTCAAGTTTTCAATCATCCATTCTTTCCTCTAATGCATGTACTGTATTCTCGGTGCCACACGCTCTATCTGTCGCCATCACACGCGACGTTGACTGAAGGCTTACGTTCGCGGTACTTACTGAATGTGTTTACGTAACTGATTTGAGGGTTGTTTATCCTCCTCCCTCCTCGGTCGTCGAGCGAGCAACAAATGAGCGAGACTGCACATCTTTGCATTCTGCTCACATTTCCATTTTCCCAAGCACCGCCCATGGTCGACTTATAACAGCACTGCCATACCCCAGGGAAGGACCGACAGACCCCACAATGCCCCCCTCACCGGCCTTGCAAGCAGGCCCGTCCGTCCCGGGCCCTCAGACGGCGCCGCCGGCTACTGCCCAGATACCTCCCTTTCTCGCAAACATCATCCATTCGCACATATATTCAGCTGCCCCTTCTGTTCCTCCGCCGTCGGGGTCACCGCTGCCGCCTCATGGGAAAGGCCAGGTGGCTTCCCCGACCATCTTTGAGGGGGCCAAGGGGCAAACTACCGCCTCAGGTCAAGGGACAGGCGTAGCAACTTCGCCTCCGACCCTCATCGCACAACATCCTCCGCCAAATGCGCTCTACCTTCCTCCCCCGGCAATGCCGGCCCCGGAAGAGGACCTCGTCCCGCCCGAGAACTTTAGTCTAGTCAGCAGCGGCGTGTATCGGTGTGGGTTCCCGAAGAAGAGGAATTTCAAGTTTATGGAGACGTTGAGGCTGAAGACTGTTCTGTGAGTGATGCGTGTAGTATAATGAAGAGATGCTGATAGGTGTCAGGACACTGGTACTGGAAGAGTACCCGAAAGCGAATTTGGAATGGTGCCAATCCCAAGATATACAATTCATGGTCTGTCATGGCAGCTTGGTCTGCAGGAACCTGAGCTGATGATGCTATAGCAATTCGGCATTCCTGGCAACAAAGTATGTCCTTACATGAACCATTCCCGGCACCTAGCTGACTTCAGATGTAGGAACCATTCGATAACATTCCCGAGGACGTCATTTGCGCCGCGCTCGTGGCCATTTGTGACAAGCGTAACCACCCCCTCCTTATACACTGCAACAAAGGCAAGCACCGGACAGGCTGTCTAATTGGCTGCATTCGACGCCTCCAATCGTGGTCACGTACCAGTATATTCGACGAATACAGGCGCTTCTCTGCACCAAAGAGTCGCGCGGTGGATCAGCAATTCATCGATCTATTTGATATCGGGCCAGTGTGGGAGGGTATCGTTGGTGGCGGGAAGGGAGGAGGTCTGGGAAATCTGCCAGAGTGGGGAATGCTGGGCTTGCCAAAGGGGATCGTGGAGGTTGGTAAAGACGGAAGGGAGAAGAAGAAGATTGAGAGAGATACGCTGCATATGCGGGGGCTGTGATCTTGCTTCACTTGAGATATATGATAGAGTCTCTTTAATAATAGATAGCATCTTTTGTTGTACTGCTTCACATGTACAACATCAATACAATCTTGAGGTTTTGTCAGGCTGTTATCCGAGGGCATCTTGAAGACTCCCCCCGACGCATTGCGAGAACTTCAAATTCGCAAAGAGTAGTCAGCCACCATGTCAAAACCCCATCTGAGCTACATAGTCGATGCCGAGGCTGGTGGACGCGGACACAGATGTCATCAAAGAACAGCAACAGTAGATGGACGTCGAGTACTCGGAGGATAGAGAACCCGTCTTGGGCTGTGGAAGAGGTGCGTAACGGGTAGAGCCAGATGCAATCTTCACGAACTCTTGGCCCTTTCAAGACTGAGATTGGAAGCATGGATGACATCACTTTAGATGTACTGACCCTACATGTATGTCCTCACGATCAAGACCCTACTCCAAATCCTTCTCTTCGTAATCCGCCTCATATGGGGCTCTCAAGTGCCTCGACGGCTCCCAGACCTGCAAAATGTTGTCCTCCGCCGTGCTCGCCACCGTCCACGGCGAATTAGGACTCCAACTCAAATCGCAGACCTTGCTCGTGTGACCGCCGTGCACAAAGAGCAGCTCAGGCGGGCCATCCTCGGCGTCGTCGGGGGTCTGCTCCGCGCCGATGGCGTCGAGGTCCCAGATGTGGATACGTCGGTCGGCGGAGGCAGAGGCAAAGTGGACGGGAGAGTGGGGAGACCAGGAGAGTTGGAGGACGTCAGAGGTATGGGCTTCAAAGGAGTGGTGCTTGACGGAGAGTTTTCGCAGGTCCCAGAGAGCGACGGTCTATGAATAGTGTCAGCTTAGGATTTCTACACGGTATATTGTACTTGCGTTGTCGGAAGAACCGGTGAGGAAGAGATATTGGCTGCTGGGCGCAAAGGCGATGCAGTTGATCTCGCTGTTGGACCCCTGGAGCTGGGAGCTGGGCTTGGCAGGGTTCTCGGCTCTGGTGTCCCAGCTGTATAGTGTCATTAGCAGGTTCCAAATAAGAGTGCGACAGGCCTACATCATGATCTGGCCGTCGTCAGAAACGGAACCAAACACATTTTCATCCTGGGGGTGCCACTCGACGTCCTAACGAAACAGTCAGATGGATGCAAATGTAAAAGGAATAAACACGCACAGATACGTAGGCAGAGTGACCGGTATAGAGTCGTAGAGGCTGCAAAGTTGGATCCTTCTTAGCATAGCCTTGGATATCCCTGTGGTCATGTCAGCAAAGCGCGGCAGGTAACGAAGAGGACGGACCAGTGGGCGACAGTGGTGTCCTCGCTGGCACTCAGGATGTGACCCTCTTTCAGACCACTCCATGACAAGCCATACCTGTCCGACGTTAGCTCCTTCTCCACCATGGAAGCACCTCGCTCACCCTTCCTTGGTCTGCCCCTTCAGCCTGATATCCGGTTTACACTCTCCGTTGGCCGGCGCCTTACTCTCGTGCTTTGTCCTGTCAAACACAAACACCTCCCCGCTCACCGTCTTGGTCGCAATAAGCTCCGGGTTCTGGGGCATGTAGCGGGCGCGGTTGACCTCGCCTCGGTGGTTGATAGTCTGGATGGCCCTAATTCGGGCAGGGGGAGCAGTAGAGTAGGACCCAATTTCCTGCTTTTCCTCGTCATACAAGTCTGCGAGCGCCTTGTCGGCAATTTCGGCGCCCTTCTTGGGGAGGAGGACTTCGGCAATGATGAGGTGGTCGTTGGCCTGGCCAGAGGTGTGAGTACCAATGATGATGCGTTGACTAGTGTAGTCCGAGTTGGGAACGCTGCAAAGCATCGGGTCAATATGATGGGGGGATGAGCCGGGGTGGGTGCGTACTCGGTGACATCGGGAAGCCATTGACAGGTCAGACTGGGCCAAGTGAGGGCGTGGGTGATGACAGTGTCATACAAGAAGGGGGTACTATAGCAGATTAGTAATGACTCTCTGGGCGATGTCTGATGGGATTTACTTCTTCTTCCAGACCTTGTATTGCTATATATGGTGTCAGCTTTTCGACGCGCACGAGAAGATGGAGGAGCGCACCTCGTTGATGGCCTGGTTGTCCTCCACGGCATCAAAGTCCTCCTCGACGTCGTCGACGACTATGGGCTCGTTGGGTGGCATGGTGGATGGATGGGATGGATGGGTTTCTGATACAAGGCAAGTCACAACGCTCCAGAAACGAGAGGCGCAGGAGAGGTCGAGGGCGGCGATGAGCGCTGCCTCCACTTTGGCGTCCATCACCATTTGTTTGGTGCCGCTTTCCTCTGTACTGGACGCCTTGTCTGCAGCTGGCTGGTTGACCCCACAGCCTCTTTCCAAGGCTCTCCGGCTATCCCGAAGAGGTCCGAGGGACAGAAACATAGTCAGCTTCCGGCCAAGAACGGCGTGTCACTCGAGCATGTCTTATGTAGCCGCTCAAGTGTAGAAGTGATGCAGAGCAGCGTGAAACCTAAAATAATTGATTACATGCCACAATACACAGCCTAAACATAATGAGAAACAACGTATATGCGGCTTCTATACGTCCCCGAACCGATCTGGCATGACCACAGGCCCAATCCTACGTTCCGGTTAGCCCCTATGCTGATAATCAGGTTATTTTACTCACAGACTCCAGGTGTACAGCGCATAACAAAGCCAGCTACTAACGATCCTCATCCACATGGTCGTCTCCGACCTGCCGATGAAGACGTCGGGCTCGTTAAACGCCCCCAATGCGAGTCCCGCAGATTGGGGCTCGGTGGGGTGCGCGACCGGCGAGGTAGATATGATCGCCCAGTCGGTCAACAAACCGGCGACATACATGGCGGCGATGGCAAAGATGATGTGGAACCAAGAATACTGTGATTTCGTTAGCCGCGAACAAAAGGACTATAGATGTATTCACATTATACTTTGTTCCCGCACGCTCATCATCCCTCTCTTCTCCCATAGCCGCCTCGATCTCATCGTCATCGTCCTCCGGCTCATCCAACACACTTGCCGGTAGCGACCCCGCGTTGACAGCCGCCAATATCGCCTGATACCGCATCTCATCCTTCCTACCCTTGGGCTGATTGGTCACCAGCCGGACCTCCCCCTCGTCCTCTACGTCATTCGGAAGGGCGATAGCGCCGCCAGCGCCTGCACGGTGGCCTTTTCCCACGAGCGCGGTGGACTGGGTGGCAGCGCGGGAAGTGGAATAGGCGATAGCGAGGAAGGTGAAGAGCGCGCCGATCAGGAGGGTGGTCGTCTCTGTTCCGCCCCGAGCATGCAGTGGATTACACTTGCCGCCAGCCGAGTCGGTATGGTTGACTACGGCAGAAGAGGTGAGATATGTGCAATAGGCAGCCACCATGGACGCTTGGGTGAGCCCGGATTTGGGGTTGGCTTCTTGCACAGGGTGAGAGATGGCGATGACAGTGACGAGGACGGAGAGGATGAGGTTGAAGGTGATGAAGAATGTATTGGTACCGCACCCTGATCCGGCAAAGAAGACGTAGAGGAGGGTGGTAACGGTGATGGTAGCAGCAAACATACCAAAGGTCGAGCCGACCAAGATAAACTGCCACAGATTGGAATTGCTTCGCTCCCAATTGTCCAGACATGTCTCGGACCATGTGTGCGCAAAGTCGACGAGGAGGACGAGGCCGATCAAGATGAAGAAGAAGGCGCCAATAGGAGCGATGTAGGAGCCGTATGCCATGAAGAATTCGTTGGGAATGAGGAAGGAGAGGAAACAAAGGAGGAAATAGGATAGGAGCTTGGGACCCCACCAGCTGATAGACGTTTGTTAGCGGTTCATGCAGAAGGTAGAGTACTTACCCGTTCTGAAGAGCAGCTCGTTTGGCCTTGGTAGATCGCACACCAATAAGGAGGGCTGACAGGAACAAGTGGAAAAGGACCAAAGCGAAACAGAATCGGTGGGTCTGGTTGTCTTTTGTCAGCTTCCATTCCTTGGGTAATCATCACACTCACAGCCAGAAGCCCATAGCACTTCCCGCCCGAGCAATCCATCTTGATCCAATCCCAGCTCAACTTCTCCAGCTGGCGAATCGCAATATCTGTCTTGGACAAGTATGCCAGCATCGACGATAGGGCGAATATGAGCTATCCAAGAGTCAGTGATGTATATAGTGACCCTGCATGAGACGCACGCCGAACCCAACACGGGTGGCGATAGAGGAGTTGCAGTTGCACGACTTGAAGAAGGCGGAAGCGGCGGTGCCACCTGTGGGTAGTGAGCGGCGGTCGGAACAGCGAGACATGGAGGGACGTACCCATGCAGACCATACAGCCTGATGCGAGTGAGCCTGCGAGGGTTCCGAGGCCACCCGTAAGGAGGGGAATGGATAGTAAAGCGCCCATTGTGGATCTTAGTGAGAGAACTTGAATTGCAGCACAACATCATAGCCATAGCTCGGTGGCGGCGGCTCTGGTGGCGGACCGGACATCGCCGCTTTATTACATAAGCGTCCACCAGGCTTATATTCGGCGTGAATTTTGGCATCTCAAGTCTCTTTCGCACATATCTTTCGATAACGTGAGTCTTGTCTTCATTGGTTTCCATCTCCTCTCCTATGATGCTTGTCACCAAGATATGTTAGACTTCTGCAGCTCGGCTTCGGTCGGGCACAGTAGATACTTTTCGACTCCCTGAGACTACTTTTCCTGATACTTTTTGACGAATCTTCGACACGAGCTGACATTCAAAAAAGTAGACTGTAATGTCCGCCGAACTGCCAAAGGTGGAGAGCCTCAAGCTGTCGGAGGAGGGAAAGAAGGAGGAGAAGGAGCCTGAAGTCGTAGAGGGTGAGGAGAACGACGATGACGATGATGAGGGCGAGAATGACGATGGGCCTGCCAATGGAGGTACGCTTTGTAGCTTTGTACATGTATTTTTTTCAAAAACTGATAGTCTGTTGTTGCCATTTCCAGAGTCCAAAAAGAAGAAGAAGAAGAAGAAGTGTAAGCAAGCTGATCTTTAAAGTTTCGAGATCAAGCTCAACGGCGACGGTAGCCAAGAAGAAGAAGACGGCTGCTGCGACACAGTCTGAACCTCCTCGAGTCGGGCTCACTAAAATCTATAAGAATGGTATCTTCCCCGTTGGAGAAGAAGTCGAGTACAAGGACGAGTAAGTTGGCCCTGCTCTGCGTCGGCGCACCTCTCATCTTTCCTTAGCAACACCTACCGCACAAGTTCCGCCGAATGTCGGGAACGCGAGCGTCTCGCCCAAGGGGATCCTTCCACCCAATATGCCAACATCCGCCGTGCAGGCGAAGTCCACCGCCAAGTCCGCGCCTACGCTCAAAAGACCATCAAGCCGGGCATGACCATGACGGAGATTGCGAACCTGGTCGAGGACGGAACGAGGGCTGTGGTGGAAGAGAACGGATTTGAGAGTGGAATCGGATTCCCGACGGGGCTGAGTGTGAATGAGGTGGCCGCGCACTATACGCCGAATCCTGGGGACAAGCAAGGTGAGTTTTGCTCAGCATGAACCGAGAAGGGGCTCTGACAGGGAGTAGTGCTTGGTGACAAGGACGTGATGAAGGTGGACTTTGGTGTCCACGTCAACGGAAGAATAGTGGACTCTGCATTCACCATGAACTTTGAGCCCACTTGGGACAGACTCCTCGAGGCCGTCAAGGACGCCACCAACGCCGGTATCAGTGTACGTCTCGCTTTTGCCTGTTGCCTTTTACTGACTTTTTCTAGGCCGCTGGTATCGATGTCCGTATGTGTGACATTGGCGAAGCCGTCCAAGAAGTCATGGAATCCTACGAAGTCGAAGTGAATGGCAAAGTGTACCCTGTCAAATCCATTTCCAACCTCAACGGCCACTCCATCACTCCTTACACCATTCATGGCGGTGTCGGTACCCGTCCGGGCAAGTCTGTGCCTATTGTGAAGCAGCACGGGAGCGCTAGGGATGAGGCGAAGATGGAAGAGGGGGAGTACTTTGCGATCGAGACGTTCGGTAGTACAGGACGGGGGAGGGTCATTGAGCAGGGGGCTTGTTCGCACTATGCGTTGAACGCGAGCGCGCCCGAGAGGTACCAGGGGCAGTGAGTCTGGCTTCGGGTAAAGTGTTTTCCGTTGAATCTGACATTGTTACAGCCAGCAGTCTGCCAAGTCTCTATTGGCTTCCGTCAGGAGAAACTTTGGTACTCTTCCCTTCTGTAGAAGATATCTCGACCACGTTGGCGAAAAGAATTACCTCCTCGCTGTAAGTCACTTCCCTCGCTTAAAAACATGTCGGCTGATAACATATACAGTTGAACACGCTGGTGCGCGAAGACTTTATCTCTGACTATCCTCCGTTGGTGGACCCGGAGCCTGGAGCGATGACTGCACAATTTGAACACACCATCTTGCTGAGACCGACCTGTAAAGAGGTTGTCTCGAGGGGCGATGATTATTAGACTATGGAACGAATGCAATGTATCATAGTGTGACTGAGAATCAATTATTACAGTCGCCGACAGGCGCAGAAGGGGAACCAAGCCTAGGGTACACGAGAGAAGTGATGATGTTGGAAGGCGCCTCATCTTTGTCGACGCGTCCGTCCGTTATAAACTCTATAATTGTCATTTCTCTGTTGTACGCCGATACTTTCAAACCCAAGCACCGGTACAAACTCGCATTATGGGTCAAGGATCCTCTTCTCTCCCTTCTTCCCTTCCGGATCTCGCCCTCCATTGCCTCCGCGTCGCCGACAACTCCCCTGTCGACGGACTTGTGGAACCCTACTTTGACTACCTTGTCGGTGTTCAGACCCCACAAATACATTCCAGCCCCAACGAACCCACTTCCACGTCATCGCCATCAGCATTCAAGGGTACGGGAGAGAGGGAAGGGGGAATAGGGATAAATGGTGTTGGGGATGATCAGGCGCTGAGACCAGAAGTGTTGGGGCGAATATTGGAGGATAATGAGGGGAAGCGTATCGGGTTGAGGGTGTATAATGCTAAATCTCAAAGAGTCAGGGGTAAGATTCCATCATTTTCTTCTGATCCTGTTTGACCCTAGTGCAGATGTGTACGTGACGCCGTCAAGAGCTTGGTCAGAAGAACAAACTAGACAAAATGGCGACCCCGACGCGAAGCCTTCCCTGCTAGGTTTGAGCTTGAGGGTGTGTAACCCTGCTCATGCTCTAGAGAGCGTGTATCATGTGTTGGATGTTTTGGAGGGTAGTCCGGCCGAGGTGAGTTCTGTTCTCATGTCTAAGCGTTAGGGTCACTAATGGGTTTTAGATGGCTGGTCTTGTACCCTGGGGCGACTATGTACTTGCTTGGTCAGGCGGACCGTTACATTCCGAGAACGATTTCTACAAGCTTATTGAAGGGCACGTCGACAAGCCTTTGCGGCTCTTTGTCTATAACTCTGACCTCGAGTGAGTGTCACCTTCCGAATGCAAACAAAGCTGACTCGCGACGAAAGCAATCTACGTGAAGTAATACTTTACCCCACAAGGCAGTGGGGAGGTGAAGGCCTTATTGGATGTGGTATCGGGTACGTCAAAGTCCCCTATTCTTGTGCACGTCTGACGATTTGGTGGCCTTCAGCTACGGCCTTCTTCATCGTATACCGCGGCCTTCGACCCCCCCTTCCGGCCCTGATTCCGGGGCTGACGGCTACTTTGGTAATGCGGCAACGTCTGGAGTACTAGTCGGGGCAGCGTGATGCAAGAAAGTTAGGGGGAAGGGATTGCAGGGGTCATTCTATAAAACTGTCATGCCACCGTATGTCTCAATGACTGACTTGCCTTCATTAAATGAGCAGCTGCAGCAGAGCACATTTGTGGTCAAATGCCTTCACTAGGGTTAGATACCGTGCGCATGTACCAAGGACCGTGGTGCCGACCGAGAGACATCAATGCTACACAACGATAGGTGTAACAAGATGCTCGTTTTCCCGCAACCCAACCATCACAAAATCGTTGATAATGATGTATATACAATAACGACACCTTCGCCCCCCTCGCGACTGAACAGCTCGATATCTACCATATAATTTCGTTATCAGTGCTCTTCAACCTGTTCAACATTTTCGACAATCTCTAGTACAAACGCCGAAGTGACTCCAGGAATAGACCTCTCGGCTTCGATGAAGGCTTCTCGCAAACGAGCAAGGGTAGCTCGAGCATAGTCGTTGGGGACCCGAGTAGCCAGCTACGTCCTTGTCAGTTTGGATTGCATTACCATGTGAAAACTCACGTTGCTGATAGCAGGAATGATCACGCCCTCGAGCATCACTTCCTCGTCTCCTTCATCATCAATGTGCTGTTGCTGTTGAGCTTGAGCTTGAGGTTGTGGCTGCCCCGCAACAGGCACCGACGCACCGGGAGGGATAACCGCCCCTCTGACCGTCGGATACATCACATCCCCACCCTCCGCCCTTGTCCCCGTGGGCGTAGCGCTCCCCTGGCTATGCCCCGAGATGACAGAGTTGGGGGTGCCGTTGTTGTAAGAAGGGTTGCCTCTAGACGGTGTTGGGGGTAAGGCGCGGCCGCTCATGGAGGGCGGCAGAGATTGTTCAGTCTGTGAGCGGGTGGGCGTGGCAGAATGGGTGGACTTGGTTGGAGTAGAGGTGTTTTGAGTCTGGGGCGTACCGGAAAGGGAAGCGGTGGGAGGAACGGTGCGCCCGGCGGCTCGAGAAACGGTTCCGGGGAGGTTGTTGCGTACAGTGCCAACTGCAGGATGTCAGTCGGCTTCTCATTACGGGATTACGATACTGACAGTCCCAGAGAGCATCAGCAGCAGGTCCATAGCCAGGCCTGTGACGCATTAGCTCAACGCTCGTGGAAAGACAAAAATGCTGACTCCTGTGACATCCCACCAGATCCGTCATCCGAAGGTTTGGCTCCACCTTCGGCCTTCCACTGTTCGTATCTCTCAACCAGCTCGGTCAAGTACGAGGCCTTCCTGGCAGTCTTGATAAACTTGTGCTTCAAAAGATCTTTGGCCGTGGGTCGCTAGGTTGATAGTCAGTCCTGGCTGCCTCGCCACAGGAAAGGGAAAGACTGACGTTGCGAGGGTCCCGTTGGAGACAGAGAGAGACAAAGTCACGGAATGGTCGGGAGAATCGCTCGTCCAGCTGAGGAGGCGGGTTCTTGGGGATGAGGAAGAGCACCTTCATGGGGTGAAGGTCGGCATATGGAGGCTCGCCCATGGCCATTTCGATACATGTGATACCTGTCCGACTGTCAATTTGCGATCAAAGACAGTGCGGTGTACACATACCCAAACTCCAGATATCGGCCTTGTGGTCGTACCCGGACTGCTTGATGACCTCGGGAGACATCCAATATGGTGTACCGACAAACGTGTTCTAGAGGATTCATGAGTGTAGTTCTGTGAGTAAGCCTGTAAACACACTTTCTTAGTCATAGTCGCAGTAAGCTGTCCGGAGACACCGAAATCGGCCAGCTTAACATCGCCGTTGGCAGTGAGCAGAATGTTGGCGGCTACGTGCGGTCAGTCATAGTTGCCAGCTCAAAGTCTCTGCGCACCTTTGATGTCTCTATGAAGCTTGCCCTCTTCGTGCAGGTAATCTAAACCTCTCAGCAATTCCCTCGCCAGAATGGCGATATACTCCTCTCTGAAAACTCCAGCTTTCATCTGTAGTCCAGTCAGCGTATGACTAGCTGGCGTTTTTGAGTCCACATACCAAGTCCGAACAGGAGCCACCCGAACAATACTCCATGATGATCCACAAATGCGACCCCTTGAGGTACGATCCATGATACCTCGTCACAAAGTCACTATCCAGCTGTCCCAGAATCTGGATCTCTTGCTGGATATCATCAATCTCGTCTTCTGCGCTTTCAAGGTCGATAATCTTGATGGCGACGGGGAGAGAGGTGCGCTTGTCGTAGCTTGAGAGTCGTCAGCGAGAGTGCAATCCGAGAATATCGACTGCTTACCCTTTGTATACTTCACCGAAACTGCCCTTGCCTGTACAGAGCACAGAGTAATTCAGTGCCGTCTTTGGTTCATTATAGTGTCACGTACCTATACGGTTCTGACGCACATAGAAGAGCTCGGGGTCGGCATGAGGGTTGTTGGGATTCGTTTGCGAATATGTCGACTACACCGGTAAGCTGGGCGACACATGAGACGTTGAGACTACACACCATATTGTATGATATATGGGGAAAGATGCTTGAAAGTAGTGAGATTCAAGTTGCCACCGAAAGGGGCGCTGCGGCGTGTCGATGCGTTAAGGGTGCCTTGAAGAGGTGTACCTCGGCGGCGGGCCTGGGCTGTGGGTCTGGGTGACAGCTGGGCAGTCAGATGGGTATAGTCCGGATGGGCGGACGGCAAGCTATAGCAAGTAGAGAAGAAAGAGAGAAGAAAGAGAGAACAGAGGCGGTGATAGAGGAGATGCGTTTCAGTCGCGTTCCTGTTGTTTCCCGAAGACAAACGCGTCCGTGCGCGAAATACTCCCGTCAGTCCACAGGCTCAACAGTCCAGGCTCTGGCTCTGAATTTGAATACTCATCAGAATTGGCTTCCAGGTCTTGTACTCTCCTATGGCGACACATCGATATGCCTGTTCTTGGCAAGAAAACATTCATAGTTCTTTACAGGTATATCGTCAGAAACCCTTTTACTAAGCCGGGCCACGGCCACCTCTCTGATCCAACTCAATATCCCCCTATCTGCAAGACACATCTTAGGCCGCAGCGACTGTCACATTAGCCTTCTGGCTCAACGTGATCTTGTCACCCAAGCTCAGAGCGATTCCCTGGGTCTTGCTTCTTATCCTGACGTGCCCGGTGATATGGCCGTCTTCTGTCCGTTCAATGGAAGCATTGGCAAGCGCATCCTCACCTAAGAAATCGTCAGAGACCAGTCAAGCTTCAGTCGAATCGACCTACCAAACAGACTCTTGGCGGCCAAGTTGGCACTCAAGAAGTCGCAATCTCCACTCAACGCTGCCTCGGGCGTCAACAACGCCATGTGAGTGCTCTTCAACAGGTGATCCAGGTAGCCTCTCAGATCGCCAATGACCGTCTGCACTGCCACCTTGTTCTCCCACTCAAACTCTGTCCACATACTGCGGAACTGAGCCTCGTTGACATAGTTGGGTTTGATAAAGGACATGATGTCGACGTGAATGTCAGACATCACAATACTGACGTCTGCGTCGGAGGCGCCTTGTTTAGAGTATGTAATGGCTCCGAAGATCACACCAGTTTCAGTGGAAGAGACCTTGACGGTGGCTGAAAGACTGTGGAAGCCGTGAGGTCCCAGGGTAACAGCTGCCGGTCGTTCGACAAGCTTCAGATCACCCAGCGTAGCAAAGTCTACCGTCAAGTTTTGCAAAGTCTCGTTGGTGGTGTTGACGAGCAGAACGTCGAGGATGATGTCGTATTGAGACAAAGTGACGACGGTCTCGGCGTAGACAGGGTCGGAGAAACCAGTGAGTTGTGTGATGCGAGAAAGCTTGGAAACAAAGTCGTCTTGAGGTTGGGTAGAGCCAGTGGCTTTGACGACGTCATCGACCTGCACCGCGTAAGCTCAACTCCATAGTGAAAGAAAGTACTCACATCGTCAACCTCGGTTACAGTCGATTTCTTGGCCAACTGCCTGAACTCTATCAAGTCATCCGCTTGCACAACCTCGACCTTGCTTTCCCTCTCCTTCTTTTCACGCGCCTTCTTTTCCTCAGTCTCCACCATCTTTGCGTACGCCGCCTTGGTATCCTTCAAGAATACATCGTGAAGCGCCTTGTTGCCTTGCAATTGCGCAAGAGTCTCGATGCAGTTCATGATTCGTTCCTCGGCATCCTCGTCGATGGGGACGGCAGAGAATTTAGACTGACCGACACGAATCACACTGGTCATGATCAAGATGGCCTCAGCGCGAAGCGTGTTGATACCAGTCGGGTCATTTGCACCAGCAGCTTCGGAATACCTCAAGACAAGCTTGGTCAGTGTTGACGCAAGCACGCTTCCGGTGAAGAAGTCACCGCCAAGGAGAAGAGCTCGAAGTGGTGGCTTGGTAGCTGATCGGACAGCTTCAAGACGGGCAGCAGCGGCAGAAGAAGTGTAGACAGTTTCGGTGGCGTAGGTGCCATCGGCCAAGACTCGTGTAGTGGTGACAGCCTTGGGCTTGTCTTCGTCCTGCTCGGCGTGCGCTTGGTCGGCGGCCTCGTGCTCATCCAACAAACGCTGAAACTAATTAGCGCTAGCTTGCGCCAGTGGATTGTAAGACTCACCTGCTCGGAAGCAAGGATGGGGATTTCACCCAATACCTGCCTGATCTCGCCGACCGCCCGCTTGATCTCTTCCGGCTTTTCACAGTACTCGCCAACGATCCACATGGCACCCCTGTAGACCTTGCCTGATTTGATCTCGCCGAAAGTAGAGATCAACTTGTTGGTGATGGCCTCCCTCAACTTGGGGAACTTTTCTACAACTTCCCTCACGAAAGCAATCACATCCACCGCTGATGGGTTGTTGGAGTCGCCGAGGAAATCCATGAGGACGTACACGACATTGGCGGCCACTTCGGAGAATCGGATAGCGCACGAGTGGATGCTCTGGATGAGCAGCTGTCGGTATTCGAGATTCTTGTCAAAGTCTTGGTCGATGGTAGACTGCAGCTGCTTCTTGAGGAAGAGGACAACCTCTTCAACGTTACGAGAGGAGACCATCTCGAGAGCAATACCGATCGCCTTTCGCTTGACTTCCATGTCGGGGCTGCGCCAGTTAGCGACGTCCAATTTAGAAGAGGTGGACGTACGAATTTAGCACCTTCAAAATGTCCATCACCATCCCGTCCAACACATGCTCATGCTTTTCCCGCAGCACATTGAATCGGTCAAGAACAATGAGCTTGACATTGTTGTCCGCCTCTTTGACGATGAGCTCTGCGAGCGCCGCAGCAGCAGCCTTGACAGCTGCCGGGTTCTGGGTCAAGGTAGTCAAGCTAGTAGCGGCTTCGTACTTGACGGCGTGTGACTTAGAGCCAAGGAGCTCAGAGATACACCTGATCCACTTGGCCCTGTGGCTCCCCTCGGTCTTGGCCTCCTTCCGAACGAGCTCGATGACAGACATCTGCATGAGCTCGTCCATGCTGTCGATTTGGTCAAAGTTTTCGAGGAGGTATTGGACAGCAGTGGGTTGGGAGATGTTGCAAAGGGTGACAAAGGCGTTGCGTTTACATGTAGAGTCGGACTCCTAAGCAAAGGTCAGCAGAGTCGCAGTTTGGATGGATATACTGACAGCGACGAGGAATGTCTCCAGAAGCTCTGGCGCATCAGGAATGAGATGCTCATGGTCCTGGAAGATCGAGTACACTGCAAACACCGCATTCTTCCTGACGAAGGAATGTCTGTGCTCCAGACACGACCTGACGGTAGGGACCAGCGGTTCCAGCAACTCTGACTCGCGGACCTTTTGGAGGTATCGAAGGGTAGCACCTCGGATGTACTCGTTGGGGTGCTGGAGGTCGTTTCGGATGGCATTGACGACGAGGATCATCTCTTGCTTTAGCTTGCCCTGCTCGTCCAGCTTGGGGCATACTCTGTAAATGCGATCAGTTGTGAGCGCGGCGTTCCACGTTTCACTCACTCCCAGTAGAAATGGAGCATCTTCTTGAGCTGCTTGTTGCGCGAAGGCATGACATATTGGATGATGGGCATCAGAAGGGAGGACTGAGGACCGTCAGCGATGCTTTGACTGTGGAGAGACACGTACATGGTTCTGGCCGTTGAGGGTGCCGACGATGATCCTGCGCATGGTCTCGAGCTTGACCTCGTCGGAGCCCTTCTGGAGGGCATTCCTGAGGTCGGCCGACGAGGGGGCATCTAGGAGGTCATCGTGGATGATGGTGTAGCAGGGTCCGGCGGCGTTCATGGCGGTTGAGGTGAGGTTGACGTCGAGGAGCGCGTTCATGAGCGCGCGGCGCCACGGGAGCGGAGAAAGACGGAATTATATTTGTCCCTTGCTGACCGTCTCAGCATCCATATACCCCCTCTTCTATCCATACATTCCCAAAATGGCCACCCCTACCGTCAACGTGAGTGCCTCAGCTGCATCCACAGGGCAAGCTTACCCCGAAACAGGTCGTCCGTTGGTCCGCTCTCCTCGCCGGTATCACCTACGGGGTCTTCCACCAGTCCACACTACAGACCAAGTACGACGAGGACAAGGCAAGTACCGGCTCAGCAAGCTGTCGGGGATGAAAACTGACCATGGCTTGCTCTCATCAACTGTGTCGTCGATACCGGCAACGCGCTCTCGTTTACCCTTGCCCAATCAACAAACTCGTCCCAATCACCTACGCACCCCCTCCCGATGGTTCTTTGCAAACAGGCCAAGCACCACGCCGCCCACCGAGCGCACCTCGTGCAGGAGGCGAAGAAGGCGTATGCTGCGAAGAAGGCTGCCGGTGCCGCGACGGGATGTGAGTTGCATTCGGGGTCTACTCTGGTCCGCTTGGCTTGGACGCGCTTTGAAGAGATTCGTTTGAAGTTGCGTGGGGCGGGTTGGTGCAGGGCTATGTCTTCTAAGGTGTCCGGGGTGGTTCCCGGGACAATCACCTCTGTTGACGTGGTCCGTGTCAGCAGCCGTCACGCCCTCCTATTATACTCCGTCTTCCTTCCCTGCAGCAGACACACCCAGAATACGCAAGTACTGACTGCGTCTCTCAGTGATCACCGACCCCGAAGATCCCAAGTTCGACCTCGAGAAGGTCATCGAGTCATGGACCAAAGACTCATAGAGGAAAGAAGGAGTCCCTTACCGTCATTGTTGTCAAACTCAATCTCTTATACCGAATACCGACCCATGAAAACTAAAATATGCTCAATTTGGGTCAGTGTCTGGAGACTACAGACTTTGCGACGTACCAGTGGGGAAGGATGGTTTCGACTGGAGATACGCGCTTATTGGGAAGCCCTCTTTTGATCGATCAGGCAGAAGTGATATCTTGCCTATGAGCTTGACCACACCCTGCATAGCAGCAGCAAAGGAGCTGGACATCACGAATCACACAGCCAGGAGATACGGGGTGCAGTGGGCTTTGCCAAATTGAAACGACATCAAGAGTATTAACACCCAGCGCACACCGAGCGTCGACTAAAGACCGCGCTCTAGTCAGTGGTTGAAGAGTCATTCTTAGTTACTGCTTTAGAAGCCCAACGAGGTTCAATGTTTCAAGCCAGCAGCCTTCGTCCCAAACTATAATGGTGTCATACTTCACACGAGGGATACCTGCAGAACCGCTCACCCGTTATTAGACCCATATCATCCCCGACATCATCACCTGCGGATCCTGCGATATAAGTGAGACACCTGTTTGAGGTCACAGAAGTTTTCCAGATGCAATGTTTCACGAGCCTGAAATAATGATGATCTAACGATAGATTGGCCTGAACCTCGGGTTATATATATTGACTCGGCTTTCTGAAACTACTACTCTACTCGTACTCGTCGTGCTGCCTGCTCTACTACTCGACCGTGATATGTAATGCCCCGAACTACGAGTGGATGTAGGTACATGGTGGAACATAGGTTGAAATTGAGCCTACATATCGCAAGGCATTATCGCTACATACCGACCGACGCTCCGGCCCCTCTTTGAACGACAACGCTCTCGTCACCCAACTTTCTTCTCGTAGACTTCTTTCTCGTTTTCTTGGAAGGAACGTTCTTTCTTCTTCGAATTTTCGTTTCCCTCTTCGGCACCTCTAGCATCCCTTGTCGCTTGGATCCTCCTTTTCTGGTCTTACTCGGCCACTCAAAAGCAGACGTAGAAAGACGGGTCGACAGTCGAGCGTTGTAGGCAAAGTAGTCAATCTCGGAGGAGCTGGAAGCAGGGATATCGGGAGTGATAATCATCACCGGGATCGGTAGAGTCGAAAACGGTCTAGTTGGGGTCTTGGGAGTCTGGACAGTGGGCGAGATAGGGGACGAGCTCGAGCTATCCATATCAGGCATAACCTCCTGCTGTCGGTGTTGGGATCCGACGACGGATTTAGTCCCTTTGGGCGTTTCAGACACGTTCGCGGCATCGACATTGCATTGAGCCCTCTCATTGAAATCGAGAGCTCTCAGATCAGGCAATGTATCGTGGATAGACTCCTCCATAGGTCGCCCGCCATCCATAGTTGCGTATCGAGAATAGAGGCTTTCAAGAGAGTCAGATCGGCTAAGCATACTTGAGACTGTGATTCGTTGACGGAGCGGATCGGAGATGGACGGACATGGGGAGATCAGAATGGGTGGCTTGTTGGTGGTGTTGCTGCCGGAGGCGATGGTCTCGGAACAGTCTGACGTGACCTGGAAGACTTGTGCCCTCGTCTCCTGCTCTTGTCCTTCTCCTCCAAGGCTTTTGCCGGATTCTTTCTCCATGATCGTACCAGAGATAGCAGCCACCTCCTCATCACAGTCTATCATGTCGAGTCCAGGTACGGTCGGCAAGCTTTCCTTTTGTATGCTCGCGCGAGGGGTATAACTCGTGAGAGTTCTTGGAGGGGAGCATTGAAAGGGGCCATGAACATGGCCGGCGGGGCTGGGATCATCACAGGGAGTGGTCGGTCTAGAAAGGAGTGTGAAGGGGGGTGATTGGGTAGCTCGAGATTGGTGTTGAGAGGTGGCAAGGTGAAGACTTGGCAAGATGTTGTCGGTCCCGGACAGGAATCCACGGGCAGCCTGTGAGAGTGTCAACAGGTCATCAAGAGCCTCGAGTTCGCCTTACTTGATCCTGTTCTTGCACCGCGCGCTCCATAACTCCCTCATCACATAGTCTCTTCTCTTCACCACCCAGGCCCTGTTTCTTCACTAAGTCTCTTGAACCAGAGACAGAATAACAAGAGAACTCACACCAGGCGCAGCAACAAGATCACCAACCACTTTCGCGACAACACTGACCCTCTTCATCTCCTCCGCCGATTGGATCAGATTTGGTAAAGCATGAAGAGTCACATTGTAGGACAGAGAGGTCGAGCTAGAGCTTGGAGGAGACAGATGAACGGAAGATAGGAGAGAAGACAGACTTTCCAGAGAGGATGTGGGTTGGTGAGATGTGTTCGAGTGTCCATTGTATGCAGTGGCGAGGGACGATCTGGAGAGGGAAGCGCCCATGCTTGCACGACGGAATGAAGGAAAGGGATAAGTCGCAGACTGATCAGCTGGCCACCAGGGCTGCGTGTTGTATGATACAGATGGTTTCGGGAGCACACGAAAGAAGGAGGGAGAATGAACGAGGGATGGCCGAGTCTGCTGTGTGTTTAGCAACGACCAGGAGATAGTAAGCTACATTCTGAATTTTGGAACAATGACGACGCAAGGAGCATTCGGCGAAGAAGCCGTACTAGTACATCCATCAGTTTCACGAGCACGAAAAGTCACACCGGACGGCACGCGGAAGTGGTAGAGGTTAGTGCGGAGCTGCAAAGATATTGTGGCTTGGGGATTACTGCACCAGTACACTCGAGGTGCTGGGCACAGGACATAGAGTGATATAAGCGTCACATTGCCATGTTTGCTCTCGGCTGTGCCCACAGGCTGACCATACGTCAGCTTCAAGAACCCCCAAAAATTCATGATCATACAAGTGTGCCCAACGAATACCCTGCGTTCCATCAGTTCGATATCTGTACTACCCTCCGCGCGCTTGACAATATCGAGTGCACTGACGATGCACACGACTGATACATGGGAGGTTAAACTCATCGAGGAACAAGTCTCATCACAACCTTTCTAGAACCCAAACAGATACCCCAAGAGCAACAGCACGCAACCTGCAACCACGCACCCTATGATGATGGTGTCTCTTCTCCTTCTCGTTTTGATCATCGTAATGAGCGAATTGATCCCTGGCATCTGGTTTAGGACACCTCCCATGCGGGATTCGACGGAGCCGAGTAGGGTACGCTGGGAGGCAAAATCTGAGCGGGTCGCGTACGCTTGGCTGAAGACGGGTGAGCCAGAGACCAAAAGAGGAAGAGAGGACAAGGACCAACTTCAAAGTGTCGTCGATCATGCGATGGGAGGAGTCTATTCGAGAGCGATCTTGGAGGAGCGCGTCTGTGGCACTGGACCGCCCAGACTTGTAGTCGCTTGCAAGGATATCAGCGCATGCTTCGGTACACTGCATACCCGAAACTCACTTGATGTCTTTCCTCACGTCACCCAGGAGGTTTGACCGCCGAATGGATTGCTCGACATTGCTCTGGATTTGTGTCAGTTGGCGCGCCAGAGCCGGTGGCCCGAACTCACCCTCGTCCTGATGAAATCTCTTCTGTAATCGTCCAGATTATCCCTATGCGTTTGAGCAGCATGCTGCATAGAAGCCGAAGGTGGTTGACTGGGCGAATTAATGAGCGCCATGAGGTCCTCAATCGCTTGTTCCAGCTACCGCAAGCTGTATCAGCTCTGCGTCACCTATCTTCTCGGCCTGCTCACCTTTTGTAGAAGCTCCTCTACTTCTTCTTCTACAAGCTTATATCCTCCAATACCCTCATCGTCGATATCGTCTCTGCTTCCTCCCCCACTGCCGCCGAGTCCCGAAGATGAGCGTGCGATGGAAGCTGCTAACCTCGAGTAGGCTGATAATTTGGAGTCGAGGGCTGTTTCGAGGGCCCTGGCATGTCGGCGGGCGTTATCCCAGGAGGTGGACATGGCTGTGGGGTGTTTGTGGTCGATGTATGCATGCTGGCGTTGACGGGCTGGCTGGGGGCGGTGGGTGCATGGTGCGGTGGAGGTGCCCGATGGTGTTACGTAAGCATACATTCGCTGTCAACGCGTATGATGGTCACGCTCCCGTTCATGTTTCAAGACTTTCAACGTCCTGGACGTGGTATTCCTCTTACGACCTGTTACGACCTCGCCCACCATGGCCCTCCTACCACGGTCAACCCTCGCCGCCCTGTCTATACTCCTGTTGGCTGCCTGCAGTGTCAGCGCGACAGCCCTCACCGCCATGCTCGGCGCGAACGAACGGAGCTGCTACTATGCCGACGTCGATGGGCTGGGAGAGAAAGTTGGCAAGTCGTGTGACTGTAGACTAAAGTCTGGAGACTGACTACGGGCTAGGCTTCTACTTTGCAGTGCAATCAGGGGGCAACTTTGAAATTGACTATATTGTCATGGACCCGGATGACAAGGTGATACTGGAAGGCGTTGCCGAAAAGCAGGGTGACTATATCTTTACTGCCAACAAGGTGATTACCATTATCCATATCACGGAGCAAGAGCTCACATTCGTCTTGTCAGCTCGGAGAGTATTCTTTTTGTTTTGAGAACGAAGCGTACACCCAGGACAAGCTGCTGGATTTCGAGTAAGTCTCATTCTCCGCTCTGTCGTGCCTGCAGATGCTGACTGCCAATCCAGCATTATGGTTGAATCCGAGCCCCGCCGGATCCTCTCAGGCCAACAACCACCTCTCAAAGAGCACACCTCCGCCCTCGAAGAGTCCACGTACAAGATCTCCGGCGTCCTCAACTCCATCGCCCGTACCCAAAAGTACTTCCATACGAGGCACCATCGAAACTTCTCTACTGTGAAGAGTACGCAGGGAAGGATTCTGTGGTTAACAATCTTGGAGTGTATTATCGTCGTTGGGATGGCTGCGTGAGTGCCGGGTCCGACTAGGGTACGAAGTGCCAGCTGACACAGATTTAGGGCCCAGGTTTGGGTTCTCAAGACGTTCTTCTCCAGAGGCAGCAGAAGGTACAAGGTGTAAAATGTGTACACAACACTTTCATGCATATATACATGCCTAGCATACGAGCTACTCTGTGTCGGGCACCGCTTCCCTTCAAGCCTTTCTATAATATCTGCTTCTCGACCATGAGGAAATTAGACCTTTCAGACGTTTCAATGGTGAATTGGGGAGGCGAAGGACCTTCATCTGTAGGATATATCTCAGGGGTAACGGCCAAGGCGCTGTACGGGAGACCCCTACGCGTCGCAAGTGGCTTCTGCACTTGGCTGCACTTGAAGCCTTCTTCTACCGACCGCCTCGATCATCACAGTCTTCTTTGACATCGTGCTATCGTGATCGACAATGCCAGATAGATGCATACAGAGGGCAAGTTGATACACCGAAAAACGTTCTCATGCAACCCGACGCCTCTTCCCACCCTCTCCGACACTCCCACCCCCCGGTGCAAAAGGCCTGCTCTTCTTCTCCTTGCCTGCAATCTTCTTGCGTTTCCTCTCGACAAGTTTCTTGACTGCTGTTTTGCCCCCCGATTTCTCGAGGTCCTCGAATCGGGCCTTGAGGAGGAGGTCTCTTTTCTCGCCTTTGGTAGAGTTAGCACATACTTTGCGGGAACGCGAGATGACTGACCCTTCTTCATATACCACGCTCCTTTACCCGACTCTCGTTTCTCTCTTTCTTCCCTTTTAGCCTTTGCCAGAGTCTCCCTCTCCAGCTCTTCCTTCTCTCCCCTTGCCAACCTCGTCCTCACCCTCCCCATCTCCTCCTCCAATCGTTCTCTCTCCTCTACTCTTTGCGGCTTGTCTCTCAGCGAACACTGCTTTTCCGCCTTCTTCGCCGCCGCAACCTGTGCCTTCAAAGACACCAGCTCTTCTTTGAGAAGAGATGGAAGGAAAGAGTAGGACTTGTGATGCAGGTCGGCGTTGGCGTGCCCGGCAGAGAGGGAGGAGAATCGGGGATCGCGGCGTTCAGGTTTTGGAACGTCAATGACTTGACGCTTACGAGTAACCTGACGTTTGGTGCTCATAGCCACGGGGCTGTCATGCGACTTAGCCTTGACCTATGGTAGAGAATATGAAACTTACGCATGCTTGTTACTCCGGCCTGCAGCAGCGCTCTCCGGTCCGGAATCATCACTGTCACTCGCATCTCTGTTCACACGCCCAGCTGGTCTGTCTGTAACAGATACGCCTTTACCCTTGCCCCTTTGAAGTTGCGCTAGCTTGGCCTTGGCTGCGGCGAGCTTTTCTTCCTTCAATTGGGTAGAAGACGAAGACGATGCTTTCTGACCCAGAGATTTTTGAGCTTTAGCTAGAGTCGCCAGGGGAAGTGATTTGAGGTCTGTACAGTGTTAGTCTTTGCCAGTACTCGAAATAGGTTGACTTGCTATTCTGCAATTGTTTCTGGAGATCGTAAGCACCAGTTCACATATGACACGTAGTACTCACCAGCTCTGCACTATCATCATCGCTCTCTTCTTCACTTCCACCATCGCTCTCTGAAGCAGTATCCTGATCCTCGTTCCACTGATCAGGTTCCCACCTCGCACCCCCCTCTTCTTCTTCACTATCTTCTTCATGGTCGTCTTCATCATCGTCCTCGTCTTCCTCGTCGTCGTCGTCGTACTGCTCAGCGATACCGGGAGCGTAGCCTTGGGCGAACTCGTCTTCTTCAGAGTCTGATTGGAGATAGTTGTCTTCTATCGATGGTGCCCTCTCGGCGTGTGATTTCGAGGAAGATGCTCTGGCCATTGCTGCAGTGTTCGTGGGTCAAGTCGGAAGATACAAATTCCTAGTTGAAGCTCAATGTTCAAACTTTGGTCCCACTTGTTCATTAATAACATCGTAATTACAACTAATCAACAACTCGAGATTCAGTCGTCCATCCCTCTTGCGCTCTTTCAAATTGACATCCTCGACCATCGCAATGTCTGCCCCCGCATACTCGTCCACCCCGGGACAACAGCCCAACGCTGCACAGGCTGCTCAGCAGGCAGAGCTCAAAAGACGCGCAGAGGCCGAAGCTGACTCGAGAAGAACGCAAGTCACTCTCCTACATCTCTCTCAAGCCCAGGCTAACCTCTCTGTAGGAAACACACCCGCCCCCCTCTGCCCCCTCCCCATGTCCTTGCGGCTCTAGTCCCCGACTCTCCCGCGTTCCTTGAGCTGATGAAGGTAGAGCAAAAGCTGGATTGGACGCTCATGAGGAAGAAGGCGGAGGTCAACGATGCCCTGGGAAAGCCTACGCGTGTATGCCCTTCTTTATCTACGTGGTTTACCAAAAGAGCTAGCTGATGCAATTCAACAGGTCAAGAGAGCATTACGCGTGTTTGTCTCCAACACGGCGCACGACCAAGATTGGCAAAAGGAGCTCGACGCGGCTGCTGCTGGACTTGCACCTACTGGCGAAGCGTCCGCTAGCCGTGCCGAAGGCGACAAAGCGGAGAAGGCGGAAGGAGATGTTACAATGGAAGATCCGAGTGCACCCAAGAAGAAGGAGGTGGATGTCAGTAACGGGGATGGCATTGCAGGATGGATCCTGAAGATTGAGGGACGGCTCCTGGATGTGCGTTCTCTACCCTCTCTTCTGTGTGTGTAATAACTCTGACGGCGGTGACAGTCTGGAAATGTGAGGCTGGACCGGACAAAACGCAAGTTTACAACTTTCCTGAAATCTGCCATCATCGAGTTCGACAACCGCGAAGCGCCCACCTACCCGGAAGGAAACATTGTCGAATGGCATGCTACTGCCCACCAGGGCCCTCCTCTAGACGGGTTCGAGATCCTCCGTCGGGGTGACCAGAACGTGCCTTGTAGAATCACGCTGCACGTTTCACACTACCCGGAGAGGTTCAAGGTGCTGGAACCTTTAAAGGGGCTGATAGCTGTCCACGAAGCAACGAGGGCAGAGGTGTTGAGCGCGGTTTGGAAGCTTGTCAAGGTCACAGGATCGCAGGACAAGGATGACGGGACCATTGTGCGCCCGGTAGGCGGCCTGGAAAAGGTAAGAGTGCATCATTCGGGGAGACGGTTACTCATGCGACAATAGATTTTCCCGCAAGGGCAAGAAAGTGTGGCATTCCACCAATTACCGGAACTCGCTTCGAGGTATCTCGCGCACCCCGACCCTGTTGTGATCCCCTATACCATCGAGTACGTATCGTCCTGTAGATCGCTCGACATTGTCTGACGATAGTCGGGTAGTGTTACAAAAGACTACAACTTCCACCAGAAGTGTTTTGACATTCCGCTCGAGATGGAGGACCCTCTCAAGTCTAAGATGGCTGCCATGGTCAGCAGCTTCGAGGGACCAGAGGGAGCAGAAGTGATGAAACTGGAGGACAAGGTGGCCGAGTTGGCATACTTTGTACGAGAGCTCAAGGAAAAGCGCGATTTCTTGGAATCTTTTGCGTAAGCTAGATCTGCCCCGCTGTAACGCCTTGCTGACAAGAGAGCAGCGTCAACCCTCAATCCTTCATCAATTCCTACCTTGCTGCCCAAGCGCGTGATCTTGATCTCTCTCTCGGGTACCAGATTGGTCAGGCTACGGCCAATGGCGGGTCTGTCAGGGAGGAAGACTTGAGGAGGAGTGACCTGTTCCAGATGCCTTGGGTGGATGAGGCTGTGGGGGTCGTGGAAGGGGGAAGGATGGAGGCGGAGAGGAGGGCGGTCGGGTATGGGAGATAGGTAGAGACGTATTTGTAATTTGACATTCATGTATGGTAGAGATTCATGGACTCTCATGCGAAGAATCGATAACCAGAGTATATACACTCCCATCGAGACATCATACGTAGGGCCGTGGTGCAGAATCAGGGTACGTACCACCGTATCGATAGTTGCATTCTTATACGGGTGTACCTATGCGACGGGATAGAGGGAAGCCGCTTTGGTCCAGAACAAAAGAGACCTCATGGGACCGCTCCAGCAACAGTCCCAATCCGCGTGAATTTGTGCATTGCCATATCGCAGGAATATACCTGAAACAGAGCCCAGCCCTTGGATGTCAGACACAAAGAATCATCAGTGTTGATGTGCCAGATTGACGGCTGGCCTCTGACAATTTTTGGCATCCACTTGGCACCTGGCGTTGTAGAAGAGGCTGTTTGGACGGATCTGAGGCAGAGCAAACAGCTGGTATGGCCACAAAGTGTGAGTCGAAGAGCCAGCTTCAATATCGACTTAGGAATGACCGCCTCAAGGTGAAACGGCGCAAACGCCATCAGTCGTGTCAGCTACCGTGTGTTGGACGTGTTACAGTAGGCAAGGATGCCGCATTCGACGTCAGTGATAGAGCTCATTGAAAAGTGTTTTCTGCCATCCGTCTGCGTTCACGTTCTCCGAGGCTCGCCCAGCCCTTGCCTCTGCAACCCTGCACCAACAACCTTTTCCCATGATAGCCATCCCTTTTTTCGTTGTTTGCAATGCTGATCCCAGCTGGTATCGTCCTAAGCGTGCATAAAAATAACGCCTAAAAGTCACCCTACTACCAAAGTAGCTTTTTAACGACCACCCTTGCCAGCACCGCCCTTGGCAGCCTGCTTGGAGACCTTGGGGGCGTTGGACTGGGTAGGCTTGTTGGCGGCCTTTCGGGTCTCCTTGTCTCGCTTCTCAGTCTTGGCCTTGGTGATGGCGGCTTGTCGGGCAGCGGCTCGGACCTCGGGCTTGGCAGTTCGCTTGGCGAGGATAGAGGCGAGGTCGGCACCAACGATTCCACGCTGGAAAAAGGTCAGCGATGTTTTTGAGGTGGTTTGATCCTCCAGTGTCCCTGCGCGCATCCATCGCTCCCCGTGCCCAATTCTTCCTTTCACCCTCCTTCATCTCCACCCTTCACTGTCCCCCCATGAATCTGAATCTAAACCCACCTGGACCTTCACGTTCTTCCTGGACCTCTTCTTGGCGACCTCCTCAGTGATACCCTTCTTGTGCATTCTGCGACCCCAATCAGCATTCCCGTTTTCCCCGCCTTCTTCTGTCCTTGACGCACCGTCGGTAGACCTGAGTCCAAGCGATCTTTCTGGGGTTCTTCCTTTGAAGGAAGAGAGACTCGTTCTTGGAGTTGAGGAATCGGAAAGTCTTGGAGTCGCCACGAACGTAGACCTTTCCCCTGGAGGGGTAGACCTTGTACCCGGAGAAGTCACACCTGTCGACACGCATCTGGGGGGCGTCAGCTAGGGCGGCAGATGGATGGGGGTGCTTACGTTTGCTGTATGGGATGGGTTAGTGTACGTGCAGAGAGATTGCAACAAAAAGCATCAAATCGCAGAGGTGCAGGGAGCGGACATCGCCGCAAAAATGATGAAAAATGCCTTAACACCGACAGAAGCGCGCGGAGGGATTCCCGCGCCGACCATCGATTCTGATCATTATTGTTCCCCTTGGTATACTCCTTGCATACGTATCATGTACATAGACGGATATATCATGTCCTATTTATTCTCAACATTGCCGATGTTCTACCCACTCAGCGACCCAACCACGACAATCATGTCTGGCGACTGTACGAGCTCGACTGGCGCAGCACCGCCCACCTAGTTCAATTGAGAACCTGTTCAATTCCGTAACATATCAGTTCATTCTGTTGCAATACCTTCTTTTGCTATGTAGTCATACCTACCACATGACTCTCAATTCCGGTGACCTGTTGGCAAGGCGTTTTGATCTTGCTCTGGCTTAACAGCCAGACCCAGATGCTTCTACGGTGCAGGAACCCTTTGCGATATGCCCTTGGATGCTTGCCACCGCAGCACCCGGTCAAAAGCCAGAGGAAAATGGGACATGCGGATTATTTAAGAGGCTACCATACATCGCGGCACTGAATTGTATGCATGAGAATGCCAGAATCTTTGGACGAAGTTGGCGTGTCGTTGGAACCGCCTTGAAAGATTAGACGTTGATGCATTTGTGTGCCTGTTATAAGCTCTTGTTCATCAGGTAGAGCATATATCACATCTGGCAAATAGCAATTGGGGGTTCGACGACGCTCATATTCAGTGTTCAAGCTAGTAACTGACACCAGCCCCGGAGACATGCTAGAGGAGTCGTCAAGAGAAATGAGGGTGGGCATCGTCTTTGCTGCTTCGAGCTCGAGGTATACCATGGACCCGGGTGATGTTGCAAAGCAGCCCGATATATAGCTGAAGAGCGCGGAAAAGAGCATAGCGTCAGCGAGTCAAGCAGGTGCGGCACGGTGGTACGGGGCCAGGAACAGATAAGAAGGCTGGACTCCGCGTGGGAGCTCCATGTTTTCGATTGTTTCTATGTGGCCGTGCCTTATTGCTCGGCCATGGCCCCGGTTCTATTCTATCTCCTCTTCCGTTTCTCTTCTCCCAGGTAGACAAGCAGCCCTCTCTCTTCGCCATGCCCGCAACACCCGCATCAATCACCTCGCTTTCCATCTTGCCTCCAGAGATCCAGGCCCTTATCTTCAATTCAATTCCCTTCTGCTGCTCCAAGCCCGAGCTTGCAAGCTTCATCCGCGTGTCTCGCGACACGTACTCTCAACACGTTCGCGGCTTGTACGAGTGCATCGAGCTCACCCGTCACAATGCTTCGCCCTTCTTTCGAGAGTTTCTCTCCAACGAGCCCGTCAAGGAAGACTGGTCAATCGAAAGGTGGCCGGTCGCTTGTCGTCCAGATAGGTGCGACAAGCCGGCAGTTTTTCACTCTGGCGACTCGTTTATATCGAAACTGCACCTCTTCGGGTATGTCAAGACGCTCAAGGCCCAAGAAGTCGAAGCCATTGTGCACATGAGACAGGCTGTGCGGTGGCTGGAGGTTTTTGATCTCAACACCTACGTCGAGCACGTCCAGGAGGAAAAGCAAGAAAGAGAACTCCTTCGGCTGTTTCCCAACACTGAAAAGATTGCTTTCGGACCCTCGGCCCTGTGGCAGCTCTCCGAGCAGCAGGTCTTTGTGGCGGCCCCGCACTGTACGCTCTACAAAGCTTGGCGGGCCAACAAAAAGCATTATTGCCTACACATGCCCAACAAAGAAGACACCGCACTTTTCCACTCCAGTGGTATCATTCGACACGAGCTTCCAAACTTCATGTCCAGTGGCGACACTTGTACCGTACACAATGGAGACCCGAGCTACTTTATTACACCCCCTGGCGACACTTCGCGACTCTCAGAGAGAGGCATAGAGGCAAAAGAGATCAAGATGTTTGTCAAGCCCGGTGAGAAGGCGAATGAGAACAGGATAGACTCGCAGAAGACCAAGATGCTCGCGTTCTTCAACAGCTATCTCCCTACAGAAATTGCGCGCTCTCGGGGCAGGTATGTCAACCAAGTTCTTTGTGTGGCACGGGGGCTGACCATATCCCGTTCATAGCACCCCCCAATACGAGTCTCCCAAACAATTTGTGTTTGCCAACGTCACGGGCAATAAAGACGAGATCTTGGATGCTGCCAAGCGCAGCTGCGGGTCAGATCCCGACCGTCTCGACCGGCTCCAGTCGGTCAAGATCTTTGCCAAGGGAGACGCGTCTGTGACGCCTTGTGTGGTGTGCGGGGAGATGTGATGGAGAGCGTGAGGCTGAGACGGGGTTAGGCTCCTGGAATGCGCTGGAAACACAAGCGAGCTGCCAAGTGTCTCAGCTAGAGTCAGCCACAGGAATGCGCTTTATGTCCACCCAAATATCTTTCTTTCGACTCTCGCCCTGTGTATACGGTTTCTGTACTCTGCCAATCGCCGGTAGACGAGACGTGGCCTTACCGAACAGCACGCGGCTCCGCTGCAGTTCTTCAAAACCTCAACCTTCCTTTTCTACTTGCAAGTTAGATGGACCTTGATCATACGGCAGGCCATGGCACCTGCAAATGCAACAGTCGTTGTTTGCCAACCTGGTGCGTGAGTGCGTGTCTGACTGCAACTTTCATACCGCTGACTTGTCCTCCAAGCCGTCCTCTTCATTTGCCCCTGCTGTACACAGTGTACTCATCTACATATGCAGTCAAGGCTGTTATACACTCGGATTATCAAATATATGTATACAACAAATGATCACTTCAATTCCAATTCTAGACCCTTCAAGAATTCGTCCGCTTCCTTGGCCTTTTTCTCCTTTGGAAGCCGTTCCACCTCTTCCTCTCCGCCCAGCAATTTCGCCCTCTTGGCATCAATCATGGCCTTTCTTTCATCAATTTTTCTCTTTCTTGCTTCCTGCGCTGCAGTCAAGCCGCCTCTCTGAGATGCTTTGGCTCGAGCCTGCTCCGTTTCTTGACGAGAGGCCTTCAAGGCAGCTTGTTGTTGGGCGCGCAGGTCTTCGTCGAGAGAGAATTGGTATGCACCGGCACCTTTCACTCTTACTACACTAACATGAGCGGGAGCGCGAGAGGGTAAAGCACCCAACGGACCTTCTTTGTTTGAATCGTAATGATGAGCACGAGCTTCTTCCTCGGCTTGCCGATACTTTGCTTTGATAGCTTCTGGATCTGGCTGGTAGACAGGGAACACGTGCTGTTCACCGTCTGACAGAGACGAGTCAGCACTGGTTGCTCAAACCCTAGACATCGCGGCTTACGGATAACCTCGGATTGTCTGTTGCCTTGTTAGCGGCATCCCACTGGTGGCGCTGGAACTCACTGGACTTGAGCGTAAGCCGACCCTTCCGCTCCGCTTTCTATCAGCTCTTTTGGGCCACCACGCTCCTTGCGGCTTTGTCGCTCAGCCTCCTTTGCTTCCCTGCGAGTTCCAACCCTAGTCCGTCCAAGCTCGTCGAGATATTCGACTTGTGCGAGGTCGTCACCGTCAGAGTAACTCTAGAGTCATGGTCAGCATGCATACATAATTGAGGCTGCACTTACTTCATCGGACCAGTGAGCACGAGCTGGCCGAACAGATTCGTCTTCGTCCGAAGAATAGTCCGAGTCGTCTTCAAGCTTTCTTTCAAACTGCCCATCCGTCAGTCGCCGCCCTGTACGTCCGCCCCAACATACTCACATCAATAACTGCCTCTTCAATTTCCTTCTTGCTCAAGCCAGAGTAATCACCTCTTTGGATCTGTTCATACTTTCTGGCCTTGGCCTTGAGGATCTCACGCCGCTGCTCTTCGTCCGGACCGTCCTCATCTGCGAATCGCCGCCGCTTGGCGTCATTTCGCGCCTCTGCAGCAAGTCTCTTGACCAGCCCGGGGGATTGCTTGAGGAACGGGTCCCTCACCTGGATCCATAGTCAGTACCATTGATGCATAGCGCACGCCCGACTTGCCTTCTGGAGCTGCGTTGTCCGGGACTGCCCCTTGACGGCCTGCCTCCCTTCCTTGGCAAATTTGTCGACATGCTCTGCAGCCAGAGCCCTGAGCTCGAGCATGCTGCCGTGGGGGGGCTGGCCCCTGTCGCTGGTGGCCTTGTGCGGCATGGAGACTGACGTAGATGAGGGAGTGCCACACTCTGCGGCGTTATGCCTGGTGAACGTTAAGAAGAATATTTACTCAGGGTCCAAGCGGAGATCGCTGCGAATACATATATAGCCCCACAATGCAATCCATTTCTCTTCCTCATCTCTTCTTAATCCTCAACAGCAACAATGTCCGGATCCAAAGTTTACGTCGGTGCGTACACCCACAACACCCCTCCCCCGCAATCACTCGTCTAGTGCATCGTTCGAGGATATTCCATACCTTCTCTGCCTCCCGATCGTGGTACAGCGGAGGAGAAGTAGCATACTCGCCGCGCCCTTGTCCCTCGAACGATGCATATCCTCGTCTCAACATCATGATAGTTCCGACCGGTTTCCTGACTCGGGCTCCTAGGCAACCTCTCTTGGAACACCACCGATGATATCCTCCACCAGGTTCGCTTCCGTCTCTCGTCGTGTCTTGTTCTGTGCTCATGTAGTCATCTCGTCTCACTCTATGCCTGGCTCGCTGCATGTCCGTCGTACGCACACGTCTCGCTCTCCATATGGCTCGTTGGCTCCGCTGTCATTGCTGCTTCATGCCTGTCTCAAACACCTTGTCAATGCACTGTTGTCGCAAGTAGACCTTCGGCGCCTACGGTACCGTCACCGACGTTTGTTGATTCCATGCTTTCCGAGAGATCCGTTCTTAACTTTCGCAGTGCATCGTCATGAAGGACCGTGAGACCGGTCGATCCCGAGGTTTCGGTTTCGTCGTTCGTACACTTGTCTCTACGTCATCTGCCCAATCTGATCCATTCTCTAGACCTACGGTACCCCCCAGGAGGCTGAGGCTGCTATTGCTGCCATGAACGAGCAGGAGCTCGACGGCCGACGTGTCCGAGTCAACCTCGCCAACTCTCGAGGTGCCGGTGGTGGTGGTGGTGGCTACGGTGGTGGCTACAACTCTGGCTGTGCGTATTTGACTCTTTTTCCCGTGTTTTCATGTTCTGACTCGCAAACCAGACGGTGGCGGTTACGGTGGTGGCCAGGGCGGCTACGGCGGCCAGGGTGGCTACGGTGGTGGCCAAGGCGGCTACGGTGGTGCCCAGCAGGGTGGTTACCAGTCCGGCGGCTGTGCGTTGTCTTTCGTATATCTTCACGAGTTTCTACTGACTTTTGCGATCAGACGGTGGCCAGGGCGGCTACGGTGGCGGTCAGGGCGGTTACGGTGGCCAGCAGGGTGGCTACCAGTCCGGCGGCTACGGTGGTGAGCAGCAAGGCGGTAAGTCTTTCATTCCTTCTTGACGCGGTTCGCTGTGGTTTCTCGTCTGGGGTCCCGGCACGCGTTCATTCGTGTTTACATATTTGATTTGAATTGGTTCTGATGGTTGTTTGTTTCGCTCCTCTCATGTGTCTCCCCATCCGGCCTCCCCACTCCGTTCATTGAATCGCATCTTCTCGACTCGTCTTCCGATTATTCTTTGCCTCCTTGGCCTCATAGGCTACGGCGGTCAGGACCAGGGTGCTTCCTACGGTGGCGGCTACGGCGGTGCATACGATTTGGTTTCCGGTTGTCATCAAACATGCTGACAATCTCCTTAGGTGCCCAGGGCGGTTACGGTGGCGGCTACTAAGCGGTCCCATCCCCTTCCCCCCTTTCGCTTTCTTCTTTCTCTGTAAACAAATCTCCAAAAGTTTAAATCAAAAGTCCTCGAAAAGCCCAAATGAATTAGTTCTTTTCTGCTCGTAGTTTTCATTTGATCAAAGTTAAAATCAAGAGTTTCCCATTTGTACCAATCAGTCTGTGTAGTTTCTGCGACTTTCCTCTTCTCTCCTTCCGTTCTAGTTCGTGCGTGGTTTCGAGTACTGGAACGCTAGGGTCGGTTTGCGATGTATCATGGGTGACTCAACAAAACAGGATCTTGCATTCAGACAGATACGTGCTACGATTCAAACGCAAGCTTCTTCTCAACCTGCATCAGCCGCGCCACTACCTCGTCCTTTTCCAACAATGCCCCTTGCTCTTCGGTGAACTCGAGCAGAGGATGCCTCAGTCTCGCACTGGGAAACCCTTTGTGTTTCTGCAGATACCACTTTGTGCCGGCAATGCCAGCTTTGGCGAAAGACGCATCGGCACCGGAGACGAGGTCTTGCAGCGCGAGGACAGACTTCAGATCGGCAGCAGAGGGGCTAGGAGAAGTCGCGATGGATAGAGAGAGCTGAAAGAGCTTGGCAATGGAGCGAGGATAAATGTTGCCCAGCCCCATGATGGCACCAAGCCCTCTGCCGCCGAGAACAGCAGGCGCAAGAAAGTCTGCAAACCCGCCAAGGGTGAGGAACCCAGGGTTCACTTGCTCATCCTTCCTCGGGTATTGGTCCTTGAAGTCAGAGGTGGTAGTGGCAGCAGTGATCCTCGTCAACTTGCCGACTGCCCCACAAGTCAACTTGATCCCACAAACGTTCGGGCTCGCTTTCGCAATCTCCTCGACCAAGTCTGAAGACAGGTCGATCCCGCCCGCGGCAGAGGGGTAGTTGTAAAGCAGAACAGGAATGGGTGAGGCGGAAGAGACTTCGGCAAAGAATGTCTTGAGCGCGAGGGGAGAGAGGGCGCCGGAAAAGTAACCTGGGGGAATCACTATGACAATGTCGGCGCCCGCGGAAGCGGCTTGCTTGGAGAGAGCAATGGTGGCACGAGTCGAGTTGGCGCCGCTACGACTGATGTCAGTTTCGTGCACTAACATGAGATTGTGTACTCACGTCCCGGCGATAACGACAGTGTCTACCAGTCCCGCCTCGTCCAAGGCTTCCCTAGCAGCCTTGAACAAGGTCACGCGCTCGTCATCTGTGATATGGAACGCTTCGCCCATGGACCCGCAGACGACAGGCTGCATACCGACTTTTGCCAGGTCTACAACATGCTTCTGGAATGTGGAGATGTCTGGTGTTGTCAATCAGCAACGACCCACAGGCAGAGGAGGAGAGCATACCGAGGTCTTCGTTTGCGTCAAAGAAGGAGGGGATGGGTGCCCATACGCCAGGCTGAAAGACGCGCTTGTGGTGAGCAGTTCCGTTTGTTGCTGGGACAGGCATGGTGGAGAAGAGATGGGTGGGAAGAGGAACGCAGTTGTGCGAGGGAAGGCGTCTTATATGCGAGCGGAACGATGCCGGCCGGCCCGCCAATCCCGCGGCCCGGCGCTTCCGTCCGCCACTTGCACTTGTCGCCATGTTATGCATACACCTACATATCTATCCTCGCAGACGATGCACCCGTGTCCGACCCCGCGCCGGCTGTGGCATCGCGAGCCAGGATCTTCACCTGCGCAGCCTGCTTCGGCGGTGGCCTATTCCCCCTTCTGCTGCCATTTCCACTTCCACCAGGGGCCATACTATTCGGCTCCATACCCTGACCTGAAGGACCAGGGGCTGGCCGAGCGCCACCGTTAAACATGGACGGAGAATTCGCATGCAATCCATTGTGCGGTGGAGCGCCACGGGAAGGGAGAGGTCGGACAGGCTGATTCAGAGGCATACCCTGGTTCATAGCTGGAATGTGTGGTCGTGCAGGCTGGCCCATAGGTCTCACATGCCCGCCTCGCATAGGAGGTGGACGGATGGGGCTTTGGGGTGGCGGCCGGGCGGTGAATGCGGGTTCCTGCGGTGCAAAAGGAGGACGAGGAGGTTGGGCTACACGAGGAGCCGGGGCACGTTGGTTGGAAGGGGGCGGAACAGTCTGGGCCGGAGCAGCCGAGACAGCTGCGGGTGGAGGAGCAGGCGCTGGAGTCGGAGCTTTCGAGGTGGACTGAGGGAGGGGAGGGAAGGATTTGGGTTGTAAATTTGGCGTCTGACGGCCAGTAGGTGTGGCGGCACCATCACCCTTCTCCTTCTTGTCTTTCTTGCTCCGGTTCCTATTCCTACCCTTCTTCTCCTTTACCTCTGTTTCTTTTGCCCCCCCGCCCCCCTTGTCGCCCTTCTCCTTCTCCTTCGCCTTGCCCTTCCCACCTTTTCTTGCACCTCCGCCTGCGGCAGAAGATCCCGGAGCAGGAGAGGCGCTTGTAGACGGCGCAATTGACACCTCTCGTCCCTTTCCTGCCACCATGACCTGCGACGATGTCCCTTGGGCCAAAAGTTGACGTCTCTGGGAAGCATCTTTGATAGATGCCAGAGCCGCCGCCTTGCCTTTCAGAGGCCCAGGAACAGTAGGCACTGGGGTAGCAGATTGTGAGGGGGCTTGTGATGGAGCCGGGGTCGCTTTGCCCTTGCCCTTTGATTTGGCTGACTTTTGGGAGCGGAGATGGTCGAGAAGAGGGGTGGTACTGGGTGGCGGGGCAGCAGGAACTGTGATAATGTTATAATGTATCTTAGACATCTTATATCTACTGACCAAAAGTATGTTGAGCCGACTCGGGAGCAGGCGTATCAAGAGACTTGAGGAAAGAAAGGAAGTCGGGATCTGCGACAGAGTTTAGCAATGGTCGCAGAGTTCATAGACGAGCCGATCACCTTCATCGATCGTTCCCTGCCTATTGTCAGGCTTCACTCTCGCCTTGTGCACTGTCTTTTGATAAGGTGCGTACTCTACGACAGCCTGGAACTCCGCGCCTGTTCCACATCAGCACGCCTGCCAAGCGGCGACACATATCCAGCTCACCGGTCTTGGACCTGAACACATGTCCGTCAAAGCCTCGATGGAAGTTTACAAGCGCCTCCGGGTCGGACATGAGCACATAGGCCCGCGAGTGGACGGGGTGGGAGTCGAGATTGCCATTGGGCGCTTTGCCGGCAACGTAAGACTTCCAGAGACAGGATTTGTCCGTGATCCAGGTGGAGACTGCGTTCCAAAAGATGTCTTCAGGGAGGGTCGGGGGGAGGCGGCGGATGACGAGTTTGTTGCGGGGGGCAGGGGAGGGGGGCGCCATGGCTCGAGGGGATAAGGGTGCCAGATAGGGATCCAGGTAGAGAGAAAAGGACAGGAATGATGATGCAACAACAAACCGCGCGGATCGTTATTAATCCTTGCAAAGATATTTAACACATCAACCAACCTCGCATCCTCGTATTACTTTTAGCACTAGCATAACGAGTAATGCATACACTCAGATGCTGACCCCTACAAGTCGGGACGGAGACTACGTGCTATAACTCCAATTTCGATCTTTGCGTCTGCCACCATTTCCCCAAAGCGTTCGCCGCATCTACCACTGGCCCTTCGCCGTTGAAGACCCTCGCATTCTCCACCATCAACTCTACGTCTTCATCCACTTGCTTTACCGTCTGATACTGACCCTTGTCCAGTTTGGATTTGATAAGACCCAGATCTCGAGCGTCTTCGCGAGGGATGCTGCGGGGCATGTCAGCGTTGATTGAGACCAGATGAAGGCTGCTTACATGTCAAAGTAGTGCGGAATACCGAGAGCGACAGGGTCAACTTTGAGGATTGTTAGCGCTTCCGAAAGCCTCCAGGCCACAAGACGTACCTGCAAATCGGAACCATTCGCTCAAAGGGTTCTTCAGAGCTTGGTTTATCAACGAGGTGATCGATTTCTTCTCGTCCCCGTTCATCTTGGGCGATACTGCCTTAGGCCACTCTTTCCAGTAGACTGCCTCTACTGCGTCGGCTAGCGCAGTAATCTCTCCGGGAGGATTAAATTGACGACAGCTAAATTGAATGTTAGTTGTGGTGTCGAGGTGCTTGTTTGACCACCCACTTGGCAAAGACGAGCTCAATCTCGCGCGCGAACGAGCCCATCGTTTTGTACTTTTTCTGCTCTATCTTTTTGCCTATCGTTCCAAAGTCCATGGGTTCCTTGATCTCATCAAGATATCTGCGGCCAGGTCAGTGTCTGGTGACATTGCATAGTCACAAATTCTCACGTAGGACAACCATCCATGATAGGGTCAACAGGTCGAAGAAACTGTTCAACAGAGTCAGCTCTTTGCGAGTATATGCGCACCCAAACGTACCAGAATGGCAGACGGGTCCTTTTGCAGCATGTTCCACAAACTCTTGGCTCTCTTCGCCTTGAAGGGCATGGTATTGGACTTTGTGGGCGGCAGCGTGGCAGGCGGCTGAGGCGGAGGCGGTCTCACAACAAGACCCACTGGCACTGGCTCCATAGGCGCCGACATGGACGGTATAGGCATAGGTACGTCAGGCGGCGGCGGCGGAGGCGCTCGGAATCCGGGCGCGGGGGACGATGAGGCCTCTGCAGAGGCGCCAAGCTTGATCTTTGGCTTCTTTGGCTTCCCCTCGCTCGAAGGCTTGGGGTCCGCAGACGAGCTGTCAAGTCTCTTTGGCACAGACCCGGGCAATTTGATCTTTTTGCTTGGGGGCTTGGGCTCATCGAGCAGCTGTGCGACGGGATCATCAGGGGACACTCGGCTAGAGGTGATCGCATCCACTTCTGCGCCCAACAGCTCATCCAGATCGCTCCTTGCAGCCTTGACAGGTTCCTTTCGCTTCTTCTTCTCCTTCTTCTCGTCCGCCGTTGACGGGCCTGCCTGAACAGGCGTAATGGGAGCAGATATAGAGACGCGTTTGGTAGGCGGCAGGGGAGGTGGAGGCATGACGGGGTCAGAGTCGATGTGAACGCTCTTGGCCGATTTGACTTTGAGTTTGAAGGGTGCCGCGGGAACAGCCTCGGCCATAGTGGGCGGAGGGGCCATCGGTGCAGGAGCGACAGGAGCTCGCTGAGCGGATAAAGTATTCTCCGTCTTGGCCCACACTGTGACGACCGTCAGCCGGGACAGGGAATACAGTCGATCACACTTACGACTGTTGAAGAAACGTTCGAATTGTTCCCCAGCTTTCCGGACGACACTTTGGGGGGACACGTTATATGCCATACAGTTGTCAATCATCAGACGAACATCCTCAACAAACTCTTGTCTGTTAGAATACATGCCGTTGTCTAGTTTGGCACGAATAGTCGATAAGTCCATAGGATGCTTGATAACCGTCGCGTAGCTTGGCATTCGTCAGACAAAACCGCATGTGTAAAGGCGAGCACTCACTCGGGGGCCATGTCTCGAACAGGATCGACAGGTTGTCGAAAGAAAAAACTCCTTTTGTCAGAGACCAATTTCGTGAGAGCGATGGTGATTGCTTTCAGGTCGTTATCAGACAGCCCCTTGCTTTGCGACTTTGGTCCATTCCTCTTCTTCTTTCCACTTTTCGGCGCAGCTGTAGCAGCAGCCGTGGGGTTGAGCAAAACCTTGCTGCTTTTTGGTGTGATGACGGGATTGTCGACGGTGGGGAAACCATAACCATGTGAATCAGGCACGATCTCGGCGCTGGGCATGCTGATTCTGATTTTGGGAGGCAGCGGTGCAACAGGTGTACTGGTCGTCGGTGTTGAGATGCTAATCAAACTTCCCGGCAAAGGCTCGGCAGTTGAAGATGCAATGATCTCTGCAACTTTTAGCAGAGCGAACCGCACTTCCGGGTCAGGGGACGTGAATCCGTTACTGTAGGATGGATCAGCACTCGCCTCACAACAATAACAGCTGCTCACATCAACTGCGCCTGTATAAGCTGCTTCACTTCTGGCTTGCTCCCATAATCCTTCCTGAGCGCCTTGACAATGGCGTTGTTCTGTCCCTCTGCCCTCTGTTCACGCATCTGTTCCGTCTCGTCCGTGACGTCTACAATCCCGGGTAACGATAGTGTCCCTGTAATCTCACCCATAGCTAGGGAGGCAAGCACCGCTTCAGACAATGAACGCGCAACATGCCGTCTGATGTTGAGAGACGAGTCGAGGGAAATGACGTCGAGAAGGTACCTGTCAACGTTGACACTTCGCCCTGGAGGTTTGCACAGAAGGAGGCCATCAAACGCCACCATCCTGATCGGTTCGAAATTGCCTTCTCTACTCTACGTCAGTTCTGTCCCCTTCTGTACACGCTACCACGTACCGAGTATAACTCAACAATTCTCTGGCATCATTTGTCCTCTGACCCGCCAAAATCGACTTGATCTGGCTCTGCAACACCGCCTTTGTGACCACATTATGGTAACTAGGCACCAGCCTGTCCACCGTGATCGCTCTATCAAGCACGTCGTCCGCTTCTTTCAACAGAATCTGCTCTGCTTCGAGATCCAGTTCGGACAAGAGGCCTATACCGACAGAGCTGGTTGTAAAGGAATTAGATATAGCTGTGATTATAGAAGCCAAATAGTAGGAATCTGAATACTGTTTTACATTAGCGCTGACACACAGACAGAAGATATGAGGACATACTTGATTGGATGTATTGTCATTGGATCGCAAAAGACCGAGCAAGGTGGTGCGAACATGTCTCCAGACCGTCCGTGAAGCCGGATCTCTCAAATCAGACATTGCCGCTATCAAACTCTGCAAAAAATTGTCAGATGTGTCTACACAACACGGAACAGACGCTCACCTTCTTTACAAAGTAGTCTGCAATGTTTAAAAAGTTGTTTGGCAGAGGCCGGCATTGAAAGTCGGGAGCTTCCGTTTCCGTGCCCGTGGTTGGGTGGCAGTAGAAGGATTGGAAGATCTTCATTATGTAAAAGTAACCGACATAGTCGCACTCGGATGTATTGTACTGTATGCTCATAAGCGGGTCATCCTGCCGAAAGGAGATAGTGACGTACCATTGCTAAAGCTCTTGCGGCCTCCATCCTCACTCGGTAAAAGTAGTTCTTGACCAAGACCGTTTTGGCCAGCTCACTCGCGATTACCGGTGAGGGATACATTCGCATGTTGTTGATCGCCTCCAGCTGCGCAATCACGTCCTTATCCCCTTGCAGCTGACTGATCCAGCACCAAGGCTTCTCTGCAAACTCGAACACCGCCAACCATTCGCAATCCGGATCCACTCTGATCCATTCGTACCCTCCTCCTTCACCCAGCATCGCATTGGCCTCGCCCTCGCCCCATTCTGCGACTTTCCACCGCCGCCGTTCTTCTTCGTCATCCCAAGGCGGGTAGGCGAAAACACCACCGCGGTCGACAGCTTGAAGGCCTGCTTCTTCCTCATTGTCGTTGCCGGCCGAGTCGTCGGCAGCAGCGTCCTGAGTGCGATTGAATCGGGCAGCAATATGACCAGAGCGACGGGTACGCTTGTATTTCGTGTTGAACGGTAGAGGGTACGTCTTGTTTGGTGTCTTGATATCGATCAGATGTTCGAATGGGGCACCATCGGCTTCGTGAATACGAATCGTTAATGGGCCTTCAAAGAACTTTGTCGGTCGGCGCCATATTGCCACCTTTTTCTGCTTTTCACTCAAGCCGTGGATGGCTTCCCAAGCGGGAGCCGTTTCAGAAACCATAAACTCGACTGTAAACTTTTTCTTGATAAAGTTTGTCCTGATGGACAGTCGAGGACAACCAGACCCATAGATCCACTGCTCCTGGAAAGCTTGCAGGTCATGCCCGGAAATTTTGCGGCATAGCCGCAAGAAGAAGGCAGTCGATAGCTTGTTTTCAGGTAGAGTATCACCCAATGCTGTGACAAATGTCCTGGTCAAGACCGGTGGGAGTCCTCCCGCTGTCCCCACAGCAAGCATGTGTCGATGCAATATGTGTAGGACTAGTGGTGCTTTCAGGTCGATAAAGGCTGTCGTCGACGAGTCAGGCGGATCCACCTGTCCCGGAACACACAGTGGCCATTGTTGACCTTGATCCTGATACACGCATCGCTCAATGTCCTTTTTCAACCGGAACCGGTACTCGTTATTTCCGAGAAGCGTTTGGATAAACTCGGCGAGCATCCAATGGGCAATGCCGTTCACTACCCAGGTATCCGAGTAGGCACGCTGAATGATAAAGATGCCGACCCATTGCTGAATGATGGGTAGGGCAAGGGTCTGTCGGACTTTGATGGATTGTTCGATCACCGTAGAGGGGTGCAGAAGGTCGGAAGAGGCAATAGCGAGTGTAGCTGCTGTCAAGCATTCGACCCGGGGGCCGTTGACAAAGACGATTTTAAAGTCGCTGAAGGGATACGACGTGCCCCGCTTGACGCCATATTCCATTACAGCAGGGAGGAATGCAGTTGTATTTCTCAGCAGGTCAAGCTCGCCTGGAAGGCAGAAACCTATGAGTGGTTTCTGGGCCGTGTCGTCGATGCAGTGCATCTCGAAGGGCCCGGCGGCGAAAGAAATGTGCTGCACCGAGGTAGGGGTGGATTGAAAGTAGTAGAATATGACCTTGTTGGGATCATGCGGGTGGGTGATCTAGTCGCGTGAGTTCTGACCATGTTTGTCCACCGGCTTACCTGTTCCATGAGTTCACCACTGCTGACCACCATAACAGGGAACCCCTCTTCTCCATCTGCGGGCTCTCCTCCTTCAAGGTATCTTGGGACGATAAACTCTAGCTCCCACATACACCGTTCGAAAAGACTGTCGACACAAGGCGTCCAGACTCGTGCCGAGTTGTAGGTTGTGGGCGAGAGGAACATGTGTGGTATTTGCTGGCGACAGTCAGCATACCTCTTCATCGAGACTCTTTCACCTACCGAGTCATTCCCTCCATCTCCTGGCCTTTTGAAGACAATTCCTTCGATCACATCCCCCCCAACGACCAGCTGGTAGTCAATCTGCACTTGAATCGGCGCGAATGCAACATGCGGATCCTGGCCCTCTCTGCTCGGACTCTCTACTAGTCTCACCCATCCGCCAGATACCGATACGGCCAGCTCTCCCTCATCGCTTTCTCCGAGCGCTGTCCAGGTCTTGCGCTTTATTTCTGGATGCGACTTGATATCTATGGGTGGTTCTCTGACGGGCAGGGGCTGGAAGGGGTTGGAGAGGGCGAAGGAGGCAGGGGTGGGGAGGAGGGGCTCGTTGGTGGTGGGGGAGGAGAGGGTGACATTGTTGATCTGGAGGCGGGAGTTTGCGTGGAGGTAGATGGCCTGGAGGGAGGGGTTGGTGGGGAGGATGGTGAGGTGGGCGGTGGCGGTGAGGGTGCCTGCAAAGTCGATCTCGATGACGTTGCGCTGGTGCTGGAGGGTGAACCACGCGGGCTGCTCCTCCCCCATCGTGTATCGTATAGATAGTAGTATATCAGTACTGCAAGCTTAAGTTAAGAGAGCACTTGTGCTGTTCGCTGTTACATAAGCAGCGTCGGTTGACCGTTGGTACTATTCCCGGCCGAACGAAAAGCCCTCTCTTCTTTCCTCACCAGCACGATGCCAGAAGAAGCCCCACGGCCGCCCCCCACCTTCCAGCGTGCCCTCCTCGTACATATCCCCTCTTGCCCCTCGCTCCCCAGCTGACACCCTCTCCAGTCCGGCGCCATCTCAGGCCTGTCGGTCGACTTCATGTTCTTCCCCCTCGACACCGTCAAGACACGTATACAATCCTCCGCTGGCTTCTGGAACTCGGGGGGATTCAAGGGGGTCTATAGAGGTATAGGTAGTGTAGGATTGGGAAGCGCGCCAGGAGGTGAGTCAACTTGGCCATCTCTGGGTTCAAGGTTGTACTGACGATCGACCTCAGCGTCTGCATTCTTTGTCACCTACGAGGCCTTGAAGAAGCAGCTGCCAAAGATAGAGCTCTTTGCCCACAACTCGTCTCTGACACACATGGCCGCAGCTTCCGGGGCAGAATACGTACGCGACAGTTCATTTTCCTCGCTCGAGTATCGCTGACGCATACACCAGGTGTCATGCCTGATAAGAGTCCCTACAGAAGTCGTCAAGTCACGGACGCAGACGAGTGCGTACGGCGTAGGAAAGAGCAGTATACACTCTGCCATGAGTATCATGAAGCTGGAAGGTATCCGAGGTTTCTATAGAGGATTCGGTATCACCCTCACCCGAGAGGTACGTCCTAGTAACCTTCCATCCCAAGCTCGGCTAAGCACAAGACAGATACCTTTCACCTCTATACAATTTCCTCTCTACGAATTCTTCAAATCCAGACTTTCTCGACACTATCTTGGCGGAAGACGGCCGACGTCGTATGAAGCCGCTGCATGTGGCTCGCTGGCTGGTGGTATCGCGGCAGCGTCTACAACGCCTTTGGATGTGGTCAAGACAAGAGTCATGCTTGAAGCTAGGGTGCGTAGCTTACAGACGATGGCGTAAATGCTGATATTGTTGAATAGACGGCAGCAGCAGCGTCCACTCCCGCCGCACCTCTCGCGCCGGGCACCACCCTCCCCCAGTACCCCTCCCCGTCCGTCCTTTCCTTCCCCCCACGCCTGCTCGGAATACTCCGGAACGAAGGACCCGCTGCGCTCTTCTCTGGATGGGTACCGCGTACGATGGCGATATCTATGGGCGGAGCTGTGTTTTTGGGCATCTATGATCTGGCTAGTAGTCTGGGGGCGGAGACAGTCAACCAGCCAAAGCTTGTGTGAGGGGTGTACAGGTATAAGCCTGAATGTTGCATTGCATAGTGGGCATGAAATAAAACATGAAAGCATAAGAGTATCAATTGGCAAAAGCTTGTAGACCCGTGATGGCTTTGCCCAAGATGAGTGCTGCAAGATGTCAGTGAGGCCTTTGGCACGTTGGGTCGGCATACCATGGATATCCTGACAATATGGTCAGTACGGCTCTCAAGTACACGAGGAACAAACTCACATGCGTTCCCTCATAAGTGTTAGCCACCTGCAAATTGGCTGCATGCCTCCCCACATGGTATTCGTCACTGCAGGCATTGCCCCCAAGCACATCCAACAGCACCCTCGAATGATGCAGCGCTTCTCCGCAATTGTTTCTCTTCATCATTGAAACCATATCGGGGGACCAGGTGCCCTTGTCCTTGAGCCGTCCAAGCTGGAGGGCACCGAGGAGGCCGAGGGTCGTGGCTGTTGAGGCGTCGGCGAGCTTCTTTTGGATGAGCTGGAAAGAGGCCAGGGGGCGTTTGAATTGGTTTCTTTCACGTATATCAGTCAAGTCCAAGTGGAAAAGGGAAAAACGTACCGCTCGAGCGCATAATCCCTCGTCCTCGCCACGACATCCTCCAAAGCTCCCATTACACCCCAGCTGATACCATACCGGGCATTGTTCAAACACGAGAAGGGTGATCCCAATCCACCGCTCTTTGGCAATAGCGCATCGTCTCCCACCTTGACCCCGTCCATGAATATTGAGCCTGTTATGCTCGCTCGGAGGGCAATCTTGTTGGCAATCTTGGGCGCCTCGAGACCCTTGGAGCCCTTTTCGAGTACAAAGCCGCGGACTTTGCCCTTCTCGCCACCTTCCACTACACGAGCCCACACGACAAACACATCGGCGACTGGAGCATTGGAGATCCAGGTCTTGGACCCGTTGAGGACCCAGCCATCGGCCGTCTTGGTGGCGGTCGTCTCCATCGACGAAGGGTCGGAGCCATGGTTGGGCTCGGTCAGGCCGAAAGCACCAATGTACTCTCCGGTGGCGAGCTTTGGAAGATACTTTTCCTTTTGTTCTTCCGTGCCGAATTCGTTGATAGGGTGCATCACCACTGCGACAGGTCGTCAGTATCCATCTGGAGAGTTATATATTCATTTTTACGAGAAGACTGGACGCTCATCGCCGATCGATATCCCGAATCCACCCTGCGCATATCAGCTCAGACTGAAGGGCATGGGCATTGGTATGAATCTCACCTTTCGACCTCGCGAGCAATGAGGCCGTAAGAGACACTAGAAACACCTGCGCAGCCGTAGCCTTGAATGGTGGCACCCAAGAGACCCAATTCGCCCATCTCGCGCATAATGTTAGGATCAAACTCTTCCTGTAGATGTTACTTGATCAGTAGAGAGTAGCTGAGAACAAGCACAAAAACTTGCAGTACGGTACGCTTCAACGACTCGAGGAAGGAGGTTCTCCTGCGCATACGCCTTTGCTGTATCACTACGGAATGAGCTCTTGCATCTGGCAGACGCTGGCCCGACTCACTGAATAGCAATCTCCTCTTCGGTCAGAAGGGACTTGAGGTCAAGTGGGTCCTCCCAGTCATACTTTACGAATTCTGTACGTGGGTCAGCGCCCATGGCCACGTCTGCCTAGTGACTCACTGGACGCCATGCCCCTCGTCGCAGACAAGGCGATGGGTCTAACAGTGCGAAGAGCTGGACGGAGGGTGGTGAGGGCTGACATGCTGTATGAGGGGGGTTATAGACGGGAAGAAACGAGAACTGAATACGATCCATCTCCCTTTTGAATTGTCGAAACCCTCGGCCCGTCATCGGCTGGCAGTTACCCGATCGGTCATGTCCGCTTCGCCTATCGGGGTGTTGGGTTCTGGTAGGGTCAGTGTCCACTGCAGGAGTCGAGGCGTGGTCTATGCACAGTAGAGTATTGTAGACGAGCGCAACCATACATCACCACTGGGGAATGTAGGAACGCGCGTAGAATGCAGCTTGTTGATGTCGGCGTCATAACACAAGGTCGCCTCAGAGGCTCGAGAGCGAAAGGAGTCGTTACAAGACCATACATTTCTTCTTTCTCTAGTGACATTCTTGGCAGTAAACCGACATCTGGACATTCGTGTATGTGTGGTATTTGGCAAGCAAGAGTAGCAAGACCATTTTCTCCTCGCCATTCATTCTTTACTTGACATCCAAAGCAGAAGTGCACTGAGATGGCGCATAAGCTTCTGCCTTTCGCGGCACTAACAGAAAATCTTACCATACGCCATCCTCCATCGATGACGACTGCACGCAAATGATCGTCAGCCAGTGATCTAAAAGCATTGTCGGAAGAATGGGTCTCACGCTCGGCTTGGTTAAAGTATTGTCCAGCAGGCGAGGCAAGCATCAAAACAGCACCCGCAATCTCTTCCCACTTGCCCTCCCGTCCAGCGGGGATACCACCATTGTTCATGGCGTTGATTTGAGGAGGCCAGAAGGGAGCGTCAGGGTCGGTGGAGCCGGTGGTGAGCTGCGAGCGGTAAAGTCCGGGACAGACGGCGTTCACTCGGACTTTGTAGGGCAGGAGACCGGCCGCCATCAATCGGGTCAAGTGGGTCTCGGCAGCCTTGGATTGGGCATAAGAGAATTCACAAACGGCTCTGCAGACTTTTTGAGTTTTGCATGCAAAGCAAGAGTGTGGAGGAACATACCGGTTGAGGAAGTGAGCTGCGAGGGAGGTGATGTTGGTGATGGCAGGGTTCTCTGACTTTTGGAACAAGGGGAGGAACTTGACGGCCATAAAGTAAGGTCCGGCAGTGTGGATGGCGGTCATGTTGGCAAAGTCGCAGCTGTCTCATGTCAGTAGTGCATGAAACGCCCAGATACATCGTACTCCTCGATAGACCAGAGTTGTTCGGCGAGCTCCTTGGGGTCGTTCTATATGCCAAGGTCAGCATGTTACAATAATGGAAAAGGGGGAGACGTACAAGATCAGAAGCCATCTTGCGCCAGTTGGCAGAGAACCCAGCATTGTTGACCAGGTAATCGAGCTACATTCCATTGAGCGTCCGGACTCGGTGAGCAGTACACGAAACCCCACCTTGTCAGTCTTGGCAGAAATCTTGTCGTAGACTTCAGTGACACCTTGCTTGGTAGCAACATCGCCTTCGATGGGGATACACTCGCCATCAGTCTGGGCCTCGGCAGCGGCGTCGCTGAGCTCCTTTGCGGTAGCCTTGACAACCTCAAATCGGCGGCCGACGATGAAGACCTTGGCTCCGTTAAGGGTCAAGGCGGCGGCAATACCCTTGCCAATACCTAGAAAATGGTCAGGAGAGTCATAGAAGAGAAGATGGGCTCCTACCAGTGCCGCCTCCAGTGACAATGGCGACCTGCAGACCCAGATCAGATGGGGATGAAGACGCAGACGATAGGTGACTCACCTTGCCCTTGATGGAGAAAAGCTCGTTGCTGAGGAAAGACTTGTAGCTGGCCATTATGTTTTGACGATGTGGATGGAGAATGTGAGGATGGGAGAGAGAAAGATGGGAATGCCTTGGGTTATATATGGGCGAGGGCGCACGGACGGTGGGGTGAAGTAACGCAGGAAGGCAAGGTACGTGCCAGTGCCGGGTGTGCCTTGCCTCGCGCCTAACGAGGGAGTGGTGGCTGAAGGGCGTCGCAGCGGAAGGGAGGAGGGACGCGGTCTGGGAACTGGGGTGCCCTCCAAGCACAGAGTCGAACCTTCTCTCGGATCGCCCGGAGTCACATATGAAACGGCGCAGCAGTTGCCGTGGTGCTTGTGCTTTGCCTCTACATAGCTCCCTCCAAGCGAGACACTGGTCAGAGGTGTCCGTGAGACTCTGCATTTCAGACGCCGCAAGGCGCAAGCTGTACACTTGTCAACTCGGAACTTGGCAGACATCCGATCAGCCTGCTGGAACCACCGGCCAGCCGAGACCCGAGAGCGGCGAGGGCCACATTTCCTCCACCCCCCGATCACTCGTCCTGCTGCTGCAGGTGCGTCCACAAGACATCAGCAGGCATTCGCATCATCACTTGGTGAGCATGAGAGAGGGGGGCTTATGGTTTCTACGAGGAAAGCGACGACATGATGTATCCTATTACGAAAACGCACTGCCGTGCTTAACATCTCCTCCTGGCTGCTTTCATACACAATTGCAACACACCTATCAGGTGCGCCTACATCTACTTATAATCTACTCCCAGCTCGCCTTGGCAATTTGCAGTACCCTATCGTAGGCAGGCCCTCCAGCTCGGCACCGCAGTCCTCGTCAAAGCAGGCAGCAGCCACGAAGATGACGAGAGCCGTTCATACCGGCGGCGAAAACCATGAACCCATTCGATTTGCTCAGTCCCGGGCGCTTGCACATAGCGCATGATCTGAAACCGGTATATATATACATGTAGAGTGTTCACTTGCCAATACACATTGACAAGTCACAATTGAGGCTCATCCTCATACGCGACGCCAGACGAGATATCCTGCGGTTCTGGATCTGGCCCGTTCTTTGACGCTTGACCTGCGTCATCTTGCTTTGGGGGGACCCACCTGCATTTCGCATCAGCTTATGGAGTGACAGATGCTCGCCGGGAACCTTACGTCTCTTGGTAACGCCACCATTCCCCAAACTTGCCCTGCTGAGCAGCAGCCACAGCTGTGAAGAACGGGACTACGAGTATGGCAACAAGCGCAGGGAACGGAGAGACATATTCGATGTTCTTGCCCAAGGCTAGGTCCATGGCGGCAAGGCAGAGCAAGAGGGATAAAAGAGAAGTGATGGTGATTGGGCAAGGGAAGGACGGGTAGTCGACAGGGATGCACACTGGTGCAACGCTAGTCACACCTGAAAACGAATCCTCTTTGTCTTGATCGTCTTCTGCCAATGTGAGTTGGTTGGCGAGTTGAGAGTACTCAAATCGGTAAGTCATGGTGATCTTGACTGCAGTCAGCAGTGTGGTACGGTGAGGGTGAAAGCTTACTATGAGACCTGGGTAAGTCAAGGAAATTAGGCACTGGAAGAAAGCAGTGAGATTCGTTACCCAATCACTAAGATCGGAATCCTCCAAGGGCGGCTTTTTGTTCGGCTCATCGTTCCATGTGCCGAGACCCCAGAGAACAGCAAAAACGCCGCCTACCACAATGCAAGATACCGACTGTGCGTGAATATATCAGCCCAGTGCAGTTCAGTCACTGGAAGTCCACGCACCAGCACACCAAGCATAATAAGGATGATAGATCCCATCTTTAAGCGATTTATCCGAATGTTGGAAAAGTAGGTCCAGATCAAGACAGCTCCTACCAATGGTAGATGGGCCGTATGACCATAAGCTACAAGAGCAACTATGCCGATAGAGCCAGCGATGGGAAGGCCATGGTGAAGCACGTTCGGCCAGAGCCCATCATTGGTGTTTTCTACTGGTGAGATGACGAGGCGGACTGGAGCATCAGGTGTTTTGCTCTCGTAGTGTACCTGCGATGGCAAAGGTTTCACCAGGCTGAGTATCTGGTGCTTCCATCAGCCTCCTCACTAACGATCAGCTATCTTTGACTCACACCTTTGACCGCGCGTGTGTAGATGAAAATCCAAACTGAGGCGAAGAAGCCGTCTCTGATCATTCGGGAGCTGATCTTGGGAACGAGAACAACGATTACAAACTCGATAGCAAGGAAGATGGCCAGAGCGAAGATGAAGGTAAGAACTTTCCTGGCCTTTGTGCGGAGAGAATGAGCGCGCCATTGACGAAAAACTGAGGGAGAGGGGGAGGTGGGAGGAGAGTGAGTCAGTGTGTCTCCTGTTGTGGCATCTCGAGGCAATGCTGAGACAGCGCGCCAGATCTGTAGACAAGGTTAGAAGGGCCGAGGGACGGTGTCGAAAGACTGACCCTGAGAGAGTCACAGCTAGCGGCGCCCACGGCGGCAACGGCGGGGGTATGGATCAGTATAGGGTTAGCGAGGACCCAGGGGAGTTCTGTGCTGGGCATGGGGAGATATGTGCAGAGATACGTGGTCAAGTGAGGCTGAAGTCATCATCATATGTCTCGCGAGGAACAAGAAGTGAGGGGCGGCGTGACGTGGGATAAAAGTCGCCCTTATCACTCCTGCTGCTTCACCCTGGCTTCACCCTGGCTTCATGCTTGCGCCTATATCCTCTTGCAATCGTTCTTTGTCTACGCCCCCGCCCTCGCCATGTCTGTAGCTGCCCAAGAACAGTCCGGTCCCTCGACCCAGCACACCCTTCCCAACCTCGCAGATCTCGTCAAGGCAGGTACAAAGAGGACAAGAGTCGTCTATGCCGGCGAAGGGGCCAGTATCGATGACGGTCTTGCCAGAGCGTAAGGCCCAACATCCCAGCTCGATATAAACGACAGCTCACATCTCACAGAAACAAGATAAAATTCGCGACAAAGCTGGGCATCGAGTACAAGGATGTCCAGACATTACCGCCTATATTGCAATCTCAGACAGCTGGCCCAGCCGGACCCAAACGACCTAGCCAGGCTGCCATCGCTGCCCCTGGAGCTGCGGCTGCCGGCGTCAAGCTCATTGGAGGACCAGAGGCGCGGTCGACGTGAGTCACAGATTCGCTTCAGAACGATCGACTAACCCGTCTGGTAGTTCGTCCAGTGGTCCTCAAGCGCCCGAACCCCAAGCCCTCGTCAAGTTCAGACATCAACAGGGATACGCAGCGCAGGGAGGTCAAGCAGGCTCGCGTTTGTCGCAGGCGTTGATGCGGAAGAAGGAGGCGAGGGAGATCAAGCCGGAATATCACCCGCAATGTACGTATCTTGTTCTTGATAAACGGTGAAAGCTGACAATCTGCAGGGAAACTTTCAAGAGTCATTTCTGGACATATGGGATGGGTGCGAGCTGTTGCAGTGGATCCTGGAAATCAGTGGTTTGCGACTGGTGCTGGAGACCGAGTGGTCAAGGTGCGTCATCCCGCTTCCTCTTTGGCCCCCTGCTGACCGTGCTAGATCTGGGATCTTGCTTCCGGAGAGCTCAAGCTCTCATTAACAGGTCACATCTCTACTATCCGTGGTCTCGCTGTATCAGACCGTCATCCATACTTGTTCTCCTGCGCTGAAGACAAGATGGTCAAATGCTGGGATTTGGAGACAAACAAGGTCATTCGACACTACCATGGTCACTACTCTGGTGTCTACTCGCTATCGGTACATCCCACACTGGATGTATTGGTCACGGCTGGTCGAGATGCGGCTGTTCGAGTGAGTGCAAACCGCGGCACGTTTGCATGGCGCTGACTCTGTATAGGTGTGGGACATGAGGACAAGAGCCAACGTGTACACTCTTACCGGACACACCAGCACCGTTGCAGATGTCAAGACTCAGGACTCTGATCCCCAAATCATCTCTGGCAGTATGGACAGCACCGTTCGGTACGTCCACCCTCTCTTTTCATCGCCTTTCTAACACCGGACACAGGCTGTGGGATTTGGCCGCAGGCAAATGTATGCAAACCCTCACGCACCACAAAAAATCTGTCCGCGCCCTAGCCATCCACCCCACCGAATACTCCTTCGCCTCTGCCTCCGCCGGTGGCAACAACATCAAAAAGTGGAAATGTCCGGAAGGCACTTTCGTCAACAACTTTGTGGGGCATGAGGCGATTATCAATACGATGAGCGTCAATTCAGAGGGGGTGTTGTTCTCGGGTGCGGACAATGGGACGTTGACCATGTGGGATTGGAAGACGGGACTGCCGTTCCAACATTTGAAGGATATCCCTCAGCCGGGGTCGCTTGACGCCGAGGCTGTGAGTACTTTCTCAAGGCTTCCGGGGCTAAAGCTGATGTATTGTGTAGGGTGTGTTCTGTTCGACGTTTGACAAGACGGGGACGAGGCTTATCACTGGTGGGGCTGATAAGACCATCAAGATCTATTCGGAGCAGGCGTAGAGGGCGAGCTTTAGGGCCACCAGATGCATTGTATGAGTATGACATTCAAGTATGACAAGTTGTCTTATTGATCAGAAAGAGTTGCGCGCATGGATTTCGAGAATGGTCCGCTGGAGTTCAATAGACACGCCCAACCCTCGGTTCATTCACATTAATAGATACGCTCGCTCATATCATACTCTGTCTTGTTCCAGAATAGCTCATATCACATGTCCTCTCTAAATGATCCAGCTTCGTGACCCTGGGAACGGCATGATCGGGGGGGGTGGGGGGGGGGAGCACTGTCTAGTGCAAAGGTGAACTTTTGACGGATCTCATCCCTTTGCCCAACTCGACCACTCTCTGTGACCCCCTTGCGCCCATCCTCTGGTCTGCTGCTTTCGCTTCTCTCTTCATGGTGGATAGCTCCTCATCTGCAGCCTCTGAAACAGCCTGATGACTTGCGGTATCGACAAACATTAGCAAACGCAGACGCGCTCGCATAGAGACACGTCCGTCGGATAGCAACGTCATCAAAGAAAATGCATTTGCTAATGAACAGACAGGTCACACTTTTTTGGGGGATGTTGAAATTCCTCCAGCATGAAACAGGCCACATCACAACTGTGTCACAGTACCCAATCAAACGGACAACTCGGCAGACTTGACGTTCTTGAGAGACTCGGCGTAAGGCTTGAGAGCCGGCTCGACCCACTGGGAAACGAATCCGTCAACCTGCTCGGGAGCCCTGCCAACAAAAGTCCTAGGGTCCAAAAGCTCATCAAGCTGCGCCCAGATAGGCTCAAAGTAGCTGTCCTTCTTGACCCTCTCGATCAGATCATTCTCACCGCCCTCCTCCTTCACAACCGCACCAGCCTGGTGCGAGAGCACTCGCACCTTTTCGTGGCATTCTTGACGGTCACCACCGGCCTTGACGATGGCCATGATGATGTTCTCGGTGGCCATGAAGGGGAGCTCCTGGGAGATACGGCGGGCGATGACGCGGGGGTAGACGACGAGACCTTCAGAGATGTTCTGAAGAGTGGTCAGGAGGATGTCGGCGGTGAGGAAGGCCTCAGGGATGGTGACTCGTCGGTTGGCACTGGTAATGTCAGCGCGTCCCGTAAAGGGAACAAGAATGCTTACCTGTCGTCGAGGGTTCGCTCGAGCCATTGGACAGAGGAGGTCATGAGGGTGTTCTGGTAGATGACCATGAGGTGTCGGGCGAGGGAACAAGCACGCTCGCATCGCATGGGGTTTCGCTGGGGTTGTCATTAGTGGTTATCGATTGCTTCGAGAGAAGGCATACCTTGTAGGCCATGGCGGAGCTGCCAATCTGGTCCTTCTCGAAAGGCTCCTCGATCTCCTTCAGGTTGGCGAGCAATCGGACTTTAAAAAGTCAGCTTCGATTCGACATTGTCGTTCAAACTTACTGTCGGTGGCGATCTTGTGGACGGTGGCACCAAAGCTGGAAAGAGGACCGAGAACATCGGCATCGATCTTTCGAGAGTAGGTCTGACCAGTCACGGGGTAGGCGTAAGGGAAGCCAAAGAGCTCAGTCACTCTCTTGTCAAGCTTCTCGACCTTGTCATGGTCGCCATCGAACAAGGCCAAGAAAGAGCCCTGGGTACCGGTGGTACCCTTGACGCCTCGGAAACCAAGGTCGTTCCTGGCACGTTCGAGGTTTCGCAAGTCCCAGAGGAGCTCTTGGATCCAGAGGGTGGCTCGCTTGCCGACAGTGGTGAGCTGGGCGGGCTGGAAGTGGGTGAAACCGAGAGTAGGGAGGTCTCGGTATTGTTGGGCGAACGACGAAAGGCGGGAAATGACGGTAGCAAGCTTGGGAAGAAGAATGTCGAGACCATCACGGAGGAAGATGAGGTCGGCGTTGCTTTAAGCATGTCAGTTGGGAGCGGGTATGATCACTGATCACGCACTCAGTAACGTAGCAAGAAGTGGCACCCAAGCTGTAAGATGTTTAGTATAGAATCTTTCAGCGGTCTGAATGGTCGTACTGGATGATACCGGCAGCCTCAGGAGCGACAGTGCCGAAAGTGTGAACGTGGGCCATGACATCGTCTGCCCAAGGTCAGCGATGTGCGTCGGAACGGTATCTTCACTTACGCCTTCGCTTCTTCTCTTCCTCAGCAGCGACCTTCATCTGAGCCTCGTCGAGATCGAGATGGGCCTTCATCTGTTCGATGGCCTTGTCAGAGATGTTCAGGCCAAGCTCCTGCATATGGCATCAGTGTGTTACCAGGCAATTTGCGGTGCGCTGCGCACCTTCTCGGCGATGGCAAGGTTGAGCCACAGCTTCCTCCAGGTACCGAAACGGGTCTTGACGATGTATTAGCCCGTACACTGTATGAGATCCATTGAGTCGACTCACACCACTGGAGAACAGCTTGGACATCTCCTTGGAGGCATATCGGCTGGAGGACGTTAGCAATGACGGGGAGGTGTAGAGGGGCATACGATGAGAGGGGGGTCTGGTAGCTGTCCATGTTGGGTGTATAGGCTTGTTATTATGGGCGAATCCCCATTTGCTCGCGTCAAGACGGCTTCCCCGACTTTTCCCCAGGAACAGTATTTACCATTTCAATTACTTATCTGCTCAAGTTAACAACCTCCACTTTGGCCATCCGCACGTAGCAACGAACGCCTCGATCAAAATATAGATACAACTACTCCGTCTCCAGGAAGCCACCCCCAGACACAAAACACCTTTCCTGGTTGTCTATAACGCCTAAGGTGTCCTATACTACAGGCTCTCAACTACTTCATCCCACACCGACGAGCCATACTTCACATGGTCCCCAAATCGCTCTCTCGCCTCCCCAGCTTGCGCTCTCGAGGACCCTGCGCCCCACGGGACATACGTCTCTTGTCCACCACTCCGAGCAAAAGCACGATTCAAAAAGTCCCTCTGTGGGTTAGCGGCAAAGAAGTCTTCAAGTCGAGCGCTGGGACCGTCACGCAGAAACACACCAGGACTAGGCAAGACAGCTGTGAAGTCGTCGTTGCTGGCGAGAAGGAGACGTGAGTCATGCAGACGTAAAAGGCATAAAAATTAAACCAAATTTTCAGATCTGAGGCAGCAGAAATTAGTAGAGAAGCCTTCCAGGCATGGCGCGGGGTCTCTGCCTGGGAGAGGCGCGCAATCTTGCGGAAGGTACGTTCCATTTGCGCAATCGGTAACTTGTTAGTCTGTGTGCTGAAGCTACGCCACAGGTACCATCACTGATGCAAGAACGCTTTGAAGAATGGAAGGGATTGCTCCTAGCAGATACTGTGTATGGGGAAGTTATGCTAGGAGTTGACCTAGACAATGCTTTGCATCTCGTGGATGGTGCTGCTGAGACGTGCGTGTGCTGCGTGCCCGGACATTCATCACTGACCAAAGCCATTTCTTAGGGCTGTGTCCAATGAAGTGGGTCTTTCTGGCATGATAGCCCCATTTGCCTCGCTCACTGTATTTTCGCCAGGGGTCGTTGCCTCCGACGGTTGACGGCAGCTTGGGTCTCGTGAGCAGGGTGCCTTACGGGCCCGTGCTGAGTATCCCGGCTTTCAACTTTCCTCTTTGTCTTGCGATGAGGAGCATAGGTAAGCTGCAGAGTGCAGACTACATGGACGTAACTTTACTGAAACTATGTCTCAAGTGTATCCTTTGGCTTCCGGAAACACGGTCATCCTCCGGGGTAGGTTGTCCAGGAGGGCTTATGAATGTCGCTCACGCATGATTGCAGGTTCCTCTGTCATCCCCCAGGCTTCTGCATTCTTGGGGCCCCTGTTTGCCGATGCCGGTATACCTGAAGGTGTATTGCAGATTTTGAACTTTTCAGAGCATGATGCTGGTGCGAGAACGTCGCAGCTCATTGCTGACGACAACGTCCGAGTAAGCCAAGGCGAGTGACAAGTCTGTTCGCTGGCTGATAGAAGTCGAGTTTGTCAACTTTACCGGCTCGACAAAACTAGGCAAAAACCTGGCGAGACAGTGCGGAGAGCATCTCAAGTAAGCAAACTGATACACATGTGTGATGCAGTGCTCATTAGCCCAGACCCTCTGTGCTTGAGCTAGGAGGCAAAGCGCCGGCTCTCATTCTTCCATCGGCCGATCTAGAATTGGCAGCCAACAATGTAAGACATACTTTATCAATCAACGTTTCGCTGACTCGACGACAGGTCCTCTTCGGTGCTTTCTTGAACTCTGGCCAAATCTGCATGTCCACTGAAAGGGTCATCGTCCATCAAGATGTTGCAGCGGAGTTTGAAAGCATCCTCAAAAGGGAAGCGGAGAAGGCGGACTGGAATGGGGGCATGGAGCTAGTCAGGTCGAGTGTCGTCGAGACAGCGCAGGCGATGGCAAAACAGGCCATCGAATCCGTGAGTGCTTTCGACAGACGATATGCCATCCGACTCATTTGTCTATACAGGGCGCTCGTATTGTTTTCTCCGCCCCCGAGAGCTCTACCGATTCCCTCAACGCCGTCCGCCCGACCATCTTCACGGACCTGCCCTCCACAGCCACCATTCTCAACGAAGAGTCCTTCGCTCCCTTTTTCACTCTACAAACTGCGCCGGATATCCCTTCCATGATCCGCCTGGCAAACAGTCACGAAACAGGACTCTCCTCCTCCGTGTTCGGACAAGGACTGGACGCGATCGAAGTAGCGGAAAAGATGGAGATGGGAACTGTGCACATCAATGGAATGAGTCCGCATGACCAGCATGTTCTGCCGCACGGAGGGACGAAGAATAGTGGATGGGGCAGGTTCAATGGCAAGAGCGCTGTGGAGAGTTTTACGCAGATGAAGGTCATTAGGATTGACAGGCAGAAAACAAGATATCCTCTATCTGCTCTGTATGCTGGATTATAGTAGTCAGTAGTAGGTAGAATGAGGATGACGTTGATGGCTATTCAACAAAAGAGCATTATGCTTTCATGCGGCAGAGAGATGATTGATCTCTGGATATAGACTTGTATTTGATCCTTTAAATGACTCAGGCAATTGTTAGATAGAATCGACATGGATAATAATGTGTAGCGAACATCAGGAGTGGTGTGAATTCTGGCTTATGAGCAAGAGGTACTGCTGATATTACCAGTGTCAAGGTAAGAAGAGAAGAAGAGATCGGGCGAAGAATTGTTGTTTAGGAGAAGAGGAGGGTCTTGACAAGATGATGTTTGGAAGAAGAGGGTCTTGACCCCAGCACCTCATCGCATTAGGTCGTCCTACATACATGAGAGCGATGACGATACGAAAGGCCGTGCTAATGACCTAAGTGGCCACGACAAGGATCGGATACGGGTACGGGTAGGCCTGTAAGTCGTGTAATATGGAAGGCTGAGAAACCACAGGAAAGGTGAGAAAAGTAGGGTAGTGAGGCCCAAGTACTAAGACATTAAGGGGATGAAGACGAGTCTGTAGACGAGGACCAAGGCAGGCCATTGAGGGCCAGAGAAGCTTTCATTCGTTCCGCTCTGAAATAAGCAATTTGTGAAAAGACATCTACGGTATCATGGGAAGTTCATGTCAGCAAACTTTACCCCCAATACGATGACCCAAAGAGCGGGAAATCTGGTTCACGGCGCACAATACAGCCATTGCAAACGACTTCACAACCCGGATAACATAACTCCTCCCCAAAGCCTCTTCGCGTTGCTTCTTTACAAAGAAACGCAATGTCTAAGTGAGTGATCACTGTATATCAATACAGCTTAGCTTGACGACGTATATCTGTCGGAAGACAGCTCATGGAATAGCTATTATTGCTGGTTTCAAGAATAAATAACAAGGTAGCCCCGTCGTGTACAATCCCTTGTACTCTGCGGTCTGCCGCGCAGGCGGGGCTCCCCGCGCGATGACGACAGATCCTGCTGGTTCATTGTGCTTGCATTGTGCAGCGATTTGCCACACATATAACTCTCCCATAACATATCTCTAAACCTCAACACCCGCAATACATCATGAGCCGCCCGCCTTCTTGTGAGTCTTGCTGTTGGTATACGCTGGACGATATGTTGACTCCCTGCTCCAGCCACCGGAGATGTCCTCCTCTACTTTATTGCCCTCTTCATTCCTCCCATTCCCGTGTAAGTAAAGTACTTTCAATCCGTGCTGGTACTGTACATGCTGACATTGGGTGGACAGATTCATGAAGAGAGGATGCGCTGCTGACTTTTGGATAAACATCCTACTTTTTATCTTGGGTTGGCTTCCTGGCGTCATTGTGAGTGATGCGTCCATACGCAGAAACCAACCGCTGACGGCAAGTCCAGCATGCCTGGTGGATCATCTCCAAGTACGAGCGACCTGCTGGAGCCCCTGTTGGTCAAACATATCGATACTAAGACCCAAGGGGGGTGGTTTGCGCGAAAGCAAACAGTGCCCATCTCTTTGCCAACCATTCTGCGAGCTCCAAGCCATAATTTGTCGACCCAAATGTATCCCTTAGTTTATCATGCATGAATCCAGATGTGATTTGCTCGCTTCGCTGCGGATCACCGCATGAAGCGTCCATGGGCTCCCGGCGCTGTGAGGTATTGGCGAACAAGGACAGAAAGGAGCACAAACAACAAGGAGATAGGTTGGGCTCTATGCGCCTTGTCATACTAGGCACGCCGTGGTCAACATTTGCTTCCGTCTCTTTCTCCTCCGCCCGCGAGCTTCGCCCGTCCATATCGAACCCATCCCACATCCTCAACCACCCCCGATCCCGCCAAAACCCAACTATGCCCGCCCCGGCTGCTGCCCTCGCGCCCAACGGAAAGGATGCGTCCAACAGCTCCGTCGCCACCCCTGTCAAAACTTCCGGCGTCAAGTCGAGGGGTGCGCTGAAGCGTTTAAAGGCAAAGGCTAAAGCTGGAGCCCCGAAGAAGGAGGAGAGGGCGAGTGTGCCGGTGACTCAGCCCGAAAGTGAAGCAGAGGTGAGCTAGTAGAAGGGAGGTTTAATGATGGATCCTGACACAACATAGTCTACGACTTCGACGATCGACAACTCTATCCTCGAAATCGACCCTAATGACCCTAACTTCTCCGCCTTTTCCAGCGTCTTTGCGCACTTCCAAGAGGAAGCAACTGAGGGGGACGAAGCGGCACAAGGTCCACAGAAGGGAGAGATCTATTATTCGGATGAGGAGGATGACGATGCAGAGGCCAAGGAGAGGGCGGTGAGAAAGGCGGCGGAGCAGGAAGGGATGACCAGGAGACAGAAGAGGCAGGCGGCTGTACGTGCCTGCGGTATCATCGTGGGAGAATGGTGCGCTGACAGGTATACAGAAACTAACAGTTGCCGAGCTGAAACAGCTGGTCGACCGACCTGAAGTTGTGGATTGGTTTGACTGTGATGCCCGAGATCCCCGTCTGTTGGTGAATCTCAAATCTTACAGAAAGTGAGCTGTATTCAACTCCTTCCAGAGTTCCGATGAATTGACGCATTGCAGCACTGTCCCTGTTCCCCAACATTGGAACGCGAAGCGAGACTATCTTGCTGGCAAGAGGGGTATGGAGAAGCCTCCTTATCTTCTTCCTCGTATGTCTTGCATCTATTTGACGGACATTGGTCTGACTTGATTTTTAGCTTGGATTGCGGACACTGGTATTGGAGAGCAACGTGATGCCATGAAGGCCAAGGAAGCCGATCAAACGCTCCGACAAAAGACGCGAGAACGCGTTCAGCCCAAGATGGGAAAGATGGACATTGACTACCAAAAGCTGCATGATGCGTTCTTCAGGTATCAGGGGAAGCCTAGCATGAGCAAATTTGGAGAAGCGTGAGTCTAACCAACTCGAAGCCTACCTATGACTAACGACCTTGTAGGTACTATGAAGGAAAAGAGTTGGAGACGGATTTGCGTACCAAGAAGCCTGGAGAGCTTTCAACGGAACTGACTGAAGCCTTGTCCATCCCGCCTCTGGCTCCTCCACCCTGGCTCATTGCCATGCAGCGGTTCGGCCCCCCTCCTAGTTATCCCAATCTCCGTATCCGAGGATTGAACGCTCCCATTCCTTCCGGGTATGTGGCCCCTTGAAATGACTGTATAGTGCTTACAAGGCTGTAGAGCCCAATGGGGTTTTCACCCTGGTGGCTGGGGTAAGCCTCCTGTTGACGACTTTAACCGACCTCTATACGGCGATGTATATGGCGAGCTGCAAGGTGCCGAGATTGCCGTGAGTATCAACATTTCTCATGATAATGAAGCTGATCGGTAGCAGCACCAGAACCAAATTGACCACACACTCTGGGGTGAGATTGAGGACATGCCCGAGGAAGAAGAGGAAGAGTCCGAGGAAGAGTCGGAAGAGGAGGCGGAAGAAGAAGAAGAATCTCGTGACGTGCCTGCGGACGGTCTTGCCACGCCCTCCGGTATGGCCACGCCTTCGGGCTACCAATCGGTCACCTCGACGGTACCGGGCGGTCTCGAGACCCCCGATTTCAACTTTTCCGAACTGCGAAAGAATGCCAGGCCCCAAGCGGACGAGAGACCTTCTGGGCCTCGAGAGCTGTACCAGGTCGTGCCGGAGCGAGAGACGTCGTCGCGGGGATTCATGGGAAGCTCTACTACGTACGATATCGGTGCGCTGGGGCAGAACGGTGGACCTGCTGTGTTGGGAGCAGAAGACGGAGGTAGAAAGGTAAGACGAATGTGCAAAATAAGGCATGATCGCTGACTTTTGCGCAGCGCAAGGCCGGCGACGTGGAGATCTCTCTGGATGGCGACGAGGACCTTACGCAAGAGCAGCTGCGTGCCAAGTATGAGGCGAGCCGAAGCCAGGCGAGCAAGGTATACGTGCCGGGAGCGGACGTTGACCGAAGCGGGTTTGAGGATGTGGTGTCTGGGGAGATGAAGAAGCGGGCTCGGAAGGACGAGAAGAAGGGGCGGGAGAAGGGAGAGAAGTTCAAGTTCTAGGGCTTCTGTAGAGTACGAGTATGCATGCCATGTCTGACTTTGCACTTGATTGCAAGATGCCCCCCACATAAGGGCGGGCCCCCACACTCGAGTACGTCCCCAACCGGTCGGTGTTCGGACGGGGACCGGGGACCGGGGACCGGCTGGGCAGATGTTAGCGGCGTCAGCTGTTCCCTTGGCCCATCACAGCCGCCCTATTCCATTTCCATTTCCATTTCCATTTCCATCTCTCCTTCCCTTTGCATCTCTACTTGCTCTACTACTACTACTATCATGGTCAAAGCTGTCGTCGCAGGTGCTGCTGGTACGCTCCCGCCTCACCCCCCCTGCTGTGTGCTCACCTCTTCCCGCCCCAGGTGGTATCGGCCAGCCCCTCTCTCTCTTGCTCAAGCTCAACCCCCTCATCACCGAGCTCAGCCTCTACGATGTCGTCAACGCCCCTGGTGTACGTTGCCCCTCCTTGCTCCGCCCGGATGGCCTCCTTTGTCATCGCCCTGTGCGATACGAAGCCGGCCATTCGAAGCCGGTGCTACGAAAGTGGCCATATGACCTGGCGACAGAAGGCCCACGTCGAAGCCCTCATCTGACCCCCGCTGACCTCGTTTCATAGGTCGCTGCCGACATTTCCCACATCTCCACTCCCGCCCAGGTCAAGGGCTTCCTTCCTGCTGACGGTGGTGCCGAGAAGGCCCTCGAAGGTGCCGACATTGTCGTCATCCCCGCTGGTGTTCCCAGAAAGCCTGGGATGACTCGAGACGACCTCTTTGTGAGTGAAATCTGGCCTTGCTTCGGGCGAAGCTGATTTTGTTCGCTTGTAGAACGTAAGGATACATACTAGCGGGACTTGGCGTGAGAGCTTCCACTGATATGGACTTAGATCAATGCCGGCATCTGTGCCACGCTCGCGTCGTCTATCGCCAAGGCGTGCCCCAAGGCCTACATTCTCGTCATTTCAAACCCGGTCAACTCGACTGTGCCCGTGTTTGCAGAGACCTTGAAGAAGGCTGGCGTGTTTGACCCCCGGAAGTAGGTGTGAATGGGTGTGGAAGCGAGATTAGGCTGACTCGCGTCGCTAGGCTCTTTGGTGTGAGCCACTTGGATATCATTCGAGCGTCGACCTTTGTCGCTACCGTTGTTGGCAAGCCCGAGGATGCGCCCAAGTACACGATCCCCGTTGTCGGTGGTCACTCTGGTACTTCGATCTTGCCCTTGTTGTCCCAGACCAAGCCTGCTATCGTAAGCGATGAGACTAGGGTGCTGTCGGTCCACTGACGTGTCGTAGCCTGATGTTTTGAGCAACAAGGAGCAGCGAGACGCCCTTGTGCACAGGATCCAGTTTGGTGGTGACGAGGTCGTCAAGGCCAAGGGTGCGTCCTTTGCCCTCTTGTATGGCTGTGGCTGACTTTTGCAGACGGCGCTGGTTCTGCTACGCTCTCCATGGCTCAAGGTGAGTATGGCGTTGCTTTTTTTTCGGCCGAGACTGACTGTTGGATTAGCTGGTGCCGAATTCGCCAACTTTGTGTTGCAAGCTGCGTTTGGCAAGGAGAAGGGCAAGGTCGTCCAGTCTTACGTCTACCTCGGCGCGGATGCCGGCGGTCAGGGTGTCCAGAAGGAAATCGGGGCCGACCTCGACTACTTTTCGGTCAGCCTCGAGTTGGGCGTGAGTATCTTGTATGGAGTAGCTGGAAGCTTGCTGACGGATGTGTGTAGCCTGCCGGTATCGAAAAGATCCTCCCCATTGGCAAGATTGACGACGTGGAGAAGGAGCTTCTCGCGGCGGCCGTCAAGGAGCTCGGTCCCAGCATTGAGAAGGGTACTCAGTTCCAGCCCCCTCCCCCCAAGCTCTAAGGCTGCTAGGGATACAAGCTGCATGGGCATGCCGGGTAGATCGAGAAGAGTGGTTACGTGTAAGAAGAAATACATGACGAATGTATACAATAAGCTATTAGCGCGACACTTGTTGCAGTCTGCTTGAACAGTCGACAGGAGTGTTTATACACCGACTAAGGGTTTGTAGTTCCGCATTATCCGGATGTCTTGGGAGGCACAGGAGCATGAGGTCTGGTACATGAAACAAGGCTCTATGGAGGGAATAAACATAGCGAGGAGCTGTGCGGGTGGGCGGGGGACGAGCGTTGTCAAAACAAGGTACATGTTTATTCGTGCTGGGCCTCCTCAAATGTCAAGGCCAACGTGCTCTGTCAGTACCCCATCATGGTCTCAGCGCCCCGCTCGGTCTGGGAGTGTGGGAGTGATGGGACGCAAAACGCCCAATGCGCTGTTTGAGCCAGCGCCACGGTGCCTGTATACACGCGCGTATGTTGACTGATGATGACGTGAGCATGTGGTTTATCATGATTATCAGTGGGATTCTACTATCAGTGGCTATCAGGCGCTCTGCTAATATGTGACAGATGGCATGCTCTAGCCCCTCGGGCTGTGCCTCTGCGCGCCCCGCCAGGCACTTCAAAAGGTTCCAGACCAGTGTCTGTCCACACAAGTTTCGGAGTAGAGGGTGATGGCTGGGTGTTCGCGTGCCTATCTCTGGGGTCGAGCGGGGGGAGCATGGGTCGCCACGCGGGAGATCACAAGAGACATCAAGTGCTCGTCAACGCTGGCTGGTGTGTGCCTGGGGGGGATATACATAAGGAGGAGGGGGACGTCGGGAGGCAGCGTCGCCCAGAGACCGCCATCTCCCACACCCCTCATATACCACCCACTTCGACGACTGGCTCCGAGAAACCACCACTCTTTCCCACCACAACATGGCAGAGCCTGCCACCCTCCAAGCCTTCTCCTTCCCCCCCGCCCGCCCCCTCTCCAGCTCGCCCACGGATCCCACCAGCCCAGACGTCCACCAGCAGAGCCACTCCTCCGATCTGCAGTTCGACGCAGAGGCCCTCACCTTGACCCCAGAGAATGAGCCGTGGAATGGTGAGCCAATGCCATGTCCGGGCGCAAGCAAACGCTGACATGCCCCAGGCGAGCTCGAGCCCAGCATGGGCATGAACCTGCTCATCGACCCCTCCTACCAGCCGCACATGCTCAACCACGCCTGGTCCAACTCGTCCCTCTCCTCATTCCACTCCACCCACTCCAACCCCGGCCTGCACGTCTCTACCGACTCGCCCATGGAGATGCCGTCTGCGGGCCACTCGCGCCACTCGTCCTACTCGTCGCTCAACGGTATCGACACCAAGGTGTCCGGGAACGGTGCACCGTTCATGGACATGTACCCAGTCCAGCACGTCGGCGAGTTCAACCCCGTCATTGCCACTGGCGACCTGTTTACCGCCTCCGACATCAAGCAGCACCCCAAACTCGCCGTCCAGACCCAGGGTCTCGGCAAGATCATGACCACCAGAGAGAGAAGCGCGAGCAGGAGCATGCCCTACAACAGGCAGAGATCCGAGTCGCTGTCCATAAAGTAAGCCCAACTATCCCGCCGCGCGATGTGGCTGACGCCATACTACAGATCCGAAGAAGGCGACGACATTGCCTCTCTCATCTCGGCATCCACCACCTACTCGGCCCATACTCCGTGGTCCACCACCAACTCTATCGCCGGTGGCTTCAACGACCTCTCTCTCCATCACCGCCGCACCTCCTCCTCCACCTCCTATACCAACACGCCCCTCCGTACCTCGCCTCCCCACCCCATGCTCTCCAGGGCCCGTCGAAGCAGCTCCATGATCATCCCCCGCCAGCAGTCCCAATCTGACCTCTCCAGAAACGAATTCAAGCTCCAGGGCTCGGCCGCAGAGAGACAGGCCGTCGTCAGAAGCGACTTGACGGAAAAGGCAGACGAGATCAAGGCGATGAGTAGTAGCTCTCAGCAGGACAAGGCGAGAGCACTCTGGGTCCGAAGATGGTCAGTCTGCGTCTCTCAACACGGGCATGGCTGACAATAGCAGGCTGTTGATGAGCTATACGCGCTCAGAGCCGCATACTGTCCCGCGACAGGGCCTTTACCACTCGTACACCATGTCCTGTGACGAGTATGGTATCAAGCCTATCAACTCGGCATCTTTCGGCAAAGCAGTAAGGAGCGCCTACCCTGGTATCAAGACCCGTCGTTTGGGCGTCCGAGGCAATTCGCAAGTCTTTCCTTTGTACAACATACGCACCAGCTGATGATTCCCAGTAAATACCACTACGTCTCCATCCGCCCGGCTATCCAGATTGAGGCCGAGCGCCTCAACGACTATGGCGACTCGTCCGGCGCTTGGCACGTCGCACCTGAGGACGGCTCCATGGATTTCCAATCTTCCAACGACCGCGACATGGTCATGGATGGCGAAGATGTCGACGACAGCGACGAAGAAGATCAAAAGCCCTCTGGCTCCCTCAGCTATCGCCCATCCCAGCAGTCTCTATCCAGGGATAGATCAACCTCCATCAATGAACTCTTCACCCCGCAAAGACCCAAGGCCGCGTTCACCAGGAGACATACCACCAACTCGGTCAATTCTGTTGGCTCTCGCGCGAGTCAGTCCCATGTGCGCGTCTATTCGCTGCCTGGCTTCCCCACCCTCTCGGTGGCAGCAGAGCTCGGCAACGAATTGTCGATGGAAAACCTCCAAAGCTTCTGGAACTCCTTCTGCCAACACGAGGAAATCATCGTCGAGTGTATGAGAGGCTACCATTTTGACCAGTACGAGATGAATGTAAGTATCCTAACGTGTCGTGAGCCCAGCTAACAGTCCACAGTGCCGAACGTTTTGGACCTCTCTGCCTCCCTCGTTGATCCAGGTCTGCCTTCACCCTGTCATCTCGGGCATGATCACAGAGGCCATGCTTGTCTGCTATGACGTGAGTGCTTCTCCCAGCTCTCGACCATGGCTGACGTTACTACAGCACATTGTTGGCATCTTGCTTGATAAGCTCACTTCGCCATTCCCAGTGATCAGCCAGTGCTCTTTGCGCGCGCTTGCGGACAACTTGGAAGCCATCATGGAAGAGTCTCTCGGCATCTTTCCCCAAAATTTCTCAGAAAGCAAGGTCGAGATGAGCGCCCGGGTGGCCCACCTCTTCCGTAAGTCCACACATCTGTTTTGCGAGCCAGCCTGACCAGTCGTATAGTCCGCTTCATCGATCTTCACCAGCTCACCGCTGCTCTCAGCCCCATTCTCGCCAACCAGTCCCAAGTGCGCACCATGATCACCGCCTGGGAAAATCTCGACGTTCGCAACGTCAGCGACCAGTGTGCCCTCTCTTGCCAGTGCCAACAAGACGTAATCGAAGCCGTTCTCCAAGACTTTTACCACTGGCTGGTGGAGGCCGAAAAGTATCTGGCGAAAGGTGGGTACGCCATCGATAGGCTCGGCGGTTGGGTAGACAAGATGTTGGGGGATGTGCAGGCCGCGACTGGGGGCGTGTCTCTGAGTGCCCTGGTATGTAAAGTGGGCTTTGTCACTTCGCAAGTCATGAGAGATTTTGTAAGCCACCTTAAGTGTCTGCCAAGATGATGCTAATACATTTGCAGACGTTGAAGAGCGACCAGACGTTTGGTTTGTTTCAACTCATCAAGACTTGGTTGGATGACTGGGTTTCCATTGCCGCTCTCCGCAAGACCAAGCTCTCGATCGGTAACAGCTCTCCTCCCGTCCCCACCTACATCCCCGCCATGAGCGTCTTTATTCCCCAGCACGACACGATCACCAACCCCGATCTGTCCACGGCGGTGCCTTTTGGTCAGGGGTCGTCGCAGTGGCCCCAGTCGGGTCTGAATGTGCATCAGCCTTTTGACGGACAGCAAGGGCAGTATCTCGCAATGCCCAGCTTTGGCAGCGAGCATAACGCTTCGACGCCGCGGCCCATGTTTGGCCATGCCATGGGTCAACAACAATGATTTCGTGTATTTCCGTGTATTTTTCCTTCTTGCTTTCCTTGGGTTTTTCGCGCTCTTGGTCTTTTCTTTTGCCTTTCATGCCCTGCAAGCGTTGTGGAAATTGTAAAACAGTTGATGATAACGAAAAGAATGACTACATATATGTGATGATATACAACATAGACTATTGAAAGTACACCGTTTGCCTACTAATTATCAACAACCTGCCAGCGAGTATCTCGTCTGGTATGCAAATACACCTCTGCCTTGTCTGTACGACTTCTGTTTACGCGCCAATCGCCACTTTTCCCGGGCATCAAGTTGGAGACCTAGAGTGGGTTAGTAATGGTCTCGGAAAGGCGGGACAAGACTTGCCAAATATCTCCCGCCTTCTTTCAATATACCCTCGCCCAAACCCCTCGCGTCCCATACGTTCAGCATTCCCGTCCTGAATGACTCTCGTCGGAATTCTTGAGCATCTCTGAATCTGACGATGCGAAAGTCTCGAACTTCGCGGGGCGGGCAAGTGATCTGCACCAAATCAGCAACAAGGCCAGTCATTACCTGAAAACGCTTACCCGCAGTTGCGCCTCAACCTCCGACCTTCCTTCTTCGAGCTCTTGATTGAGGCGTGACCTGGCGCACAAGGCAAGGTGCACAATGTGATCAGGCGCCAGCTTCCGTATGCGCAAAGGGGCATCTTTACAACCAAGTAGCTCCTCCAAGTCGTCTTCGATCGAGTCTGGTGCTTCGCCTCGAGCCAACGTCAGTGGACGCATTCAAAAATGAGATACAACCTACCGATGGTCGAGTTTGTTTCCTCGGCATATCCAGCTAGCATAGCACCGAGATTTTGCAACATGTCCATCTCTTTTCTCAGCTTTTCCTCTAGGCGGCCGCGTTCTGCCTTGTACTGCTTCTGTAAGTGTGGTCAGCCATGCTGAAGGGTCAAATACGACACGCACCTTCCATTGTTCCTGGCGACATTGTTCCTCCTCCTCGTCCCATGGAGGCTCTCGAGAAGTCCTGTCGCCACTGGTAAAGGCCATAGGAAAAACCTTTTCGACCACAATATCCATCAATGTCACGACCCCACCGTCCACCGTGAGGCTAGACAGAGAAGCCATGAACGGATGAGGTTGCATGCCGAGCCGAGTGTCCCACCGCGCAAGCGAGGTAGAATTGCCAGACACGATGAGCCTAGAAGACTTGTAGGCATCAAGCACCTCGGCACCATCACTGCCAGACTCTAGCTTTGCTCCGGTCACGGCAAGTTTTCGTCCCACACAGATCCTGCCCTTTTCAACCGCACGTCTGAGGCAGTCATCAATCTGAGCTCGAATGTGGTACCACCCATCCGTCAGATCGAGACTGATATGGTTTGCGTCCTCTGTGGAGCGGTGAACGGCAGAGACGACCAGAACGATGGGTAGACTGGGCGAGGAGTCGTGCTCTTGGATGCGTCGGATAAGGGGTCGTTGGGCGGCGCCGAACTCTCGCTCATATCTGCTAGTCGTCAGCTTGGTTTGCCATACCAGATGAAAAGCGCACCTATATCGAAGCTGTTTTGTGACCTCCTCGGCATTCCACATGTCTTCATACAACTCGGGCTTGGCTTGGACAAGGCCTGCTAGCTTCCACAGAATGAGCGCCCAGTGATTCTCAACCCATCGAGACGTTGCCAACGAGCATCCACACTCCTTGATCGCCTTCAAAGCTTGCTGTGTGCCAAAGGTCGATTGGTCTAGAGCGAAATGATACAAAGCAGCATTGTCGGGTGTCACAGCGGTGATCTCGTCAGGGCTGGCAAGTTGTCAGTGTCTAGATTTACCATGGATTACGCACATGTTCATTGTGGCCAGTTCATTCCGACTGTAGTATTGGGGATGAAGAAACGCCTGTTTGAGGGAGAGGCGACTTTCCGGACCTGCTCCACTGTCAGCCAACTCGGAAACGCACTTGCAATGACGCACGCATAAGATCAAAGACCGGATTCGAGACTGCAGCTTTCGGCTTGGACGGAGTCGCCACCTCTTTGGAGGGCGCGGGTGTAGTCCTGAATGGAGTCACAAACCCTCTCTTGGACTTTCGCACAGGCGTGGAACCTAAGCCAATCCTTCGAGCTTGTACTTGGGACGCAGGGGTTTTGATCTGGATGGGCTTTTTTGTACTCGCGTAGGTGTTGGTCTTGAAGGAAAGGGGGGTCCTGGTGGGGGTAGCCGGCTGAAGGTTGGTATTTCGTTTTTTGAACGGTTCAAGGGCGGGCGTCGCAGATGTAGGTGATGCAACATTCTCCGCATCTCCGACAAGAGACACCGAGATATCATGGCCAGACCGAAGGTGAGCCCCAGACTTTGGAGCTGGTGACCTGAAGGCCGGGGGCACGGGCGAGCCTGTATCAAGTTTCGGAGGTGCCATGTCCTCAAACATACTCAGAGCCTTTTGCCGAGCAGCCAGGCTGGGTTCTGGCACCGCCTCTCCCCGTCCCGTTTTGAATCCGGACTTGGCTGGACCAGGTGCATCTAGAATCTGAGAGGGGGAGTCGAGATCTTCGAACAACTTGTAAGCTTTCTGTTTGGCAGCAGCGCTCGGTTCAGGGACTGCGAAACCTCTTCCGGTCTTGAAGCCAGTCTGAAGGCCCGGGGAGTCTGGGAGCGGCGTGGAGGACAAAAGGTCTGTCGAACCCTCTATCTCGTCAAACAACTTTGAAGCTCGTTGAAGAGCAGCAGCCGAAGGGGGAGGTACGTCCTTCCCACCGCCAGTCTTGAAACCAACAAAAAGGTCTGCTGAAGGTGTTTCAAGTGCTGTCGGTACAGATGTGAGGAGATTGATCGATGTACCAGTATCAACAGAAATTTCTGGTGATCTCTGCACGGCAATAGCTGGGGGCGTATGCCGTTCTTCGCTCTTCTGCGACCCACCCCCAGTCTCGGGCAGCATTGGGAGCGCCGTGACCGCGTCGGGGACTGCCGTGGAGTTGATTTCGTCGAATAATTTTATAGCCCTTTGCTGAGCAGCGGCCGAAGGGGGCGGCACTGTCTTGCCTCTTCCCGTTGTGAATCCGACAAGAGGGACCGGGTCGGGAGGAGATGTTGCGGATAGCAACGGGTCCGCGGCAGAGTCTATCTCGTCAAACATCTTCATTGCCTTCAGGCGAGAAGCAGCAGAAGGGGGCGGGACTACCCTTCCCCCGGCTGTTTGGAACCCGTTGAATGAAGCGCTGGGTGTTGGAATCGGGTGACGGTCGAGATCGAGGCGCATACGTTTCAACGGCGGCCCCTCTCCTTGGGCGGCGGGTGGCGAGGAGGGGGGGAGGGGGGACAGGGAGGGCGAGGAAGGGGGCGGGGGGTCGCTGCTGGGGTCGAGAAGATGCTCCTCTGTGATGCCCCGGAGGAGGTCCTGGATGGCGTCGGGGTCCATGGCGGCGGTGAGAAAGAGAGTTGACGCCAAGTTGACGCGTCCATCGAAATCGAAAAGAGTCGCGTTCGGGCTTACGTAAATGCCATGGCCTTCGGCACTCTTTCTGAAATTTATGCTGGCCTTCTAGCAGCCTTCTAGACGTCGAAAGCATTGTGGAATGACAGGTGAGTGCACTCCAGACCCCCCATGTTCCCACCGCTGACTTCACCAGACTCGCAGCTCCAAAAAGGTAGATATCTGAAGCTTCAAGCAGCGCTGACAGCCAGGCCTCAGCGATTGCCGTATCTCGTGTCACCAGGCTGCCCAAGCCCTGTCTGCCATCCCTAAAGATGTGCCAATGCCGCATGGTCTCCCAGACGCCTTCTGCCAGCTTCTCGCCAACCTTCGCCAATCCTTGACATCTCTGGGTCTTGCCTTTAAGCCTCCTGTCACGATCCCTGCCGCTCTACAGCAACTCGAAAAGATCTCTGAGCAGATCAATCAGCTCATCAGTTGTGCCATCATGGCCAAAGGTGAACTGGGGAAAGAATGGAAAGAAGGAATTTCTGCCGTGGAGGGAGAACTTGAGAGACATATCCAAGTGTTGGAGAGCGGAGGGGATTATCTTCGATCAACTGGTATGGTCTGGGAAACTATCGACCGGATGACAAAGGACATATCGAAAGATGAACGGTCCGCTGTCATTAGGAGATGGAAGAGTCACCAGAGTGTCATCAAGGATGCGTGGGAAGAGTATAAAGAAACACTTGAGGGAGATGGAGAAAACGAGGACGATGGTTGGGATGAATTGGGTTTGGGCGAAGGCAGTCTGTCAGACGAGGAGAAGGCTCGCAGCACCGCCGTACGTCTTGTGTCATACCACTGGATGTCACTGACCAGAGCCTACAGATAAAACCCCTTCTCGCTCTCCACCAGCTTCTACATGCCAGCATGCCGAGATATCTCCCTCAACTCCCAGAGAATGATTTGACTCTCCTTTTGACCCTCTCTGAAAATCTGATTGATGCTTACGACGAGCTCGTCTCTGCGACACATCCCGGGCAAGATGAGGAAGAGATTCGAGAGGCTTCAATTCGATTACGTGACCTCTCCTTGAAAATGGCCAGTGTCGTGACGGACAAATCCATCGACAAATGGAAGGAAAGGTTTCAACAAGAGCAGGAGAAATGGGAGAGTAGAAAACTGGACATGTCCAATTTGTCAGAGGCGTTACGGGACGCTTGACCGGAATACACTAGAGTCTGTAACCTGTATGAACACCCTCTGGTCACCGGCCGTCTCAGGTATGGTGTCACTTCTGCTCTTGGGGGCAACAAAGTCATGGACCGCATCATTGTCGTCGTCTCCGCGTGTTTGCATGCCAAGGCCATCTCTCATTTCCGATTTGAATTCTGGTCGCTCTTTGGAACAGCGCTTCGCTTCTTGTCATATCGCTGTCCTTCATGGCTCATCGCTAGACGCTACACTTGAGTCTCCTCATAGTGTCAGCGTAGATCAGATGGAAGAGGGCTACATGAGTCTAACCAAAGACACTCGTGAATGCACATGCAGATACTCTAAAGATGATCATTGTTTCTCTATGTGCAAGAGATACCCTTCAGGCAGGGTGTGATGAAGGATCCGTGATACTTGAGCCGTTCAGGAGAAGCATTATTTTACGGCAATGTACGTAGCAACGCTTTGTTGTGTTTATTACCGTTGTGGACCATCCTGAATGCTGGAGAGAGGGCGGTTGTGTATTAGTATTAGAACCCTCGGCAGTGCATGAGTAGGGCGTGAATGCATTCATCATATAAGAAGCACCAAGGGTCTAGCCAGACACCAGCTTCTGGGATGAATGAGTTGGGTGTAAATGTAAATATCAGCTGGATTGGGTGAAAATCAAGCGCCTAGCCAGACGCCGCCATACCCTGATTAAGCAAAGATCTCAGACACGATACCAGTGCCGATAGTCTTGCCTCCCTCTCGCAAAGTGAATCGAGATCCGGGCTCAAGGGCAATGTCGTGGACAAGATCGCCGATCATCTCAACATTGTCTCCGGGCATGACGAGCTTCTCGTGGGCGTCTTCAGTTCCTTCGGGGAAAGTCAAAGCACAAGTGACGTCGGTGGTTCGGATGAAGAGTTGAGGACGGTAGTTGGCCATGAAAGGTGTGTAACGACCACCCTCTTCCTTGGTAAGGATCTACCAAATATCAGTATCGAGCGGCATGGGGATCCAGGTAGCTTACATAGATCTGGGCCTTAAACTTCTTGACAGACTTGATCGAGCTGGGCTGAACCAACACTTGTCCACGACGGACCTGCTCTCGCTTGATACCTCGCAAAAGAGCACCCATGTTGTCACCAGCCTCTCCTCGCTCCAGCTCCTTGTGGAACATCTCGATACCAGTAAGGGTAGTCTTGATGGAGTCACCCAAACCGACGATCTCGACTTCTGAACCCTTGGTGATGGTGCCTCGCTCCACCTTACCGGTGACAACGGTACCACGACCAGAGATAGAGAAGACATCCTCCACGTACATCAGGAAAGGCTTGTCGAGGTCACCTATGACAACATGTTAGTGTTGGAAGAAGGCGAAGGAGGGCGATACGTACGGGCAGGGACATCAAGCCACGTATCGGCGGCTTCCATCAACTCCTTGATCTTCTCGGCACCTCGCTCGGGGTCGCGGCCTTCGAGGGCAGCAAGAGCAGTACCCATGACAATAGGGGTACCCTCGCCATCGTAGCCATACTGACCAAGCAGCTCCCTCATCTCCATCTCCACCAATTCGAGCATTTCGGGGTCGTCAACCTGGTCGACCTTGTTGATGAAGACAACAAGCTTCTTGATGCCAACCTGGCGGGCAAGAAGGAGATGTTCGCGGGTCTGAGGCATCTGACCGTCGGTAGCAGAGACGACGATGATAGCACCATCAAGCTGGGCAGCACCGGTAATCATGTTTTTGATGTCTAGGGATTGTGATCAGCTTGCAGTCGCTTGAAACTGACTGTACTCACAATCGGCGTGACCGGGACAGTCAATGTGGGCATAGTGCCTGTTGGGGGTCTCGTATTCGACGTGCTATGGGCGATCAATACCAAGTCATGACCAGATACCTTCAAGGACATACAGCAGTAGAGATGGTAATACCTCGGGCCTTCTCTTCAGGAGCCTTGTCGATCTGAGAGTAGTCCATAAATTTACCACCGCCAGACTCGGCGAGGTACTTGGTGATGGCGGCAGTGAGCGTTGTCTTTCCGTGGTCGACATGGCCGATGGTGCCGATGCTGCATCGCGTTTAGCCGGCAGACAAGACAGAAGGGGAAGAAAGCATTTACTTGAAGTGGGGCTTGGCTCGGGCAAACTTGCCTCCGGCTTCGGCGGCGTAGCCACGGGAGGGGAGACGGATGGGAGCGAAAGCAGCGGCGCGGAATCGGGGGGCGGAGAGGGGCTTGGTAGCAAAGGTCCTGGCAGAGAGGACAGAGGGGCCGGCGATGGGGCGAGCGGCTGCGGGGAGTGAGCATGGGGGCCAGGGGCGGGCTGGGCGTACCTCTGAGCTCTGCTGTTCTGACTGCTGACGAGAGCCTGGACTGGAGGGAGGATCGCATCATTTTTGGGAGTGCTCTGCTGTGACGCTCTTCTCTTTTTGCGGCCACAAAAACAGAGATGCGAGGACCGAAATATAAAGTGGGGGGCGTCCTCACACAAATAAATAACTCCGTCGCTTCTTTGTGGCAGCCTCGGATCGCCGCACAGCCAACGCCACAAAGCACAAAGCAGCAGCCAGCCTCCGTCCATCGCATCACCATGCAGTACAAGGAGATCTACGACTTTGCATACTCTCTCGCAGAGACGGTGAGTGCTCCAGAATCAGACAATAGGTCCTGACACCTCCAGGCATCCGCGACCATCGTCGAGGCCTCAGCAAAACGATGGACTTCTACCACCGGCCTGAACGAGAAAAAGAACTCTGTCGACGTACGTGCTACTGCACCATGATCTGGGCTGACCGAGAAGCTCGTGACCGAGACAGACGAGGCTGTGGAAAAGATGATAAAAAATGCTGTAGCTGAAAGATATCCCAGCCACAAATTGTAAGACTATCGCGCGTGTCCGGTGAACAGTCTCAAGCTTGCAATTTATAGCATAGGAGAAGAGTCCTATGCTGCGGGAGATAGGCCTCCTTTGACAGACGATTACACGTGGATTGTGGATCCCATTGATGTAGGTACACAACTTCCGGAGCCAATCTGACGAGCAAAGGGTACCATGAAGTAGGTTCGCCTTACATGGCGTAAGCTAATATCAGCTTTGTACATTCTTAGTGAGTCCCAGTCCTACATCTAATGATCTCGTTTTCTGATCGAATCTTTAGCCCATTTGTCGCTTGCTCCATTGGAGTCGCGCATAAATCCAAGCCCATCGTTGGCGTCATTGCCCTTCCCTTCATGAAGCAGATCGTGAGCAACGTCTTTGCTGGCAATTGTAGCGTACTGATATAGAATCACAGTTCTCTGCCTACTCGGGTGGCGGTGCCACTCTTAATCAGAGCACGCCCCTTCCGTTGACCGGTGGTATACCACAGCCGTTAGCCGACTTGTCTCGCTGCATGATTGGAGCCGAATGTGAGTTCAAGTCCGTGTGCATTTTGCCTGTCCCACTGACATGGATCTGCAGGGGGGTCCGACCGAGGACAAGACACATTCACCAAGAAGACGTCTTCTTTCGCTAAACTTGCGGGAGATCCTGAGAAAGGGGTCAAGGGTGGTGTGATGGCGCACGCCCTCAGAAGTGAGTCTTCTATCTCGTGTGCTTCTAGAAGTAGAAGCTGAACAGGCAAACAGCTACTGGCTCTACAGCGTGTAACGCTGTGGCTGTTGCTGCTGGGCAGCTTGATGTATACTGGTAGGTCACAAAGCCGTTCGATGGGCTGTCATTAATCAGGTTTCCAGGGACGCGGGCTGTTACCCATGGGACGTCTGCGTGAGTCTTGCTTCATCCGTTATGAGGTATGCTGATAAGCGCTCAGGCTGCTGCTATCATCCTCCAGGAGACTGGCGGCTACTTTGCTGGCGGAAAGAACACCTTGGACAGTCCAGTAGGCGAGGTCATGATGGGCAGAAGATACATCTTTGTGCGAGCGGTGCCGCCTACAGAGGTATGGTCCACACATGTCGATAGCACGAGTACTGACGAGGGCGTAGAAGGAGACATCTTACGAGATACAAACTCGTCTGGCCAAGGAACTCTACGAGGTTGTGGATGAATGGACCAACGAAGATATGATGTAGACGGGCGCACGCTTGTATTCATCGCAGTTCAACATGCATATCAGATCTTTTACAAAAAGTCCGCGGCAGCCTTCCTCTTTTTGCCTATACCGCTTCCATCGTCATCTCCCTCTTTCGGCGTTGGTGAAGTATACCTGTACCTAGGTTGCTGGGCACGTTTTTCATACTGTAAAGACGCGTCAGCGGTATAAAGATGGGGAGTTGACTGGACATACTGGTGAAGCAGTCGTATCAGGCCAGATCACACCGTCCTTGGGCGGTTGAACGGGGATAGCAGGCGCGGGCGAAGACAAAGCAGGGCCAGAGGCAGCTGGTGGGAAGGAGGACGGGGTAGGTGGGACGGGAAGGGGATTGGGGGAGTTGGCTGCACCGGGATAAGGGGGCATACCAGCCAGACCGGGGGGAGGAGGGAAGGGTGGGCGGATACCCGAAGGACTAGAACAGGATGAGCCATCGAAATAGAGTCGGCAGGATAAAGCTTACGCAAATGGAGGGAGCGTGCCAGGAGGCATAGTTGGAGGTGGCATACCCGGGAAAGCTCCCGGAGGGAATCTAGAACGCCTGTCAGCAAGTCTGTCCAGCACAAAATGACTGCGAATTACCCAGGAGGAGGGAATGGGGGAGGTGCGCCGGCAAGAGGAGGGAAGGGTAACGGTGCTGAAGGAGCCTTGTTTCTGTTTGCCATGAGAACTTTGTGCTGGGCCAATGCCGATCGCAGGTCGGCTTCCGGGATGACAGCATAGATGTTTTGGGGCCTTTTCGCGGCCGCTGCAGCAGCGAGAAGGGCTGTTCCAGCCTCCGCCTCCTTCCTAGCCTTCCATTCCGACTGGGCATTATCGGGCACACCCTCCATACCAAAGATTTCAATGTCGTAACCATCACGTCCAGGCAGAGTGTTGGTGAGGCTGCACCCATCAGCAATGTTGACATGGGTACACGCGTGATTGACTCACGGCTCAGGATCACACTTGTGGACTTGTTGACTGTGGACCATCAAACCACCCGCCGTCTGAACCAAGACATCAGCGTGAAAAAGATATGAGTGACGCTTCTGCTCACATTCAGCTTTCGGGGACATAATTGGCATTTGAAGTGTTTCGACTTTTGGTGTTGCAATAGGACTGCACACTTGTCAGCGGTGGACATACAAGAGCGAGGCACTCACCTTTATCGTCTTCAAACTCTCGCTCACAGTACCAACACCACGGCTTGAGCACCTGGGCAAATAGTCAGCGACCGGCGACGCGAGGATGGGCTTGACGTACAAAGACCTGGGATCTCTTTTTCTTACCCATGGCGCGCGGATGTATATATGCCTAGCAGAGGATGGCGAACGAAGAACGGCTGTTGCTTTTGGTGCAGAGAAGAGACATTACGTAAGCGTACACCTCTGATATTTTCTGTCGAGTTTCGCTGAGCGGTGTTCCCTCTGACCCTCTGCTCTCCGCCGCCATGTCCCGCTCCCTCAGGCCCCTCGCCCGCTGCTTCCACTCCTCCACGCCCGCACGCTCCCATGTCGGCAAGGTCCCCATCCCCATCCCCCCCACCGTCACCCTCTCCCTGCCGCCGTCCTCTATAGACCAATCCATACACCCCACAAACCCCCTGGCCCACAGAACATTCACCGTCAAAGGGCCCCTCGGCTCAGCCACACTCCCCATCGCCCCTTCCGTCATCATCACCCCTCCCACTGCCCAAAACGCCTCCATCACAATCTCGGTCCACGATCCCACAGTCAAGACACAACGCAGTCTCTGGGGCTTGACCAGGTCTATCCTGAATAATGCCGTGACCGGCGTGTCAACCGGATTCAATCTCGAAGTTCGGTTGGTGGGCGTTGGATACAGAGCGGCGATAGAGCCGATCCCAGAGGTGTTCAGGAAGTTGGCAAAGCAGACGAATGCTCAGCCAGGCGAGGTCCTCCCCACTGAGCGTCTCAATATCAAGCTAGGGTTCGCTCACCCTGTGCTTATTGATATCCCACCCGAGATCAAAGTGACTGTGCCGGCGCCCACAAAAATTATGCTCAGTGGGACGGATAAGCAGAAGCTGGGTCAGTATGCCGCTACGATCCGGCAATGGAGAAGACCCGAGCCTTACAGAGGGAAGGTAAGTGTCACTTCCTGGGATCATATGGATTCGCTGACTCGCATTAGGGAATTTTCGTTGGGGACGAGACCATCAAGCTGAAGGAGGTCAAGAAGAAGTAGATGGCATATTGTCGATGCATTTCCACCTGGATCCCCACTATTCTTCGCATTTATGACAACAACCTTTCTTCCCAGCCTTGCCAGAAACTTTCCGCCAGCTTATCGTCCCTCTGACCAGCATGATCGCATCCCAGCAATCCCTGCCACAAGGGCGCGACGCCGTCCTCGCCACCAACGATCTGACCAGTATCCCGCAAGACGTATTGCGAGTGACCTGTTTGGCGATGGACTTGGGCTAGGGCGGGATGGAACGGCTCGAGAGGGATATGGACAGACAGAACTTGAAGAGACCTTTCGGTGAGTGGGTTTTATAATCAGTGCACTTACTCTGGCAAATACAAGGCAACGCGCTCTTCAGCCTTCGACCTGGGAATTACTGTGGACTTTCCAATGCTCTCAGCGTCCATTTCCACAGCCGTCATCTTGCAGCCGCTTGTGCTGTCAAACATATGAGCGATTGGGACCATTGACTTTCACTGATTTCGCTCACCTGTTCAACGCGCAGCTAGCCAGAACAGCTCGTTCTGCTGTCTTCATCAATTCCTGATCATTTCCAACCCTGCTCTGCCATGATTTGGAGATCCCCGCCGGATACGCATCTTCCTCCTTCGTCCCAATCATCTGGAGAAGCGGGTCGGAGGCATCGCCCTGCTGGATTCGCGCAAACCAATCGGGTCTCACTCGACATCCCTCAATGACATTATCACTCTCATGTTGCTGTACAGGTCGCGCTGAAGAAGCAGAAGCTATAGCCTCTCCGGTAGCTTCAAGTATCAAAAACCGCTCCTTGTGGATCGCCACTTCGCCATTGACAGACTCTTCATCCGTCCGCGAGCACTCTGTATCGACAACCCACACATCCTTTGAAACCATTCTGCAGCTCACAACCGCCGGCCAAGTGCTCAGATCAGGCCCAAGTAGCCCTAGGCCGCCTCCCATTCCGCTCCATGCTTCTCCGCAACCCTGCTGCATGTGGGTGTGTAGGCGAAAGACCCAAAACCGAATGGCGACTTTAAGGGCACCGAATGGATAGACTGAGGTATAGAGAGAAGGGTGTATAGCTTGAAAAGGGAGGTCGTGCGTCAAGGTGCGCGTCTCAATAGGGTATGTCGTAGGATAGGGAAAGGGCGGCGAATTGATAGGATGGACGCGATACTTGTGGAGGCAGGCAGCCGCTTGGTTGAGAAAGTGGTTGCTGACATAATGCACTCTCCCATGAGAGCTCATTCCTGGACTCGCTTGGCGCTCACTCGAAAAACTCTCCGAGGCATGATCCAACGCAGTCCTCGGAGGGGGTCTCGGTATTGGGACAAGCGCCTGAAAAGTCCTTTCCCTGATCACAGAGGGCAGTATAGTTTTCGGCTTGGTTTTGGAAGAGATCTTCCGAGGCGGGGCGGATACAGTAGAAGCTATTGGCTCGGGGAGCTGCTCGGACAATCCCGTTGTTGAAAGTGTGGGAAAGGAAGTGGGACTTGCATTAGCAGCAGCAACGTTGAGGTCGTCGGTGGGCTGCTGCGTAAGGGAAGGTGTCGATGTGATATAGGGAAGACGTGCCCGGGGATGGATGGCATGCGCTGCTGATGTTGCTGAAGCTTGATTCTGGGGAGCCTTGAAAGACTCTTTCGGTCCATCGGGTAAGGGAAAGCTCGAGGATGACTCAGTCCTTTGGCGCTTGTGCTTTGGCTCAACCGCAGGGCAGGTAGTCGGATCGCTGGCTATGGTCGATGATGCGGCTGGCTCTGGGGCATTAGGAGCATTAGGATGGGCATGGACCAAGATCACTTCTATCAACTGCGATTTGTTGAGCTTCGAGTAATTTGTGATCTTGAGCTGGTCAACAAAGTTTAGCACAGGGTGTGACGGAGGAGAAATATGAGCTCTGACCTCTCTGCATTTTACTTTGAGGTCCGCCACCTTGAGAGTCTGCAGTGACCGCGCTATATCCATGATGGGAGTTGGGTGATTCATGGTTGAGGGAGATGTTGAGAAGGTTGAACGAAAGAGAGCGAGCGGCGTTCCGACTATAGGCGGACAGAAAGCCATGACGTGTACTCTAACGAGCCTGGGTTTGGAATGACCATTCTTACCATTCTTATATTCCACATGCCTCTTTAACTCATGACCAGATGGCGACCGCCTCTTACACGGACCGCCATGATGCCCTCCTACGCTTGCTTTCAATCCACGCTGCAACAGCCTCCGGGTTCCAAAACACGTTCGCCATCTCGCCATCACCTACGCTAGCCGATCAACACGGCGCGACTCTCGATGTGCTTCTTCTTCAAGCTTGGGCAGGCCGTGCAGACATCCCCAAGTATCGTAAGCTGCTCATTTGTATGGTGAAGGCAGACTCCTGACATGACTCAGAGATGGATCAGATAGAGGACGCGCGCTTGACGAAAAAAGACTTTGATGTATTGGGCTTACTGGGCGAAGGGCAATTTGGAGTAGTGAGCACTTTATCAGCAATGAGTATTGGGCTAATCCATTATCTTAGGTTGAGGCTGTCCGGTATCCTCAAGGAGGGCAAGTGTACGCTATGAAAACAATGCAAAAAGCCTACGTTGCACGAGCGGGTACCGTGCGTTGAGTCTCGCCTGTTATAGATTGTACTGATGGTCAGCACAGCAATTATCCCTAGCCAACGAACGGCATATTCACGATCTTGCACGATCAGAATCTGTACCACTGTTCCCACACCTCACTGCAACTTTCCAAACCCCAGACTCTCTACATCTCCTTACGACATATGCTGCATGTGGCTCCTTGTGGGACCGCCTCTGCTCAATGACATCCCTTGGCTCCTCGTTCCCTCGCCTGTCTGAAGAAGAGATAGGATGGTGGGCGCCTCAGATGGTTGCAGCTGTGGATTGGCTTCATCAGAACATGTTTGCACATCGGTATGTCGCGCTATGTCTACACCTTGACTCACTAAATGACTGGTCTTCAGAGACATCAAGCCCCATAATTTTATTATCACTGAAACCCATCATCTACTCCTCACCGATTTTGGATCTGCTGCTGTGCTCAAAGTTGCTCCCCCCGGTGACTTACCTTATGTCCCTTGGCATCTCTGCACGCAGCCCATTGGGACTCCGGACTATATTGCCCCTGAGATTCTGGCAATTGCAGAGGATGCAATAATCCAGTCAAGTCAGTCCCAATCAACCAACATCAGTGAGGCTGTTCTCAGTAAGGGATACACAAGTAATGTGGATTGGTGGAGTCTGGGAGCTACATTGTTCGAGCTTTCCACTGGAAAAGCGCCATTTTGGGCAGAGTCAATAGAAGAGACGTATCAGGAGCTGATCTCCTACCATGTAAGTGGCTCTTCACGGCAATTGCATTCATATTTGAGTCATGACTGATACCCACAAGGACAATCTCTTTCTCCCTTCCCACCTCTCCTCAGACTTGCAAATAGTCTTGCAAGGGCAAGTGGCCACATATATCAGCTATAGCTTTTGCTGACAATTACCTGGGGTCTTCAGCTTGATAGCTACTTCCTCAAAAAGATATTCAAATGCTTCACAGATCAAGCAATCCAGCTTTATGCTCAGATATTCACAGGACACAATGGAAAGTGAGTCATACTGTGAGCCACACCACTGCTAGAGCTTATGCAATGCCATCAGCAATTAAACCACCCCCCAGCTTACAATCCCTCACACCTCTCAAACTCTCCCACCTACCAAACAGCCCAAGTGGCTTTTCTGTCTCTGGACAATTCACTTTCAATCATTTTTTTGATGACTCACTATCAACAGAAGGAGTTAGCATGTTGTCCTCATCACATAAGACACCTAGCACCAATTTTCAGCCTTGGTATAGATGGGTAGGCTGGTCTTACCTTCCAGAACCTAGCAGCTTTGAAGCAGCAAGCACTCTCTCTATGTCCCTACCAGAGACTACAGTCAGGCACCCTTTTGTGACTCCCAAAAGGCCCGGTCAAAGGCCAGGATATCCATGGTCTTGTGGAACAACAAAATCAGGACTGGCAGCCCATTCACAGGCGAGGCCTCTATCCCAAAAGCAAGCCTATGGGGAACTACTTGATTGTGTCAAACAGAGTGCTAAAAAGCACATAGCAAATAAAACATATGGGTATCCAGAACAACTGTATCCAAAAACTACTGCAGGTAGTAGTGTCTTTCAGCTAGAAACAGACAGTTTACATGGGCTTCAATTCAGACAAGAGAGACTGCAACAAAGCATATATGTGAGTGAAACCTTAAGCTGGTTGTATCCATACACCTCTATACATTGCCCATCACTCATCCATGTTTCAGGCTTTGAACAGTAGACTATCAAAGATGAAGCAGTCTCTTGAGGCTCATGAACACTGATGACCTGCTCCCTCTCACCTGGCAGCAGCCAGACACCACAGTGCCCTGATCCAAAAGTACCATCAGAATGTCAAGCTTGGTGTAAAGTCAGTCAGAATTTGCTGCTCACCAAGACCTTCTTCAATCAGGCAATGCAATGCTTAGGCATCAAGCAGATCTGTCTATCCTCAATCAATGTAAGATTGATTGCGTACCTGGTACATTGTCCATGTATGCTGATCCCAAATCAACAGACACAGTTCTCATCCTGGAAGAGAACAAGCACAAGCTATTACACATGTCCCTCCCTCCAGAGCATCAGCATTCATATGTATAGTCACAACAAACAAGTTTGCTGCCCCCTGATTTTGGTCCCATCCATGCACACATTCTCCCATACTGTATATACCTTCAGAGCTGTGTGATACATCTATCCTCTTATGCAGACACTAGCAATGTACCTGCCCCCAGTTCCCAGTGGGGTAGGGTCCACATAGAGTACTAAGCAAGTGGAAGCAACATGTCAAAATTGGTGATAGACAATGCAAAAGATAACTTCATGACTGTCCATAATGTACTCTCAAGAATTTGCTGTGAGATGTACCAAAGTACAGGGTGTATTGGGAGACAGATGGAAGGCAAACAGTGTGGTCAAGCCAAACATGCACTTCTGCCTCCATGGAAGGTGCCAGGGTAGGGGTGGCAGGCACAGCAGAAGTTGTGTTGACTGGCGCTGGTGCAGGTTGAGGCGTGGCAGTAGGCGCAGGTTGAAAAAGCGGTTGTGATGCTGCCTGATGTTTGTGGAACGCTGCCAATTGTGCAGTGCAAGCAACAACTCTCTTTGAGATAAGTGTGGTGAGGTCAGCAATGGTGATTATATGAAGGGTCAGGCGCTTCTGCTCAAAGGCGCCTTCAGTTTGAGGGTGATCAAGTGAGAACACAACCCAGCCATCATTGACAAGGAGTTAGTGGAAGAACTTGGGCTGAAGACAAGGGGGATGTTACCGATAGCAACAAGAACGGCAGACAAATAAATTGGGCCCAAGATCACTCAGAAGATTTTCATGGACATTGATGTTGGCAGTATCATCTGTTGTGACTCACCCTTTGTGGTTATGCCACTTGGCCCAGCCAATCACATGATTCTTAGTCTCCTCTTCCATACACAACATTGGCTGCCAGCAGGTGCGTCTGGGTTGGTAGTGTTGTTGCGAGAAGGAGTGGTGACAAGGCAAGGAGAGAGAGATGGAGAGGTGGTGTTGGAGTCAGGCTCTACGCAGATCAGCGGGGTATCATTGGAGTTGGCATTAGTGTTGGTGACTTGGCATAAAGCACTCACCACCCAACTACTCTTGGACTCTGCCAATATCCTCCCCCCCCCTTGCTGATTGTAGCAGCATGGGTTGGCATGTTGAGAGTGGATAATGTGGTTGGTGTTTGCTGAAAGGGGAGTGGAAGGGGTGATTTTGCGATGGAAAGAGAAGAGAAATAAAAAGTCAACACCGCCATTGCATTTTTCTGTCAGTTGTGTTCTCAAGTTTAAGACCGGTCTGTTTAAGAGTGACCCACTCTTAAACTTGGTGGTCTTAAACTGGCAAAATTGCATCTGATTTGGAGCTGTCAAGATGCAAAAATGGACCCTGCTCAGGGTAGGATCTAACATGTCCCTGAGTCCTGACCACCTTAAGCAAGCTGAACGGTTTAAGGCAGTCTTAAATGCCAAATTGAATTCCCCTACTATCCTCCAGTATGTTGCAAAAAAAACAATCCTGGCAAGCAACAAGAGCTACTCAACCATACATCACCTTTGCCCATGGCTGTTTTGCAAGCTTCACTTGAGGCCCAAACCTGACACCATCCAGCAGTGATCATCCAATTCAGCAACAACATCCTTGCCAACAAGGAGGGTACCCTCCAATTCTTTGTTGTTGAAGACCCAACCAATGGGGAAATCATTGCTTGGCAGGAAGTACATCCTTTTCTCCTCAACTTTACCTACTTTAGAAGAGCTGACAGGGGTTCAGTACCTTGATGATGCCGCTCTTAACGCCCAACACAGGGGCAAGACACATGCTCGTAAGTGATATCCATTGTACAAGGCTATTGTCACAACCACGCTCCAGCTTCCACATCATCCCACACTCTATTTCTAATACTAATTGAGCTGGATGCGTCGCAACACTCACCACTCAACACTTGTCATTACTTCCTTGTTTGAGACACCCCTCTTGTTTATTCCGGTACATCACAACCGTCATATCGTACCAGGAGCTACTCATATGTAGGGACATTGCTATCACCCCACCTACACAGCAACTCATCTCAAAGATACAACCAACACCAACTCAACCCAATACCTATCTCCAACCAAGACCTAGACACCACCCTCATTCTTCTCCACCCCAATAACGATTCAGGAGATGCCCAATTATCTTGTGACTTAGAGACATTTTCTTTACATAGAGTCTGCTTCCAAGATATCGTGCGTCTTAGGTATTTCAGGACTTATTCCCATAGCAACTCATGAGAAAGCGTAGCAAGCCAAGGGAACGGCTTAGTCAGTTTGGTGGCAAATATGGGAAAGCTGAGTAAGCCAGTAGGGCTCTGGATGTCTATATAAGTAGATAGTTTTACATAGATTCAAGGATCCCAGCAACCTCAAATATGTCTGACTTGCCTATGAACTAGGAATCACATGCGAACAGGCCTATTCAATTTATACTAGCTAAGCCAACAAGAATTCTTCAGCCTTAGGTTAGTGCAAGCCCCTATCGAGTCCAAGATAGCCTTGCTGATCAAGTCCCAACAGGTACGCATATATTGTGGAATCGACATATACCTATACATAGATAGCCCCTCTTCTTCATTTAGTCAAGAGATACTTTATACTGCTGGACAGCTATAGGGACACTGTGGGTAGGACCTGACAGCTATAAGAAAGGGAAAATACCTTAAACCACCAACTTTCACTTTGGAATATCTAAAATTGCCAACAAAAATATGGATATAATTAAATCTGCCAATTTGCCTCTTTGGGGCATACAGAGCATTCTGGCAGCGCTACCCCCCTGATCAGTTGCCTCAACATGACATAGCACTCATTGGAACCCCACTGTTGCACCTGCAACATCCGTCTCACCACCAACAGAGCATCAATTCCAATGCATCTCAAAACAATCAAAACAATGTCATAACCAGGAGGGGGCATCAAAAATCTCTGGTACTGTGACCTTGCTTGTTGCAGTGCCTGCATGCATGACACCGCTTGCCCCCCACCCATATGTTGTCCCCTCTTTCTTGCAGAGCGGCTGCAGCTCTCTTCCGAGCATTGATGGTAGATGTCTTGGGCGGGTCTCTCTCCCTTGCTGTCGAAAGAGCTGCTTTGGGTGTAGCTCAAAAGGACAGCAAAACACAAAACACAAGATGCAAAGCTCAAGCGCTGCAGCAGTCAATGTCACATTGAATGCATCTGACCATTATCCTGTAACATGATTGAGCATGACTAGATGAGGTGCACATGGCTTTGCCAGGGTAAGCTAGGGAAGGAGCTGGGGTTACGCGGCCCAAATGCTCCAAATGCCCCAAAGAGGCAAGTTGGCGGTTTTAGATATATTCATATTTTTGTTGGTGGTTTTAGATACTTCCAAAGTGAAAGTTGGTGATTTAAAATATTTTCTCTTATAGTAAAGCAACACTGATGGTGAGGTGACAGTTTGGTGATTTGGTTGAGAGCTTTGTGTTGAGGAAGCTTCCTTTTGCCAAGGAGTGAAAAGGTGACAAGCATCTGGAAGAGGGTATGAGAGCTGTTCTCCCTTTGAGACCACTTGTAGCACTCGCCCTTCATATGCAGGGGGACGGCAACCATGCTGACGTGAACGATTGCTACAACACGGTCTGGTGTTGTTTTTGGCACTCCTTTCATCCTGGTCTTCGGTGGCATAGCCGTTTCGTTGGTGCAGTGGTAGCATGCCCTCTTAGGGTGATTTCCGAGTCGCTTTGGGGGTGGTCCTCGGTTCAATCCCGGGACGAGACCAATCTTTTTACTTTTTGGTTTTTGTTATCTTGCTAGTGCTTCTTTTTGGTCAGCTCAGTCTGGGTGATGGTGAGGAATCACTAGGGATAAGTTCACATAAAGTAAATGCGGAGTGTTGTCATCTATGCCAGTCATATGGCCCATTTGGTCAGGTTTACTGGGCAGAGCCAAACAATCAATTAAATAGGCGGTGTTTGCCATGAAAAGTTCTGAGGTGCGCCTCCGCTTTCAAGATCTTGATTTTCAACACCTGAACACAAGCAATTCCAACAACAAACCAATTCTCTCAGCAGACTATTCTCCATCCCCCAAGCATCCCATAACAGCCATGTCCGTGTCCACATCGCCACCAGCCCCTCCCAAACTGTCAGGTCCTACCCACAGTGTCCCTATATCTGTCCAGCAGTATAAAGTATCTCTTGACCAAATGAAGAAAAGGGGCTATCTATGTATATGTATATGTCAATTCCAATCAACAATATACGTGTACGTGTTGGGACCTGATCAGCAAGGCTATCTTGGACTTGATAGGGGCTTGCACTAACCTAAGGCTGAAGAATTCTTGTTGGCTTAGCTAGTATAAATTGAATAGGCCTGTTCGCATGCAATTCCTAGTCCATAGGCAAGTCAGATGTATTCAAGGTCGCTGGGATCATCAAATCTATGTAAAACTATCTACTTATATAGACATCCAGAGCCCTACTGGCTTTACTCAGTTTTCCCATATTTGCCACCAAACTGACTAAGCCATTCCTTTGGCTTGCTACGCTTTCTCATGAGTTGCTATGGATTTAAGTCCTGAAATATCTAAGACGCACAATATCTTGGAAGCCAACTCTATGTAAAGAAAGTGTCTCTATGTATAGAAAGTGTCTCTATGTATAGAAAGTGTCTCTATGTATAGAAAGTGTCTCTTTGTCACATAGTCATTGGGCGTCTCCTGAATCATAATTGGGGTGGAGAAGAATGAGGGTGCCTGGGTGTCTAGGTCTTGGTTCAAGGTAGGTATTGGGATGAGTCAGAGTCAATTGTGTCTTGGAGATGAATTGCTGTGTAAGTGGGGTGATATCAACATCCCTAGATATGTACTATATGATGGTTGTGATGTACCAGAATAAGCAAGAGAGGTGCCTCAAACAAGGAAGTAATGACAAGTGTTGAGTGAAAGAGTGTTGCAATGCATCCAGCTCAATAAGTAATACTGTAGGGGAATTCAATTTGGGATTTAAGACCGCGTTAAACCGTTTAGCTCGCCTAAGGTGGTCAGGACTCAGGCACATGAAAATTCTACCCTGAGCAGGGTCCATTTTTGCATCTTGACAGCCAAAAGAGCTGCCCTTTGGACCTTCCCAATGAGGCAATTTTGCCAGTTTAAGAGTGGGTCAGAGCCACTCTTAAACAGACCGCATTAAACTTGAGAACACATTCAACTGACAGAAAAATGCAACAGCAGCATTGACATTTTATTCCTCTTCTCTATCCATTGCAAAATCCCCTTCCACCCCCTTTCATCAAACACCAACCACATTTATCCACTCTCAACATGCCAACCCACACTGCTAACAAGTCAAAGGGCAAAGCAACCACCCGGCGCCACTCCTATGACACCAGCCAAGGCGCCTTGCCTGCCCCCAAATGGGCCCATACTGCTGATTGGAGCAATGATCTGGGCACAGATGGGAACTCTGCCGAGTACCATCTTGTGCAGTGGCTCATTATGCGCAGTGGGGCTTCCATGAGAAGCGATTGGGACCGCTGGAGGAAATCACCCAAAGGCGGCAATGGGGGTTGGGCCAACCTTCACCAAGGTGCGATTTGGTACCTTGAGGAGAAGGGCTGCTCCAGCCAGCGGAAGCCCGAGACTGTCAAGACAAAGGTGAGCTTTCATTTGACCACCATAGCCTATGCAGATTATGACTTTGACAACCTAAAGATCACCTCATTGAGAACAAGTTACATCGACGCCTGGCAGTTTAAGACCAGCACTGGAGCTGGATGGCTTAATGAGGAGGAGCGTGACAGTGAATTGCAATCAGCCATCTACCTCTGCCAGTCTAGAGTACGCTGAAACTAACTGTACACACATACACTTAGGCAGCGTCCTCAAGAGGTGCCCAGCACTTCTGTGACCTAAAGGAAGTGCTATTCCACCAAGCGGCTTCCATGCTGAAGAAAGGCGCTGATACCCTCAGCATGGGGGATGCGGGACCCTTCTTCTGTCCAGCTAGACCTCATTGTCCAACATATTCTTGGGAAAAAAGGATGATGACATTGAGGACATCAAGGAAGAGGATGACGACAAGGAGGACAAGGATGGCGCGGACGGGGACAGGGCCAACAACAGGGATGGGGAGGAGGATGACAATGATGATGAGGATGGGGATGGAGAGGAACACCCTCCAAATGCTGGTATGTGCTGCTTTTTCCTGTGCTGTGCATGTTTGGGTCTCCGCTGATAGTTCCCCCCCTGGTCAGGTTGCCGGAGCAACTTGCAAGCCATTGCGACTCCAAATTGCTGATTGGTTGCGGGCAATTGTAAGGCGGCTCACAAACCCAAGACCCCTCTCAGTCTCCATGACTCTGCTGGTAAAGGGATGGCTGCGGACAATGAGATAAAGGGCCTCGAGAAGGGTGCCAAGGAGCACACCCAGCGCCACCACAATGAGATGTTACTGGTTGAGAAGGAGAAGATGAAGACTGAGAAGGAGAGGATGATGGCGAGAAAGAGAGGGTCGAGATTGAGAAGAAGAAGGCGGAGCAAGAGGTGTTGGTCTCCAAACTAGAGATGTGGCACAAGCACATAGTGTTCAACATGGAGAGACAAAATCTGTTGTATGAGGATGCCTCACCGGACGCAAGCGCAATGATGCCTTCCTTCATGAGATAGATAGATAGACAGAAAGATAGATGGACCACCCTATGTAAATATGCTTTTGCTGATTCACATCTGCATTTCACGCCTTCTTCCCCGCATATCTACGATTGTTGCCTTGCCTGCCGGCCCCTCGCCTGACACGGCACCGTTGGCTCCAACCCCATCTTGCTCATCACCCTGTGTGAAGCGTGAGCCCCAAGGCCCATCAGCTCAGTGGCTTCTCCTTGTTCTTCTTCACCTGCCCCATTGCCTGCCATATTGCCTGCCCTATTGCCTGCCCCATTGCCCGCCCACCTGTTCTGGTGTAAGCAGTGGGCTGCTTCCCACAACTTCACCATTCCTAGCCGCGTTTCAGCGATCACCGCCTTTTGCGACTTAACCATTTTCAGCTGCATTTTGGCAATCACCGCCACTTGTGACTTAGCCATTTCTGCTTGTGTCTTGGCTATCACCAATGCCACCTGTCTGCTTCCATTCTTTGGTTCCATTTCCTGCCACTCTTGCTATATCCATTTCCCCATCCGTTTCGCGACTGCTCTTGCACAGGGACAGGGACTGCGGGTGTGTGGGATCTTTGGGTCTTTATCCATTTCTCTTCCCCATTGCCCTTGTTCCCCTGTCTCCTGTCCTCTTCTTCTCTTTGGTGTGCCTTGCATACATATATTGACAGACTCTGTCCAGTTTACATGCACAAGGGGTCTTGCACACTTCTCACAACAAGTACAACACCAACTTGATGAAGGACTGCCCACGTGGTCCTTACAACATGCAGTCCAACAGTCAAGAAGAAGAGTCGCAGCCAAAAGGGTCAACAGTGTAAGAGGCTTGCCTCATACCCTTCTTAACATACGACCCGTCGACCCCTTTTGGCTGCGACTCTCTGCCTTGACTGTTGGACTGCATGTGAGTAAGCATTAGTGGAAGGCAGCCTGTTGCATTTGAGTGCTTGGACCCAGCAAATGAGAAGCGCTCCTGCTATGCATGCATGCAGGAGGCGGCCTGATAAAGCTGTGGACGAAGAGCAGAAAGAACTTAGACAAATGAGAAGCGCTTCCGTTGGTGTTTACGTAACGTGTCTTGCCGCGGCATTCCAGAGTTTTGCGGAGCTTGCCGCACGCGCAGATGAGGACTTGATGGAATGTTGACGTGGCCTCTCTTTCTTTGCCCGTCGTTGTTTCCGGTTATTTGCCCTTTGCTATACAGCTCAGGTGCCTGTGTGTGCGTTTCGTTAGAGTTAGGACTGATCTCTGCCCAGAGTCACCGCCTTTTCCTGTCTGTGTGACATATATGTATTGGGGTCCTGTTTCACTTCAGGTTGCACTGCCCCGCTCAACCCTTTGCCGTTCTCCGCCGTTCTTTGCCGTTCTTCCGTCCAGTTAGCCATAGCTGTGACCTTCGCCGTTCGCCTTCCTCGCCGCCGCTGTCAGTGAAGAGGAACTACACCTCTTACACTTTTTTTGAAACTCTACACCCCCTTATCTACAATGTCCCTGCCAATGTCCCCAGTCAAAGAAGAACCCAAACTCAAGCCGAGGCCCGTCTCCCTTGTTCGGGTCGATGAAGATGGCACTCTCCTCGATGCTGTTGAAGCTGCTGGCCGCCCTTATATCGGCGTCAGCGAAGACGGCGCAATCATACATGGTCCCCCAGTCACAACTGCTGTCCCTCTCCGCTCAGACCTTGACAGCTCCCGTGTTGATTGTCAGAGCACCCCTTTCCGTCGTGATGGGGCTCCTCACCAGTTCTCCGGCGTAGGCCCTACCTCGCCCGCCCCCGCGTCCGACAGCCAATCTAGTCAGAATAATCTCAATTATCACGGTCTCCAAGTCATTATCAAGACCATGCACCAACAACAGGCAGAGCTCCAACGAGGGCAAATCGACCCCCCCAAACTCCCACTCTTATCCTCTCTCTGCACCTCCCCCCTTGGTGTTGTACGCCATCTCCAAGACCTTGCCAACTATTTCGCCAATTACTCCTCCCGTTTCCTGGCTGGCAACCGTGTTACTCCTCAATGGCAAGTCACTCAAGCCAACAGGTCTATCGCCAAAGTCGACGCATACCATTCATGGTCTATGGCTATTGGCGCCACATGCGCTACGTGGGATCACTGGCGCCGAGAGTTTAAGAAGAAGGCTCTTTCGTCCAACTGGGAGGCAGACACCAGGCGGGTGTTTGAGGGACTCCAGTGCCAAGGGACTTCGATGGCGGCATGGGAGGCTTTTGAGGAGAAGGCCGGCGAATGCCAGATGATCTTGAGCGACTGCCTTGGCCTCTCACCGAGGCGGACATGCGACAAAAGCTCCTATTCGGCCTTCCTCCCCATATCTACATGCGTGTTGAGGACACCATCGCCAATCGTTGTCTCAACTCCAACGCTATGTCTCTTCTGGTCCTCCGCACTATCATCAAGCATGCTTTCCAAATGGAGACTCCTACCCCAGCTGTTGCCGCCTATCACCCACCAAGTTGATGTAAGCAGTGGCCTGCTTTCCACGACTTGGTCGTTTCGAGTCGCGGTTCGGCGATCGCCGCCTCTCGCGACTTAACCATTTTCAGCCGCGTTTTGGCGATCGCCGCCTCTCGCGACTTAACCATCTCCAGCCGCGTTTCGGAACCAAATCTTCCGGAACCAATTCTGCTCGCGTCTTGGCTATCGCAGACGCTCACGACGCCACTTGTGTTATTGCCGTTTCCCCGCTTGTCTCTGTTACGTGTTGTTTGCCACTTTCGGCTCTTCGGCCAAAGGTATCTTGTGTGGTTCGTTCGGTGAGATTGTGTGTTTCGTTTGCGACTGTCCTTGCGCAGGGACAGAGTACTTGGGGGCATGGAATTGTATCTCTTTCTCCATCGCCCTTTCATCTCTGTCCCAGTGCGTATCTCTTCTCGTTCTCGATGGTCACCTGGACTGACTTGAGCTAGTTCCCATTTCCCTTATCTTCTGCGTTCCTCAGTTCATATATTGATCGTTCTCGTCCAGGTGAGCCTTGTCCTTATTGTATCTCTTTCTCCATCGCCCTTTCATCTCTGTCCCAGTGCGTATCTCTTCTCGTTCTCGATGGTCACCTGGACTGACTTGAGCTAGTTCCCATTTCCCTTATCTTCTGCGTTCCTCAGTTCATATATTGATCGTTCTCGTCCAGGTGAGCCTTGTCCTTGTTGTATCTCTTTCTCTATCGCCCTTTCATCTCTGTCCCATTCCCATTTCCCTTATCTTCTGCGTTCCTCAGTTCATATATTGATCGTTCTCGTCCAGGTGAGCCTTGTCCTTGTTGTATCTCTTTCTCATCGCCCTTTCATCTCTGTCCCATTCCCATTTCCCTTATCTTCTGCGTTCCTCAGTTCATATATTGATCGTTCTCGTCCAGGTGAGCCTTGTCCTTGTTGTATCTCTTTCTCATCGCCCTTTCATCTCTGTCCCATTCCCATTTCCCTTATCTTCTGCGTTCCTCAGTTCATATATTGATCGTTCTCGTCCAGGTGAGCCTTGTCCTTGTTGTATCTCTTTCTCATCGCCCTTTCATCTCTGTCCCATTCCCATTTCCCTTATCTTCTGCGTTCCTCAGTTCATATATTGATCGTTCTCGTCCAGGTGAGCCTTGTCCTTGTTGTATCTGTTGACAAGCTCGTCCTGCGCCATCCCCTGCTTCTTGTCCCTGGGCCTCTGCTTCTACAGCTACCTCCATTGCTCCCACCCATCTCAATGGCCGTGCTTTGACCTCTGAAGAGCAGGGTTGGATCACTATCAGGAAGCTCCTGGACGGAGCCACTGACGCTGGTATCCGTGCCAGGGCCTTTCTTAAGCAGAACGACCTTTGTTACTGGTGTCGAAAAGCGGGTCATCAGAGCAAGCAGTGCCCTGACAAGGACGCAGTGATCGCCAACTTCAACCTTGACAACGATGAAGATGCGGAGAGATTCTACCGAGCCCTTGAAGAAGACCTCAACAACAACGACCATTCGTCAGTCCCTCTCATCACTGTTGACATTGGTCTCTCGGCTGACTCTCCCATCGCTACAGGTCTCTTTGATCCTGGTGCGGCAATCAACACCGTCAGCAAGAGTTTTGTCCAAACGGTGGGGTTGAGGACGGAGAAAGTGAAACCATTGAAAACCCAGATGGCGGATGGGCGACCTGGACCGCATGTTGATACCAGAGTCAGGATGGATGTTTTTATTGGTCCAACTCTTTACAAGAACTCGTCTTTCCTCATCATCCCCACTTCTCGTCACGTCAATTTCATTCTTGGGCTTCCCTTCTGTCTCCAACACCGTTTGCTGGAAGGTGCTACGCGGCTTGCCAAACTCATGGCTGAAGGTTGTTCTGTCTACGCTCAGTCCCAGTATTCTCACATCGGCTCCCTTACTGTGGACAATCCCAGCTTGCAGCCTACAGTTGTTCCTTCTCCTCACCGTCAGCAACAAGCAGAGGCAATCCGAGCTGATTTCGCCGATGTCCTCCCTAATGACATAGGCAAAGTTGACAACTATCCAGAGCTCAGAAAGCATATGAGGCACGCATCCAACTACTTGCACGTGGGAAGCCTCCCCATCCTCTCCTTGCGCTGTCTTGGGTCTGGGATTGGACTCCCCAAGCTCATCGCGCTTTTGTGACGCTCAAGGAGCTTGTTGCCAACATCACTAGCCTCACTCCTCTTAACTTCCGCGCTATCGCCGCCGGGGAGACCAACTTATATCTCCACACCGATGCTAGTAATACTGGGATAGGCGCTTGGTTGGGTAGCGGCCAAACCGCAGAAGAAGCTGCTCCTAATGCATACAACTCCCGTGCTCTTTTGCCAGCTGAGAAAAATTACCCGGTTCATGAGAAGGAGCTCCTTGCCATTGTACATGCTCTCAAGCAATGGCGGCCGCTTCTACTTGGTCTTCCCATTCATGTCATGACGGATCATGCGACTCTACAATGGTTCTTTGAGCAACCCAACTTGTCTGAGAGACAAAAGCGATGGCTACTTGTATTTGCGGATCACGACCTCCGAATCTCCCATATCCCTGGAGCTACCAGAGTCCTCGATCGGCAAGACAATCCTCAACTCGAGTAATGATGTTGGAGGGGAGACCAAACAGAAGCTTTTGGCGCATGTCGGAATCGGTGATGCCGCCGAGACAGTCGCCAAGAATCATCTGACACTCTCCAGCCTTCTTCTCGAACGTTTGCCAGGCCGACAAAGTCGATCCCTGGCACTGGAGCCCTTCAAACACTTGTCGAGTCTCGGACTCCCAATTGGTCAAGAGAGCCGGCTTCTTGAACTCCTCACGCCAAGCTTCCCACGAAACGCAGGCAGCACCAGTGACCATAGACCAATAATGGTACTCGTCTACCTTGGCAATAAACTTATTCGCTCGAGCAACCCGCCATGGAGAAGCGGACGGCATGCCATCGGGAGAGCGAGAGTCGTATTCAACGAAATAGCGCTGAAGGTCGTGGAGATGTCGAACGACGCCAAGCTGGGACGCACATGAGGATGACAGCATGGGGAGTTTAGGAGGGTCGACTTGGGCACGTTGGAGCTCAGCTTGGTTTCGGTGCATTTTGTTGATAATGATGCAAAGGTCGTCATACCCAACGCTCTGACTGGACGTCTGACCGTCGGAAGCTGGGGCTTTGGGGGTAGCACCGGACAGCAGGTGAGGAGGGTTGTCATAGGCGATGCGCGTACTATCGGCTGCGCGAAGAGGGGTAGTGACGGCAACAGCGGGAGGACGGGGACCAAGAATCATCGTGCCGTCCTTGCCAAATCTAACAATGGGGCGGCCAGCGACGTCGGCAGTGGTGATAGCGTGTCCATCCTCGTCTAAAAAGACAGAGTGAGGCTTGGAGGGTGATGTGCCCTCGGCGTTCTTCGTGCCATCGGCGTTCTTCGGTTTGTTGGGTTTGTTTTTGTTCATCGTGATGAGTATGGGGTGTGAAGTTTAAAAAAAAGTGTAAGCAGCGTGTGTACTGCTTCACTGACGGCAGGGAGCGGCGAGGCAAACGGCGATGGTCTCAGCTATGAGGAGCTGGACTGGAGAACGGCAAGAGAACGGCGAAAAACGGCGGAGATCGGGTGGGGCGGCGTAACCTTTAAACAGGACCCCAATGCATATACTTGTCACGCAGACAGACAAAAAGGCGGTGACTCTGGGCAGAGATCAGTCCTGTAAGCGCCAGTCGCCTAGCGCTTCACTGTGTCGATGTCAATGGTGTACTTGTTGCTGAGAAGCAAACAAAACCCCTTGTGCATATAACTGGACGAGAACGATCAATATATGAACCTGGGAACACCGAAGACAAGAGAAAGGGGAATGGGACAGAGATGAAAGGGCGATCCGAGAAAGAGATAAGAACACAACAAGGGCAAAGCTCACCTGGACAAGAACAATCAATATATGAACTTGGGAACACCGAAGACAAGAGAAAGGGGAACTAGATCGAGTTAGTCCAGGTGACCATCGAGAACGAGAGGTGATACACACTGGGACAGAGATGAAAGAGCGATGGAGAAAGAGATAAAATTCCATGCACCCAAGTACTCTGTCCCTGCGCAAGAGCAGTCGCAAACGAAACACACAAGCTCACGGAACGAACCACACAAGCTACCTTTGGCCGAAGGGCCGACAGCGGCAAACAAGACAGAACAGAAACAGGCGGGGAAACGGCAATAACACAAGTGGCGTTGTGAGCGTTGGCGATAGCCAAGACGCAAGCAGAATTGGTTCCGGAAGATTTGGTTCCAAAACGCGGCTGGAAATGGTTAAGTCGCGAAAGGCGGTGATCGCCGAAACGCGGCTGGAAATGGTTAAGTCGTGAGCAGTGATGCCCACTGCTTACAAGTCCTAACTCTAACGACACACACACACATACGCCTAAGCTTTACAGCAATAGGACCAAAGACGGGGACAACAACGGGCATATACGTACCTGGGCAGAGATCAGTCCTAACTCTAACGACCTGCCCAGGATTTAGCTATGCACTAATAAACAAAGAAGAAGGGAACTCACACACACACACAGACGCCTAAGCTTTACAGCAATAGGACCAAAGACGGGGACGACGACAGGCAAGAAAGAGAGGTCACGTCGTCGTTCCACCAAGTCCTTGTCTGCGCATGCGGCGAGCTCCGCAAAACTCCAACGCTGACGCGGTGTTGCACATTACGTAAACACCAACGGAAGCGCTTCTAATTTTTCTAAGTTCTTTCTGCTCTTCGTCCCACAGCTTTATCAGGCCACCTCCTGCATGCATGCATACAGGAGCGCTTCTCATTTGCTGAGTCCAAGCACTCAAACGCAACAGGCTGCCTTCCGCTAATGCTTACTCACATGCAGTCCAACAGTCAAGGCAGAGAATCGCAGCCAAAAGGGGTTGACAGGTCGTATGTTCAGGAAGGGTATGAGGCAAGCCTCTTACATTCTGACGCCCGACGGCATGTCCCTCAACCGATACATTGACCTCATCTCCGAGACGGTTGAGACTTGCGCCATTAGCCTTGCTGCGTATCAAGGCCATCAGGCCAACATACGCCCACCCCCCTCGGCTGCTCCTCCTCGTCCTGTCGTAGCCCCCGCATACCAGAATCATCCAGTACCCATTAAGGCTTTGTTGACTGGCCCTGAGCCCGCGCCCCCCTCCGCAGGGGAGGTGCAAGAGTGGCTTAATTGTTCCCTTCGCCTCCCGTCCCGCCAAGATGGCTTGCGAGCCCGCGACTATCTAAGACAACAAGGTTTATGTTTTGGTTGCCGCCAGCAAGGCCACATGGTCGCGGCTTACCCTGCTTATGCTTCCCAACCAGTCGCGTCGCTGTCCTCTGCCCCTGTCCATGCTCCTGCCCCAGTTCCAGAGCCTTCCAACATGCCCCCCGCCCAAGAGTCAGTCCCACTCCTCCATATCCAAGCTCGTCGCAGCACTGATGGTCTTTCATACCAGACGCTTGTAGACTCAGGCGCAGCTGTAAATGTTGTGGATAAGGAGCTAGTGGAGGAACTTGGGTTGGAAACGCAGAGGATGTTGCCTATAGTGACGAAAATGGCGGATGAATCAATTGGCCCCCAGATCACCCAGAAAATCTTCATGGACATTCATGTCGGAAGCATCATCTATTGCAACTCGCCCTTTGTGGTCATGCCCCTCGGCCATTCCAACCGTTTGATCCTTGGTCTTCCTTTCCATCTACAACATTGACTACTCGCAGGCGCGTCTGGGCTGGAGGTGTTATTGCAGGAAGGAGTGGCGACAAGACAAGAGGCAGGAGATGGAGAGGTGGTGCTAGGATCAGGTGCGACGCAAATCAGTGAAGTGTCATTGGAATTGGAGTCGGAGTTGGTGACTTGGCGAAAAGAACTCACCGCCCAATTGCTCTCCGACTTTGCCAACATCCTCCCTCCCCAATTGACAGATGTGGCCCATTATCCTACGCCCGTTCCATTGGTTTCCCAAGTTCACCACCATATTAATGTCCTCCCCGATACCAAGCCCGTGGCCCGCCCCTATTGTTGTCTTCCTCTTGCTTTCCGCAGTGCCTTCAAGGCTGAGATAGATAAGCATGTGGATGCTGGACGTTTGCGTACCTCTAGCTTGCCATGGGCCGCCCCGGCGTTCTTGATCCAGAAAGAGAATGGGAAGTTTCGTTTCTTGTGCGACTACCGTGGACTGAATGCAGTCACGGTGAGGGATAGCACGCCGGTGCCATCGGTGGAGGATATATTGCAGAGAGCTGCCCGAGGAAAGGTGTTTGCAAAACTGGATTTGACGGATGCGTTCTTTCAGACGCTGATGCACAAGCCCGACATCGAAAAGACGGCAATCACCACTCCTTGGGGATTGTACGAGTGGGTCGTCATGCCAGGAGGAGGTTACAACGGACGCATTGGCGTGGTCTTGGGGTGAAAGCAGATCAGGCGTTTGAGGAGTGCAAGAGTCTTCTCGCCCAGATCACTGGGCTTGTCCCCTTGGATTATGATGCTGTCAAACGCGGTGAGTTGCAGGTCTACCTCCATACAGACGCTAGCAACACAGGCAAGGTGCTTGGCTCGGTGCTGGAAACCTCCCAGACGCCCTCGCCCCTATTGCCTACTTCTCTTGTTCCCTCATCCCCGCCGAGGCTCGCTACCCGGTGCACGACAAGGAGATGCTGGCCATTGTTGAGGCCCTCAAAGAATGGCGTCCGCTCCTCCTGGGCATCCCAGTCCAGGTTATGACCGACCATGCCACCCTCCGCCATTTTTTTACCCAGCCCTCGCTCTCTGATCGGCAGAAGCGGTGGTCAGAAGTGTTGAACAACTACGACTTGCACATCCATTACATCCCAGGGGTCACCAACGACGTTGCCGATGCATTGTTGCATATTCCCCACACACCTCTCCAATTGATCTCCCTTTTCGCCATCAAGTCAATCCTGACTATCAGTCCCAACGAGGTGTTTTTAGACAAGGTTAGTGAAGGCTATGCGGAGGATCCCATCATGGGGACCTGGTCGCTGGAAAGCATCCACCCCCCAGGTGTTGAGCGCGTGGAAGTCCAGGGTCAAGGAGACAAGGTGGACGTCTGGATGCTAGGGGATCGGTTGTGCATACCAGAGGCGGAGACATTGAAGGAGACCTGTCTAGAGGAATG